TGGCCATTTGGCAAAAAGTCCGGCTGGGAAGATGACGCGAGGATAAATACGATTACGAGCAGCCTGGGGAACATGTGGCCCGCCCCGCTCCAGAAGGTGAGAATGGTGCGTGTGTCGGTTGGTCCGGCGTGGCACATCATGTCGCGAAAGACCATGGACCGGGACCGACACCTTTGAACCCGATTACGACGGACGAACCTGTTGTCAAGGCGGCTGCCGAGCCAGGCCAGTCCCTTGACCCTCCAACATGCGCTGCAGATATCAATATTGCAGATTCGAGATGAAGCGAATCACAGCATTGAGGGTCGCGGAGACTAAGCCTAAAAAGGACTAGACTCCGCGTCCGTCTCAGATGCTTCGCTTCAGGGTTTCTTCCAATCGGGAATCGCCTCAACTCCGGTTCTTGCTGACGCTCGACCAGCGATGGAAACATGGGCTTTGCATATCGGAGTCTAGTCTGTGATTGGCAATGTCTGAGGAGGCGGCCCCTCTTGCCTTCCGAAAAATGACCCCATCCCTGAGTCTCAACCGTTGTCCGGGACTCCCTCTCGCACTGGGGATGATAGGACATATAAAGGGGAGTGGGGGCACCCAATGTTCGACATGTTCGTAAGGGGGATCTCTTGGATCACTTTTCTCCTTCAAGCATCTCCCATTTTTAGGACCGATACGAGCGTGAGTTTGGCCTCTGCTCGGTTATAGCTCACCCATTATGGCTTCCGTCGTTGAAGGGGCCGTCGTTGCTCCCGTGATGGACAACGCCACCACATTTGCGAAGCCCGAGGCCACGGGATTGGTGAACAGCCTCTTGGCCAACTATGTGCCTGCCATGACCAATCTTCAATTGACAGTCACGGTGCTGCTGCTTCTGGTAGCCTATGACCAGGGTATGCCTGTCTCGAATTCATCTAACAACGGTTTGGCCCTGCTAACAACTCATCTCATTAGTCCGCTACTGGGCGATGAAGGGTTCCATCGCAGGCCCGACATTCAAGATTCCCTTTATGGGCCCGTTTGTTCAAGCTTTGCACCCCAAGTTCACAGCGTATCTTGCTCAATGGGCCAGTGGACCTCTCAGCTGTGTCTCTGTTTTCCACAAGTAAGTCTCCGTTCCCTCCCAATCGATTTCTTGGATGGTCGCTAGGGAGGATGGAATTGCCTTCTTATGTCCGAGTTAACGTTTATTCAGGTTTGTCGTTCTGGCTTCAGACCGCGACATTGCCCACAAGGTTTTCAAATCCCCCACCTTCACCAAGCCATGCCTCGTTCCCGTTGCAGAGCAAATCATTGGCGAGACCGCCTGGGTTTTCCTCAACGGCAAAGCGCACACCGAGTATCGCAAGGGCCTCACTGGACTCTTCACCAACAAGGCCCTCAGCACCTACCTCCCGGTCCAGGAGCGCGTGTACGAACACTATTTCGACAAGTTTGTTGGGATCAGCAAGGACAAAGGGGGAAAGCCGACCGAGTTCATGGGAATGTTTAGAGAGATCAACTGTGCCCTCTCCTGCCGCACCTTTTTCGGAGACTACATCTCCCAGGACGCCGTCAAGAACATTGCAAACGACTACTACCTGGTTACCGCCGCTCTCGAGCTCGTCAATGTTCCCCTGTCCATCTACATACCCGGAACCAAGACTTACAAGGGAAGAAAACTGTCAAAAGAAGTCCAGGCTGAATTCGCTCGTTGTGCTGGTCGTTGCAAGGTCAACATGGCCTCAGGAGCACCGCCAACCTGCACCGTCGACGAGTGGGTTCTCCACATGATGGAGTCCAAGAAGTACCGCGAGCGAGTCGAGGCCGGCGAGAAGGACGTGCCCAAGCCCCAGAACCTGATTCGCGAGTTCTCCAACGAGGAGATCGGCCAGGTGCTGTTCACCTTTCTTTTCGCCTCCCAGGACGCCTCCAGCAGTGCCACCACTTTCCTCTTCCAGATTCTCGCCCAGCGGCCCGACGTCCTCGACAAGGTCCGCGAGGAGAACCTCGCTATCCGCGGGGGTGACCGAAGCCGCCCTTTCGAGCTGGACATGTTTGAGAACCTGCCGTACACCAACGCCGTCGTCAAGGAGCTGCTCCGGTACCGCCCACCCGTCATCTTCGTTCCTTACACCGCCACCAAGGCGTTCCCCGTCACGCCGAACTACACCGTCCCCAAGGGCGCCATGATCATCCCTTCCTGCTATCCTGCCCTCCACGACCCCAAGGTCTACCCTGACCCCGACACCTTCGACCCCGAGCGATGGATCTCGGGCGATGCCGACTCCAAGACCAAGAACTGGCTTGTGTTTGGCGCGGGTGCGCATGACTGCCTCGCGCGCAAGTACGTGCCGCTCACCATGGTGCACATGATTGGGAAGGCGTCCATGGATCTTGACTGGGTGCATCATGCCACGCCCAAGTCGGAAGAGATCAGAGTTTTTGCCACTCTTTTCCCTGAGGTGAGTTTATCCACTGTTTATAACCCTGTATGCTATAACGAGGTTACTGACAAGTTTTCTTTTTGATAGGACGAGTGCCCTCTTGTTTTTACAAGGAGGGAGTAACCCTCTTTCAGAGGTGAAGATGAAAAGTGATTTTGAATGCATATAGACCTGCCTACCTAGAATGCCGGGCGAAGGTCGCCTTGACGACGAGCTCTGGAGACTGCAGGGAAAAGTTGTCCCGATTTTCCATTGGGGAAGATCCTTTATGACCTCTTGTTGATAGCCTAACGACAAATATATAGCTTAATTTTATAAATTCATTCTGCATGGCTAAATTGATATTATTCATTGTTAAACCCACAACATGGGCTTGGAACCTTCGAATCTGATATTGGGTTAGTCTAGTGGCAAATCGCTGCTGGCTGAGCTTGAGCTTAGCAACCCTTAATTCATCTCAATCAAGGGGAGCCCTATGGATATCACAGAGGAGCCTAAAGCATCTTTGAGATAAACATGAATCTAAATGTAACCACGAATATTGAAGCTCGTGCCCCGAAAAGACGCGGTTAGAGAGCACTATCATATAGATACATCTGCTTTTAGAATCAGCTAGAGTTTTTAGTCTTCGTAGTATTGCCAAGAATAGCAAAAGCAGAGTCAGCATTCAAGTCTATGTTAAATAATGCCATCATCATAACCAATAAGCCGGTGCTGATATGAACTACTGTGACGAGATGATTGTAGCTGCGCTCATAAACGCCGTTGCTCATGGGTGGGAGGAGATGAACGAGCTGGGAAGGGCAGGTCGTTTTGTCATCGATGAGTTTTAGGTTCTTATTGGGACGGATGATCTTTTGACGGCAGTCCACCGAACGTTCGATGAGAAATACAAGCTTTCTGCTGGACCTTGGGCTGAATGGGAACTAGTGAAACTACTCATTGGGGAAGTGGAAAATACAGAAAAAAGATAAGACAAGAGATAGAAGTCTTTCTCTTTTAATACATGTTCGTAGTTAGCAAAAACACTATGTGTTAAAATTGAGGCGAAGTGCTCGCTCAAACGTCTGTGTCTGTCGCATAACAAATTTTATTTAGCCAATTAAAATCCTGGGCTAAATGAATGAATTCCACATAAGCCGCGAGAGGAACCTGTTATGTCGAATTGGCGAGAAGTCGTCATCAAATTTTCCATCAATAAAAGCTTCCTAGGTTGCATTCTCCCCACTTCCTCCCCAGATTGCATGCCGCCCATCCCGTCCTTGGCTACGGCCTCTCCACAATGAAAAGCCGATGACATTCCCCCGAGGTGACTTTCCTAATTAAACCTCTCGGGGGGTATTGGTGCGAGTTGCTTTCCTGTTGACCTTGACGATATGACATTAGGTATTTATACGGCAAACATTGGCTCTCAGCCAGTGGCGAGGGAAAACAACACTTCTACCTATTTTCGAGGCTAATATCAGATTATCTACTACACTGTGTGACAGAGCACTCATGCGATTCAGTACGGTACTGTGTACGTTGGCAGCAGCCCTCACCCAGGCGTTGCCAACAGCGAACCATCAGAGGGAACTCCCACCATACTTCATTCTAACGGGAGACTCTACTACTGCCGTAAATGGAGGCTGGGGAGATGGCTTCTTGAGATTTCTTCAGAATACGACGGGCGGTGTGAACATCGGGAAAAGCGGTGCAACAACCGTTTCCTTTAGATCAGGCGGTTATTGGGCCAAGGCAATCCAGGCCGTCAAGGATCAGAAGTGCAACTACCGACCGATCGTGACGATTCAGTTTGGGCATAACGACCAAAAAGCGGAGGCGAACATCACCTTGACGCAGTTCCAGGCCAACATGGAGCAGCTCGCAAGAGAGGTCATCAGCGCTGGTGGGACTCCTGTAAGTTACCTTGACCCTCGAGATAACTTTCCTCATTTCTTTATGGAGACATGCTGAAACTCACATCACATGACAGATCATACTTACATCTCTTACTCGCCGTACCTTCTCAGGGGGGAAGGTGATTGAGAATTTGGCCGAGCATTCTCAGGCAGCCATTGACGCGGCCGAAGCCGTTGGAATACAGTATCAGGGTCTGAACCGCGCCAGCACCGACTACATCAATGCCATCGGCTCGACCGATGCTGATAAGTACAACTTGAGCCCGACGGACAGGACACATCTCAACGTGTCGGGCGAGACTGTTTTCGGTCGGATGGTTGCTGATTTGATCCTACGTGGAAGACCTGATCTTGCGGCTTATTTTATTGAGCGGAAAGCACTGAGTGATAAGATTTGGTCTGGAGAGTATGCCACAGGCGACGAGTAGGGAGCTACGAATAGTGAGGGTGGTGTTGGCTGAAGGATTCGCACTCTAATCAAGAAGATGGAAATTTGATTCAATGAATTCCTAGCCGCTTCGATATCAAAATGGGATAGTATTGTAAGATGGGCGATTGCATTTAATCGGATTGCCCACGCCTCTAACATTCTTGTAGTCACTAGACCTCTGGACGTGGTTTTTTTACCGAGGGGAACCTAAGAGACAGAGTGGAAATATCCAGACACCCATTGTTCTCTCTAGATCTTCGTGCCGCCTGTAATGTCTCGCACCATATCAATTACAAGGCCCGCTAAGTTTTCAGGCTGTTCCAGATGAGGCGAGTGCGATGAGTCTTCCAAAAGATAGGTGTGCTTGATTTCCGCTTTGGAAACAGCCTGCCGCTGGGCCTCGATAGGGAAAATCCGATCCGCCCCAGTGTAGATGAAGCCGAGTTTCCCCTTGAAGTTGGGATCTTGATATGGGTCCCAATGCACTGGCGTGGTGAAGCAGGTAATAGATTATTTGGGAAGTAGATTAGCAAGTCTTTCTCCTTCTTCCTTGGGGAGATCGTTGAAGAGGACCTGTTTGGCATATGCCTTGCTCATGCCTACTAGACCTGTTGATTCCTATGAGGCAGGTCAGCATGCAAGCAACCATCAAGTGGTCGTGATTCTATCAAGTATACTTCGTGTTCAATCCAGTCGGGAAGACTGCCAGCCGAGATACCCATACAATCCAGGGCCGTACTCCCCGTGGAGCCCACGAAAGCGCAGGTCAGAATAGCAGCAATGACGCCACCCTCCAGACCTTTGGCCGCCCTCTCCTGCTTGCTTAGGCCTTTGAGCGCTTCAGCTCCGTATATCCCACCATACGAATGCATGAACACCACAACGTCAACACCGGTTTCAATAGCGGGTCCCAGAACCTGTGTGCGAAGATAATCGGTATCCGGGTTCAAGGCAGGTGGGTTCATGGGATCGAACGTTGGGTAGGAATCTCGAACTTTGCAAACGACTGCATGCCCTCGGTCCTTGAAGGCTTGGATAAGTGGCTCAAAGAAAGAAACCAGAGGCCAAGCCCCGGGACAGATGATGACAGTGAAGCTCATTTTGGGTTGCAGATAGAAAGTGTGGCGGAGTGCAGGGTCCAACAACGATGGAGGAAGCTGGTTTAAATATGATTTGGATCACGTTACGTACCCACTACCAACCAAAAACCAGACCATTTGCCAAATAGGAGTGTTTCGGGGAGAAATGGAAGAAAGAGCGGCCGTGCGCGCTTAGGTGAGATTTTGATGGATGTTGTACCGTGGCAAGCCAAGAGCTGCAGACCCGGTCAGTTGGCACTTTCTTAATAGAGCGGGCAATTGGAAAACCTTGAAGAAAATAGTTTGTAGTCGCCAAACATTCTTTTGATATTCTCCCTAGATTTAGACGATTGCCGGAGTGAACAATGGCCAAGAAATTGCCACTCGTAGCGTGGTGGATTGATGGGAGGCAGTGCGACGCCAGATTCGTTTCGGACATGGAGGAAACACTCCAAGTGGAAGAGATAGACGTGGTAATAAACTCTTCTTCGGCTGAAGGAGGTTTAGAGACACCACCGCCGGACTATATTTGCTATCAGAGAATGGATGGGATCTGGTGCACTCAGGCAAGGCGGGACTTTCATAGATTGCTTACCGGCCACCGAAAGGTTCCTCGACCATACATGTAAACTTGATTACGAGAAGCAGATTCGTAACTATCAGTATTTCGTATTATTCGTTTCATTACTTGTCTATTCCTCAACCTATTGCCTCGGTATACTACTAAATACGAGCAAACATCGAAAATTACAGACGAAATTACATGCTTTATTGCTTTTACAAACCTTGGCCGCACAAACAAATGATAGGCATTACTATTTGATAAATGTAAGGCTGCTCATTGTGTTTTCATCATGATGCTAAGCAAGGATTTATTATCTAGGCCCGGAAATTTCTGATGGCACTTTCGATTATTCCGTTCTGTATATTTCCTTAGGTAGGTAGTTCATCCTTGATTGAAGGAACCCTTGGCTCATGAATTTCAACGTTTCTGACGGATAACCCAAACTCGGGCTTATATCCACACCGAAATTCTTTCCAATGCCCATAAGCAAGCGAAGAACGACGGGGAGAGCTGAACCCTGCAGCATCCGGGATTCTGATTGATCCAAGAACCGAAACATCACCAGATGAGTCATCCACCAGCGTAATTGGTTTAGTGGTAAAATTCTCCGTTGCCATCCGAGCAGCGTCGGGGAGCCCTGGGTTCGATTCCCAGATTACGCACTTCTCTTTTTTTGTTGATTTTCTTAGTATATGAAGAAAGCTTGGTACATATTGACTAAATCTATGATCCCTTTCAACTTAGAGGCGTAATTAGTCTAGTGGTAAGTCACTTCACACTCACCCACCAGTCGTTTCCAGGTGATTAACATCCTTGCAGGTTAGGATTGGTGCCTTCCAAGCACTATGGCTGGGTTCGATTCCCAGATTACGCATATCATTATACTTTTGCTTTTTGCTCACCTCTGAATCTTTCATTTTGGTGGCCTTCATCAAGGGAGGACACCCACTGATATATTAGGTGCATTATTCTTATGGATGGGAGAGTGGTGTTTGGTAATAAGTAAAAGCGGAATTGTAGGAACTCTAGATATAGAGTCCAGCCCGCCTGTGTAAATCTGGACCGTACTTCTGCTTATAATATGGTCGTTTGCTTCAACCAGCAGGTCCAGATGACACTGTTCGAAGAGACGACTGGTAGGACGACTTTGGTGACGTCAAACAAAGAATCAAAATCTTCTACTGCATTGAGCTCAGAAGCATCTTCGACATCTCGGAGCCTTAGTCAATCTTCAAGCTTAACAACCTCTCATACAAAACTTCTACGACATCCAAATCCAGCTCCGTCTCAGTCTCGAACGCCAATTCAAGTTCAGACTCAAGCTCTAGCCACCGTGATATTGCGTGGATCGCCGGTCCAATTGTTGGAGGCATAGCCGGTACCACTACCATAGCGTTGATGATATGGATGATCAAGCTCACGCGAAGAAGACGAGAAGACGCGTCCAAGATGGCTGTGGCACCCGCAGCACAGCCTGGCCACCCTCAAGCCCAGTAACATCCAACGAATCAATGGCAAGTTGTCGGGCAACAGAACGCCCCGTAGCAGAGTCAAGTGTATGGGGGTTATGCCATACCAGCAGAGTTACATAATTCAGCCCTACTTAGAGAACTTCAAGCCAATATACAAAAGAGCACTGAAAAATGGGACAATAGACAATTACGTACGAACCGAATCAATTGGACATGATGGATCTGCATACAAACTTGGCCAGGCCGCTTCGGTTCATTTCCACGTAACTTTGAACTCATACTCGTTGTCCTTCTCAGTCTGGATGGTGACCTTATTCTCCACGTCGGTATCCTGGAGCCTGAAATTGCCGCCACCGCCGCTAGTGTTTTCGATCTTGCCACTCGAATTACTTCCGATACCATACCTAACATCCACTTGTCCACCTACACGGCTCTTCATCTTGAAGCTTGCCAACTTTCCATCTTTCCACGTAATGTCGAATACGAATCCTCCTCTTGCCACGAGACCGGTGACCTTCCCTGAGGACCATTGGCTCGGCACCGTGGGAAGCAGCCAAACCTCCCTAACGCCGTCCCCCGACCGCATGTGTGACTGAATCAGCGCCTCGGCAACGCCACTGGTGAAGCCCCAGTTTCCGTCCGCTTGAAAAGGAGGGTGGGCGTCAAACAGGTTCGGATACACGCTGACGTTGAAGAATTGGAAAATGTGGTCGTTTAGCGCTTTGGCATCGAGCAATCGAGCGAACCAGTTTATGGTCCAGGCGCGTGACCAGCCCGTGCCCGCGCCACCATTCTTCAAGCGGTAATCCAGAGTACTCCTTGCAGCGTTCCAGATGGTCTCATTGTGGCCGGGTGCGTCTGGGGGTGGGATCTGGGTGCCTGGATGCAGAGCGAACAGGTGGGAGACATGGCGGTGTCCGGGAGCAGCCTCCTGGTAGTCTTCAATCCATTCTTGCAAGACGCCTGGGTATCTTGTTGAGATCTGATGAGGAGGTAATTGAGCGAGAGTATCCTTGATCTTCTCGATAAACTCAGCCTCAACTGGTGATTTGTCGAGGGTAGCAACGGCATCGATGAAGCCGTTGAACAATTCTCTGAGAATCTGGAAATCACAGGCAGGCCCAATTGCCATCGAAGTCGAGGATCCATCAGGTAACTTGTAAGTATTCTCGGGGGAAACAGATGGACTGGTCACGAGATACTTGGAGCCGTTGACTTCGTACTCTTGCAGCGTATCAAGATAGAAACGGATGGCATCCGATAGGATTTCTATCTTTGATAAAAGGAACTCCTTGTCCCCCGAGTACCAGTAGTGCTCCAGGATATGAGTGGTAAGCCAAGCTGAAGAAAGTGTCCAGTAGGTGGCTGGTAGGTAGCGGTCTTCAGGGGCTGTATCACCCCAGAGGTCAGTATTGTGATGGCTCATCCACCCGGATGCGCCGTACATATTTTTGGCGACCTCTTTTCCTGTTTTATGCATGAGATCCAGCAGATCAAAGAGCTGGTTGTGCAGCCCAGCCAGGTTAGTGACTTCAGCTGGCCAGTAATTCATTTGAAGGCTGACATGGTCAGTACATTGAGGCATCCATCGGAACATGCAATGTACTCACTTGATGTTGACAGTGTACTTGGAACCCCACGCTGATTCGAACTCGGCGCACCAGATTCCCTGCAAGTTGGCGGGGAGTGTTCCCTCACGAGACGAGGCGATCAGCATGTATCTTCCATACTCGAACTGGAGGGCGACCAATCCTGGATCATTAGCTCCTGCCTGGGTCGCATTAACACGTTTGTTTGTAGGTAGATCAGACCCCGTACTATCCGCGCTGTCGAGTTCCAGACGGCAGGCCTCAAACAACGGTTGATAGTCTTCGAGGTGTCTCTTTCGCAGCTCCTCATAGCCCAAATCTACCGCTTTGCTTAATGTTTCATCAACAGCAGCAAGAGGGTCTTCATGGCGGTAGGATGTAGCAGCTGTGAAAAAAGCTGTTGCAACAGTAGCATTGTCGACAAGAAGGAACTCTCCAACCGCCCGAAGGTTTCCATCGGTCTTTATGGTAAGGGCGGTTGCGAACTTGATAGGGTCCAGGCTCTGCGTTCCGCCAACCATGTAGGTGGTGTCGCCATTTTTATTATAGCCCAAATCCGACGCACTGTTTCCTCCACCGTACGGGCGATGTACACGTATGTTGAAGGATAACTTGCTGTCGCCCCCCTCGGCAGTGAGGTGGTGGACGAGAACGTTGTCAGGGTACGAAGAGAACATTTCCCGATGAAACTTGGTGCTGCCCACCGAGAAATCTACCCCGGAAATTGCGGTTTCCAAATCCAGCCACCGCTGGTAGGTGTTCTTGTCATACTTGGAGGTTCCATCAAACTCGAGGACCATCTCGCCCAGCGTCTCGTAATGGCGGATAGACTGCGGCGTAGCGGTTAAGCCAACCTTTGCCAGCTTCTCGGCTTCTGACACGCGGCCACTTGCAAGCAGCTCTCGGACCTCAGGCAGTGTTTCGAGCGAGTTCTGGTTCACTCTTGATCTGAATCCGCCAGAGTATACGGACTCTTCATTGATTTGCATTCTTTCGTTGACTGGATTGCCAAAGATCATGGCGCCGATACGCCCATTGCCAACAGGGAGAGCATCGGTCCAAAGTTCAGCCGGAGCAGTGTACCAGAGACGGGCCTTGTTGTCTTGAGCGACAGCCTTGGTAGCAAGGACCAGAGCTGTCGCTGATAGAAAGTTGAGACGCATTATCTACCAAGAGGAAGATAGCAGTCAAAATGGGGCAAATATTACTGTTGAGAGCATCATCTGTTCCAACTCCCAAGTTCATTATCTTGATCGACGACACTTTATAACCTTGAGGATGTGATAGGGGCCTTTTGCCTATTCCCAGAAGGCTTGGCTACCCCACAAACTCCTGACTTCTTGAAATCATCATTGCCTTTATCCATCCTAGATTTCCCATCAATTGGGTTTCGATCTTCCAAGATTAGGTGCCCGCTAACTGACAATTAGCTCATTTGAATGAGCGGGATCTCAAAAGCAGCCTCATGGGTTCACTCGGGCATGTGAGTGAAACCCTGTGAGGTCACCTGGGACTGGCGACCTGCCGGATTATTCTACCCCATACCATGGAAGTATTTAGCCTGTACCACTGACTGGACTTGTGCTCGGGAATTAGGGGTCTTGGTGTGCGATGTAGCTAGCGAATAACCGACGGTCGATATGACCCGACGGGAGATATGGTAGGGTAATATAGTTTTGCTTCTAGACCCGAATGCAGACCCCTGCGGCTTGTGCAGAGTGATGAGTAGCTGTAATAAATTTAGATCATCCCGATTGCTCGAGCCTAGAATGTTCATCTGTCTGCAAATCTGCCTTATTCCGTAGGAACTAAGTTGGCCCCCCCTGCAACAGGCCTATACGTGAGGCATCATCCCCGTTAGCCTTTGTGGCTACTCTTAAATCATGCAAACGGCATCTCATCTTTTAAATTAATCTCAAAAGGCTACAAGTATATGATTCTAATACCAAGTAGAGACATGACGTTGGTGAGACTAAGCCTGAGAATCTATGGAATATGGCTTATTATGCCCATTGCACCTCGAATACTCTCTTGTTTACTTGTTCCCGCCATGATGGCCCAGAGATGAAGCGAAAGTGGATCAAGTATGGGCTCTGAATGGAGAGTTTCTGTCTCGAGAAGACATGTAAAGATTGTAGTAACGAGCCGCAAGTTGTACTTCTTGGCACGAGATGTGAGACAAAATATAGAGCTTTATTGGCCGCTTGAGCCATCTCCCCGCTTCTTGAGGTTCTTGCAAGCCAACAGTCCAAGAAATTCAATGTGCCGAGACAATTGTATAGAGGTCAGCGCTGCAGAGACTGAAAAGCTTGAAGGCTTGGAAATACCTAACCAAGAGTGAAAAATGGAGGTATTGGAAACACGTCCCCCGACTTCCCCTTGAAATCATCCCGTCCTGTACGATAATTTGCTACTTTACCAAGGGGGTGTTATTGTTGTTCATCATTACAAGGCTCGCTCTCTGCCACTGTGGTATTATAACACTATTGGTGACCCCATAGAGGCTCGTAAAACTTGAGCTTTGTTTAGTTGAATTTACAATCTGGTTCAAGCAGGAAATGACGCTGAAAGGTTGGGTGGTAGTCGTGGGGTAACAATGCCGAATGTGATTTCTTACCATGTTTCATGACTACGGCCAGGTGGAGATTGAGTGTTTTTGTTTCCTGATAAGCATTGCTTTGTGACTATATTTATCTAAATTTTGCGCAGCAACCGCTGCTCATGCACATGCAGAGGTTCATAGCACGTGGTTCAGACAATGTGATCGAGTCCATGTATGATGTCGGAGAGCTGTGACTGACCAATCAGCTGCGCTATAGCCGGCTATGCGGAAGAGAGTGCAGCTTCTCCCACCGGGTCAGCTTGTGAATGAGCCAATCAGGGTCTTGCTGAGCGGCTACGCGGGACAGCCGGACTAGCAGAGACTAATAAGAACTGCGGGATGTACACCAAACCAAACTCTTCTTGATATCTTTCCGAGCGGCCTCCCATCGGATGGGGGTTTTCTCATTTCCCTACGCAATGTACGGCAGGAAAAGCCGAGAGGTTATTGGCGAAGCAGTTCAGCTGGGATGCATGTGTCGATTTTTATCTGCTAGCGGGAACAATAATTGTCTCATATGCTTGGTGAGCAAAATGTAGTTCTGGGCCTTGAGTAGAAGTATAAGACCAAAGGTTGCTAATGCTACGCGTCACCATCTCACTCATCTGCCTGCTTGTTCATCTCTTTCTGCTTCCATCATCGAGACCACACAGATGAACCCCAAGGAGCCCGAGGCTGAAAAGGCCATGCATATCAGCTTTCACGATACTGATCACCCTGCAGCCCAGGAAAACCGTGGTCGTGGGCGGCCCCTATCTCTGAGTCGCACTTCCAGCCGTCGTAGATCTCTCAGCCGGTCCTCGGTTAATCCATACTCTGGATATCAGATAGAGCACCGTACCCTCTCTATCCACGTCTCCGAGTCAAGGAACCGGGAACCGGACTCTTCCGACGATCTCAAAGTAGCGAAAAAGGACAACACCGATTACTTTTCTGGCCTTCACTACCATGAGCTGGCGTCGGAGCAGATCTGCCAACAGCTCAATGTCTCCCCCGAGGCTGGCCTGTCTGCTGATGCTGCCGGTCGCCGCCTCACGCGCGATGGCCGCAACGTCCTCCCTCAGCCAAAGACAAACTACATGAGGAAGCTGCTTGGGTACATCTTTGGCGGATTCTGCTCCGTTCTCTGGGTCGGTGTCATTGTCTTCTTCATCTGTTGGCGGCCCCTGAGCGATCCCCCTTCCCCGACCAACCTGGCATTGGCAATCCTGATCCTCATTGTGATTGCCCTTCAAGCCGGGTTCAGTGCCTTCTCCGACTGGTCAACTTCCCGCACGATGAAATCCATCACCGGACTTCTTCCTTCCGAGACTCAAGTGCTTCGCGACGGCGAGGTCCAGGTCCTCCCGGCCTCGGAGCTGGTGGCTGGCGACATCGTTCAGCTCGCCATGGGCAGCAAGGTGCCGGCGGACATGCGGATCATCCAGCATTCTGGAGATATTCGATTTGACAGATCTATGCTTACCGGTGAATCCGACGAGATTGAGGGAGCCATTGACGTTACGGACCCCAACTTCCTGGAGAGCCGTAACATCGCTTTAATGGGCAGCTTGGTCGTCAACGGGAACGGGCTGGGCATTGTTGTTCTCACTGGATCTCGCTCCGTGATGGGCCGTATTGCTCAAGCCATGGGCGAGGTCAAAGAAGAGCCTACCCTCATTCAGAGGGAGATTTGGCGCTTCGTGAGGATCATTGTCATCATGACTATTCTTCTCGCGTTGTTGATCGTGCTAGTTTGGGTTGGCTGGCTGCGGGTTGACCACAGTGGTTACATGAACGTTGTTGCCATGCTGAACAATGTCATGGGGTGTGTTGTCGCCTTCATTCCCGAGGGCATGCCCATTGGCGTATCGCTTACGCTGATGATGGTTGCTCGGCGAATGAAGGCAGTTGACATCCTCCCCAAGGGCCTTTCCACCGTCGAGACCTTGGGCTGTGTCAACGTGTTATGCTCGGACAAGACAGGCACGCTGACGCAGAACCTCATGTCCGTGTCGTCCGTGTCCTTTGCTGATGAGATGTCATCGCCGGAGGAGGTTCACAAGGCCGTCACGAGTGGCAGTCCCGAAAACGCCTTCACTAAGATGCACGAAGCGTCTACTTTATGCAACGACGCATACTTTGAGACTGCATCGGACCCCCTCCCCATTGCTGAACGCAAAGTCAAAGGCAACGCCACTGATGCAGCCGTCCTGCGATTTGCTGCAAAGGCAGACATATACGAACAACTCAAACGCTCAAATCCCCGTGCCCATACCGTCCCATTCAACTCCAAGAACAAGTGGATGCTGACCATGTTCGCCGTTACCTCATCCCTGGAGGAGAAAAAGTCCTACAGAGTATTCATAAAGGGTGCTCCCGACATTCTCTCCGGCGCCTGTACGCATTACTGGTCCAAGACAAATGAATGTCCACTACCGCTTGACGAGAAGACTCGCGCGACCTTGAAGGCAACTCAGGACCGTCTTTCCAGCGATGCTCAGCGTGTCATCATGCTTTGCGAAAAGACAGTAACACCAGCACATACCCTGGGCACGAATGCCTTTAGCGATGAGATTCACAACACTGCCCTCGAAAATCTGACGGTGGTTGGGGTTCTCGGTATTATCGATCCACCGCGCCCCGAGGCATCTAGCACTGTTCGCGAGGCTCGCCGAGCCGGCATTCGGTTCTTAATGGTGACTGGGGATTATAGTTTGACTGCGGCAGCGATAGCCAGGAATATTGGCATTTTCACTCAAAGCCAACCCCCCGATACCGTCGGCGAGATGCAGAAAAACCCACAGCTTACTGCCGACACAATCAGGAATGGCAGACTTGAAGGTGAAGGTCGGGCATTGATTGTCGAGGGACAGGAAGTTCTTGGACTGACCGACGAGGACTGGGACCTCGTTTGCGAATATGAGGAGATTGTATTCGCAAGAACAACACCGGAGCAGAAGCTTCGCATCGTCAATGAGTAAGTTCGCACGAGCCAGTACGCGACGAAGCACGATTTACTAACAGACATCAGATTCAAGCAGCGGGATAACGTAGTAGCTGTTACGGGTGATGGTGTGAACGACGCTCCAGCCCTCAGAGCTGCAGATGTGGGCGTGGCCGTGGTAACTGGCAGCGATGTGGCTATCGACGCGGCTGACCTTGTCCTGTTGAACAAGTTCGACTCCATCATCGATGCGGTTCGTCTTGGGCGTCTTGTTTTCCAGAACTTGCAAAAGGTTATCGCCTACCTTCTCCCTGCTGGATCCTGGTCAGAGATTTGGCCTGTTCTCGTCAACGTATTCTTCGGCGTCCCACTTCCTCTATCATCCTTTCTGATGATCATCATCTGTGTCTTTACGGATCTCTTCCTCTCGTTGTCCCTTATAATGGAGAAGGCAGAGTTTGATCTGCTCTCCTTACCCCCGCGCAACCATAAGAAAGACCATCTGATCAACGCTCGCATCTATGGCCAAGCATACCTCTTCACGGGAACCATGGAAACCTGCGTCGCGCACTCCATGTACTTCCTGTACTACTGGAAGGCGGCTCGCATCCCGATCAAGGACCTGTTCTTCCTTTTCGAGGGCTACACGGCTGGCTTCCACGGGTACTCGGCGGATGAGCTCGCAAACTTCAACTCCACCGGTCAGTGCGTGTATTTCGTGACGCTGGTCATTCTACAATGGGGGAATATCCTTGCCGTGCGCAACCGCAGATTGAGTATATTGCAGGCGGACCCCATCACTGAGAAGAGACGGAACCCATGGCTGCTTCTGAGCATGTTGATTAGCTTCTCTATTGCGGTCTTTGTGACCGAGGTTCCGGGCCTGCAAAATTTGTTCCTGACCGCAAGTGTTCCCATTGAGTTCTGGGTTATCCCAATCCCTCTAGCCCTGGGAATTCTACTCATGGACGAGATCAGGAAGTTATTGGTGAGACAGTTTCCGAACGGTCCTATCGCTCGGGTGGCTTGGTGAGGGCTCTTTTGCGTATTCTGGGGTAAGATGGCCTTATTTTCCTGTCACTATCAAGCGTGTTGTTTGGACTTTATTCTCTTTAATGAGTTTAGGATTGGAACTAGATCCTTCAATGGGCCAAAGTTCTCTGGAAACGGTCAACTCTTCTCTGAATGAGATAATAAAATGTAACTGGCTAGACCATGGAGAGACAGAAATAGTACATGTAGATCATAGCTACTGTGATGAATACAATGATTCATTTTCGCTTCCTTGCACTCAATATCATTGTAACTCTCGCCAAGGTGATGAATTCAGTTGTAAACGTGAGCTGGTCAATTTGCAGGAGGAACCTGGTGTGTTCCTGTGTAATCTTCCTACCCAACCTTCAGGAGCTGGATTCAGTCCACTAACAATTCAAGACGGTCACCAGACCCGTCATCCCTCATCCTGTAATACCTGAACAAAAAACGTATCAGGCTTCTACGCTATTAGAAAAGATTTGCCATGTAATCACTCAACAACCCTCCACTACCCATGGACAACAACGCAGATGCCGGATGAGATGCCGCGCCACTGTTTCCTGATTGATCCGCCACGGATGGCTCAGCATCATGCCCAGTCAAATCTCCAAAGAAATCCGGAATGACGAGGTGCATTGTCTCGTCACGTAGACCGGCAGCTGGGTCGAGTGATTCCGACCAAGCTGTTGTTGAAGGATACGCAACGGGGTCATCAAAGGAAAATAAGAGTCGGTCTGCAGGTATCAGGCTCGGCGGAGTTACCTCACTGGAAGAGGCCTGTGTCGTCGGCTCGTTGGGGTTAGTGGTAATGCCTTCCCGTATCGCAGCCAGTCTTGGAGTCGAGGCGCTGGAGAGCTGCCAATCGTTGCTAAGATTTGACAGAGACGGGCCGGGGCTGAAGACATCCACGGAGGCATGTGATGATCGCCGTATGGTGTTCTTGGTCGTGGGGGGCGTGGAACCCAACCGACTGGGTAGCTGTTCAAAAACCGCCTGGTATAAATCAGTCAATGCCCGTTCTGTTACGAGGGAGGGCACACGTACATTGAGAGCAATAGAAAGCCGATCGGCTGCGAGACTTCGTAGTGATAGGCTAGAGATCAACTCCCTGCCCGCGACGGCATCGGCAAGAATTTCAGACGACTCTGGCTTCCTGGGGTTATTGGATACATAGGAAACTAGGCATAGAACCGCTAGGAACTGGGTGTAGAGAATAAACCAGTAGGGTCCCAGGAGAGCAGCCTGCTTCCTAATCTCCAGCCCGATGCTGACAATGTTGCGGCAGACGGTGATGCCGGTGGTTGCAAACGCCCGATGTCGCTGGTCCGGGGGGTTCCCAAGGTGTTCTTGCTGGTTGAAGAACTGTAGAAATGGCCGGTAGAGCATCATTTGAACATGGGCGAACGCAAAACGAAGCAAGATTTGAACCCTGTTTGGCAATTACTCTGTCAGCAAGTTTGCGTCTGGAGTGAGTTTCGTGTCAGAAGAAAGTAGAGTACCTTATTAGCTGGACGTCGTTGTCTTGCCCAGGTCTCCAGATGGCGGGAAGGTCATGGTACCAGTCATGGAGCTTCTGTTCTACTTCTCTAATCTGGCCACAGTCGATCAGGTATGTGGTGTGTGTTGCTGTCCTGCTCGTGGCTGTAGGCGGATACACGTGTTCGACTACTGTAGCCAGAATTTCCATTAGCCTGACATGAGCGTTGAATGCCTGGATGATGGAGAGTTTCTCTAGTGGCGGAGAGTGCAGTGTGTCCTGTATAATATCCTCGTCATCGATGGCAGTGGGGAGAGGCTGGTCTATATCCCTGGCCTGCAAAAGAATCGGCAGGCCCAAGGTAGCAGAGAGGTAGATGTCCAACTGACGGATGGTGTGGAACACTCGTTTTCTCGTCTCGCTCTCGATGGGAGTGGTGCATAGATTGGGGAGATTACGGTGCAATCCCATCCTCAATGCTGTTCGTAGAGCAACTCCAATCAGATTATAGCAGCAATTCAAGTTTCCGATAGCTTGCAAAAACTGGATGATGAAGAGAAGGGCCTGCAGGCTTGTCATGTCAGGGCACTCAGTGAGGTCGGGGAGGAAGAACCTGGCACCCAAGTAATACTTGTATCTGCACATTATATTAGCAATTGGAAATAGGTAACATGACGGCTGAATACCTACCCCCGGGTGGTGGCTTCGTTATAGTGGTCTGGGTTGGATGGATCATTCTCATCCACGTCGTACATAGATCCCAAGGCCAGAATGGAGTAGAGCAGTCCGACAAATCTTCCTTCCTCTGAAGTGTACTGCGTCTTTTCCGAGTTGTATAAAGTGTCGAAGCTCTTGTAAAAAGAGGGCACATGGACTATTCTTAGTAGGCATGAAGCATGGTTGAAAGAGTAGTCGCATAGCATGCGTGCCAGGTGACGGGGAGGTAATTTGGAGTAATCATATTTGGAATGGCCAGGAAAAGGGGAACATACGCCGGTAGAAGGGCCTCCAGGTCGTGGGAGCTGCGGAAGAAATGGGATCCTGGAATCGTATCGCAGGAGCTCCGGGAGATTCTGAGTGATACGGCTCAAGAAGGTAGCGCTGGATGAAGTGCCGTGGAAGTCGAGCTCGCCATTATCGGTGAATCGCAACTGGTCTTCGTTCTGGATCAGAGGGATGTATTTGTCACTCTCAGCGGGTGGCTCGGCAGTCGAAGCCTGACCAGATCCGGAGACATCGTCGCGCGTATGACGGCCTTGCAATGACTGGCCAGCTGTAGAGCCCAGGGTTTGCAAGTCAATCTGCGGCAGAAACTTGCGGATGAGTGACTCGGCAAGCTCCAGCCTGGCCTTTATATCATCGGTGGTGTCCGGCTGCGGGCGGCGTAAAGATGTCTTGCTACGCTTGGGCGGGATCTGGTATGTACATCCTAAAGTACTGGAGTGGTCAATAGGAGGCCTCCTGTCGGATATTTACCAGCGAACTGTGTGTATGTAGGTATTTACCTGCGTTGAATTCAGCGCAGCTTGAACATGGTTGTCTGCCGTCGCATTTGATCTTCTTGCGTCGGCAGTCATCACATGCCCGAGGAATTCTCCTGCGCTTGTGAGGGTTCACCTGGGCGACTTGGTCCGTCTCATCATCGCCATTTGTTTGGTGGCCTGCAGATGGAGATCTTGTAGCATCTGGGAGGTCCACGGGAGGTCTCTCAGGAGCAGCGCATCGCGATGCCCCCAGACTTCTCTTCCTAGACATCCGACAAAATGGCGGCGGCTAAGTATGTCGCAAGATGAGGAAACGGTGGTGATCTTGATTGATGCAGGTGCGGTCACATCGGATCTGAAGTTGATGTTGGTACTTTGCAGATGGAGAAAATCACGGGCTGAGCGAGATTGGCGGGCGGGGCACAATAGTCTCACGGCACCGTGCCATTATTATGTAACTGGGAAGTACTTTAGCAGGTATTCACGGGCAGAATCTACAAGTGAAATCCACTGCCCATGTGCCGTGATATCCTGAACTCTGCCAAGGGAGCAGCACCCTTTTGCAACCTAAAAATTGGGAGTAACTCGCCAGTTATTCCAGCCATTCTTGCATCCATGTATAACCAGCGTGGTATTTGCTAGTACCAGAGGAGAAGAGTGACAAACATTTAGATACACAACTTCCAGACTAACACAACCGCGGTTTTCATGACCTTATATTGCTAAGCAGGGCCACCATAGGGCTTCATCGTCGCTGATTCTCGTGCCAGTGAGCTCCTCTTACGTATTTACGGATCCCAATGTTGATTGGCTGCAACCAATTTCGCGAGAGGTGCTGGAATTCTAAACCTCCCGTACTATTTCTTCAATGCCGAATCTCCATATTATTGTCTCTCAAATTACGGAGCCCAGTCTAATTATCCTGGTGAAATGTCGATGGTGTTCACTTGGTGATGAAGTTTCTTTCCATTACGAGATATTAAGGTCCGCGAACTTGTAGGCAGAGGGAAGTTGCTATAGGCAGGACTTGAAGACTTCGTGTGGCCGGTTTGAGAATGCGAATCCGTAAATAGAAACGTTGGAGAACTCTTAGCCTTGCAACATTTGTTAAAAAGATGACAACATTCTCAAACGAACACACCCATCCTCGCTGATGTACCCAAAGAAACAACCACGGCGTCTCATCACTTCCACAACGCAATAAACTGCATCGTTCCTAGTCATTACCAAGTATGTATGCGCCGCATAATATTGAGAAGTCGATCTTCTTTAGACTGCAATGAATGTCATCTACCAGGCACATGTGTCAGGTGAGAAAAAGAAAAAGTCTAGTCAGCCCAAACAACTATATGGGAACATTATGGGGCCATACTGCCATACACATGAAACCTACTTGAATATGGAAAAATTTAACGACGGTGAAATCCCTACGTCTTCATCCTACAGTGCACACTGCGGTGTTAATGATCCCGCCAATGCTAACCCTGCACCTCAATAGAAAGAAGCAAGGGTCTCCTTCCACACACGGTCCAATGCAAAACATTGAGTCTCGTATAATGAATCGTGTCGCTGCTGACGGCTTGGCGTTGAGAAATATGATCCGCGCCAAGGATCCCGAAACATCTCTAACCATCAGCACCAATGTATTCGGTTCTCGGCTATCGAACCTTGAGACTGAATACTGACAGGATCCGCCAATCATGGATCATGCGGGGAAATTCTTGCCGAGATGCAACGTCGCCTATGATTGAAGGGAGTCAATTATCCCTCATAGGGCTCTAAAATACGTGCCCTGGTCGACCACAGGTCTGTATTCCGAACTTACCGAAGATGCTCTTGCTTGGGACATGTGCATATCATGACCGCTTGTGGCATACTCCCCATCCACAACCCGCTGAATGTCCAGGATGAGTTACATAGTAGGTCTTCTTCATAAACTTATTTTCTTTACATATCTCAAGAAAAGGCTACTATATCTATTATATTTCGCAGGCCAGCCCTAGATAGCTCAGCTGCCTTTCCCAGTGCCTTCCCGAGTCCCAAAACATACTTCGGAGGCGGATGCCACCGAACTTCCGTTTTGGTGCCTGACAACGCTGACACCACCACCATCTACAAGGTCTCATTGCCTGATCCTAGCCGATGTTCATTCGATATATTTTGAACCAACTGGGCATAGATCATGTGAAAGGGAACAGCATGCTAGCACTACAACCTTTCGTCCGTAGGTGGGGGATGACCCGGGCAGTCACACAAAGCGCTCCAATAGAATGACAAGACTTCTCATGGATTCCCTCACTATCTCCCTAATCAGCGACGGGCATATTATGTTTGTTTTCATGCTTCTTTCACCGCATGAGCCTAACTTGGTGGCCCATGATATGGAATTGCCACCATTTGCCGGTATTTCCATCAATCAGGTGCTCAAGTTTGTCGTTGTGCTTAAAATAGGGAAGGAGTTGACGGGCAACTATTTTGCAGTGCAAGTCGAGATAGTCTTGGCAAGAGTATAAGACCAGCTGCTTGTAATCTTGAACTTGACGAAAATCGTTTCTTTCTTGAACAACACAGGTATAGTCTCGTCTCTAGTATCGAATCATCAGCATAAGGCTTCTAAAAATGCTTTCACTCTCAAAGGTTGGCGTCCTCGCCATTGGTCTGATCCCATCAGCCCTGGCTTGCTTGGGCTGGGAGGGTGGTCTTCCCACTCCAACGAGCTCAAAGTCCATTTCTGCGCCTATTAGGATCGCAGCTGGACAGACTTTTGATGCCGGCTGGGTCAAGTATGACCGTGGCTCTGGCGCTTGTAAGGATGGTGAAGGAGGTGAGTAAACCCTTAAGATCGCGAAGATGGCGAATGGAGATGGCTGATATTTGTACAATAGGCGACTCTGACGCTGTTTTCCTTCTTGAGTCTGGCGCTACTCTTCAGAACGTCATTATTGGAAAGAACCAGATGGAGGGTGTGCACTGCCTTGGTGCCTGCACCTTGAGGTTCGTTTGGTTTGAGGACGTCTGCGAGGACGCCATCACCATTGTTAGTTTTCCAACTCTCTTCAAAATCGCATTTCCGACTTCTTACTGATATTGTTTCAAACAGAAAGGAGATAAGGCCGGAGAGCACTCCTGGATTATCGGAGGTGGTGCTTACAAGGCCTCTGACAAGATCGTTCAGCACAACGGCTGCGGTACCGTTAACATCATCAACTTCTACGCCAATGACTACGGAAAGGTCTACAGGTCATGCGGCAACTGCAGCAGTCAGTGCAAGCGTAACGTATACATTGAGGGTGTTACTGCCTACAACGGTGGTGAAGTCGCCGGCATTAACCTGAACTACGGAGACACTGCCACTCTCAAGAACGTCTGCACAGATGCTGCCCACCCCTGCGTTTTCTACGATGGCTGTGCAGGAGGCTGCGAGCCGAAGAAGGTCGGATATTGCTCCGGATAAGACTGTTAGTCCGGATATCGAGTCGCACTATTTGGAATTGGCTGTCGTTCATATTATTTTGCTTGCAAGGTGGATTATCTTTGGGTACTATCATTGGTGTCCCTAACAGACAGCATGTATACAATTCAACTTTGACTCGCCGCCATTGCTTGCTTAGTATTATATTGAATATGCCTGGTTGATCCCAACGCTTTGCTTTTACCGCACCCAAATGGGCATGCCTTCCTCATAGTAGAATTGAGTGTGTCGATGAAAGAAGACGAAGAGAATCTTGAACATAACGAAGTAGGGCGAAAGTGGAATAGCGTGATCACAAGAAAGCTACTAAGCGGGAAAGAAGAGATATTCACATTTGCGAACGACCAGCCGACTGGCTAAGAGCCATTTCGAACTGCAGACATGTAGACAGAGGGGAACATCAATAAATTTTCAAGCGAGTTGCCTGCAAACTATTCAAGGTAAACTGATACAAAGAAAAGATATTCTAGTTTGGTTCGCGATCATAGAATCATAGTCCATTTCACTGCTTTCCCTCGCATGACTGTTGCGACGCCTAGAGGGAGATGTTTCTTGTCCACAAGCCTCATGCCACCATAGTCGCGCCGAAGAGTATCTGCGTACAGCTGCAATGCCCAGCCAATCTCTCGTTTCTTTGAATCGCCACCAAGAAGCTTTTTATCAGCGCCGTAGTGGAGTATCTTGACCACATCACCATCAAAAATTGGTCCTATCACGTCAGGAACTCCTGTCAGTTTCTCGTAGGCCGTGGCAAGTGGCTGGCTCGAGGTTTCTCTGAATCGAGAATATTCTTCAAAGCTCATAAAGTATTCACGCTCAATAGCGTTGAGTCTGTGAAAAGACGACTCTTTGACTTTCCATTTCAGCACGCAGCGAACGACACGCTGTTCAAAGTTTTCATGTTCGTCGAAGTTCTTCTTAGACTCGAGATATTGCTTCTTCTCTTCGTCTATAATCCCCTGAAGAATCTTTTCTGGTGGTGATTCTTCAAGACTCTCGCGAATTTCAAGCAGCCTCACAAACGGGTTGGTGAGGCCCAGTCCTCCAAACTGCTCCGGTAGATAGATGAACGCGTCGGGGACATCATTGACCCCAAAGCGATCTCGAATAACACCCTTGAGATATTCAACAACACCAACGTCTGTAGCATTTCCTTCATTAAAGAGAGCCTTCTGCATCTCCTTGTATGTGTTCAGAATGCTTTCAACATGTCCGTCACCGAAGCAGAACGCCGGCTCACCAAACGTATGGCTGAAGAATCGGCCCATGCAGCTGTTCCATGTTTGGACCCATTGCATTACACTCTTGCAAGCATTGAGTTGCTTCTTGAGCTGCGCAACATGTTCAGCTACCTGGACGTAATCAATCTTCCACCGTTCTGTTGCGGGATCAAGAACCAAATGCCCGACGCGAACCTCTCCCGTCGGCAGGACCTGTTCGACAGCAGGGTCTTTCATACTCCCAGTGAAATAAACTGATCCAGTCTTCTGTTGGTTGAAGCTAAGGCCAAAGACCTTTGCCAAGTTTCCCATAACCTGCCATCCTCTGGCGCAATGGGCCGGTTCTCCACACAGCCAGATATCATCATGCAGGCGATAAACCAGCATTCCATCTTCCTGGTTCACAGCGAAATCCATGACGAATAATATCAGCTCACCGAACAGCTTCTCAATGGCATGGGACATGGGAACTCCACGTTGTCGGATACGAGGGCCCTTTCCGAAAGGATGCTCTGGGGACTGAACATTGAGAGGTGGCCGGAGGACCTTGGTGAAGAAGTTGATCACTTTGTCCGAGTAGCCGAAGAAACGCATGACAGAGAAGATAGTGGAGTGGGAGAGGCCGGTAGCATACCACTCCAGATCAGTCTGGATCATGGCTACTTCTCCCTTCAAATGACGATGTAGGAGCGCCTCGCTGGCTAGAGTTCGGAGCAACTGTTGCTTGACGTTGCCCTTTCCGCCCTTCTTATTTTCCTCCGTCTCATCTGGGGCTTCGTCGAGATAGCCCCCAAAGCTTTGACTATGCTCAGAGCTTGGTAAGGCGCATGTAAAGAAGTCTTGAATGTATTGAGAAGTTCTCATGCTGTCGATTGATGTATGTGGCGCATCTTCCATGAGATAGTAGAGACGGCGGGTTCTGTCCCAAGAGCGAGGCTGAGGACCAACATGCCATTTCCAAGTGGACTTGTCGAAGATGAACGAGGTAAGTGTTTCTTTCAGATTCACACAGAATTTTGTGCCAATGTAGTGAACGAGTAAGGCTTGCAGAACGTCTTCATCAATCCAAATTCGGTACTTGCCATTGAGCTGCTGCCTGGGAAGAACGGGAACTAGTGGCGGATATCATCAGTATTTGGACAATCCATCTCGTTAAGTTGATTCCAAGCCTTGCGGCTGGGGCGTGGTACTCACTGCCATTCTCACCAACCTGCCATTCCCAGGTTTCAATATCTGAGAATCTGGTGTTCAGGACATCCACCATCTCAGATAACACAATTTCATTTTCTAGAAACCCTCGAAGCAAATTCTGTTTTTCCTCACTGATCAAGTGTTCAGCGAGCAGGCCCTTGATACACCATTTCAAGACATTCGTATCGAATGGCGCTTCAGCCCCAAAGACATCGGAGCAAGAGCTTCCAATTGAATCCCTCAAGAACTCGAGAGATTTCTGTCCTTTGGCTTCATCCACTCGCGAAAACAAATCGACCAGATAACGCTCAATCTCCGCTTCATCCGTTTCAAGAGGCTCGAAAACCACCTTTTCAAACTTGTCGCAGAGCTCCTGGAGCCGCTGCTTTTGGCGATCTATGACCTCGAACGTCTCCTCCTCTGCGCCCGGCGAGGCCTCCCTGGCGGACACGGCCATCCATTCTTTGACAAGGCTGGCGTACAGGTGGCCCAGGCCGAACTTGCGGCTGGGAACCTCAAGCTTGGACCTGAGAACCTCCTCGTACTGTTTCAGGAGCTCGTCGGGGACGTTAACGTCATGCATCGACTGGTTCAGCCAATAGTGGATGTTCTTGACGTCTCGGTCCGAAGTGCACTCGGGGTAGATCTCCCTCACACCGAGAACGAGCCGACCGATACGGGATCTCAGGTCGGTGTATGCCGCCGCGTCCTGAAGAATGTCTGCTTTCTTCGTCTCGTACTTGCCTCGCTGCTTTTCGAGCTCCTGGATCTTGGTGAGCGTGATGCTCTCCAGAGTCTGAGAGAGGGCCGAGCCTTGAGTGGCCATGGTTCAATCGGAACCGATTTTGTTAGTTTTGAGAGTTACTTGTAGGTTCTTCTTCTACGTGAATTATGATACAAGATGCAATGGGGATGGTGTATATATATATATGCTTAACCTTGTCCACTGATCTTGAGCTGAATTCACGGTGTGGTGAGACGAGGCACTGCAGTTTGGTGCTCACAGGAACAGTCGCGTTAGAGTGGGCCATCACAAGGCAGCAACGCTAGGGGGTGATTAAGAATACCATCTCATACTTCAATAAGAATTTAGGGTCGTTGGTGCAGATTGTTTGCTCTTTGAGACAGGGTTCACGAAAATGGTCAGGTTAAAGCTAATTAACTCATCGGGATCCGGGGGGAGAAATCAATCCCCTACACCGCCAGTCCAAGGAGATATTCGAGGTTGTGATTGCCATGCAGTTACCGCACTCTTCGTCGACCCTGCTTGGCTTTATTTGATGCCCGTAATAAATATATCCAGACACCAAGAGACCGTATCAGCACCAAGAGGATAGCAGCCTCAATCCCTATGCGGCTATGCCAAATTTACTAGGAAGCGTAAACCAGCCTTCACTCAACCCATCCACACAAGCACTTACCCCAGAAGTTGATACGGGATTCATACAGATTCAGAATAATCAGGCTAACTGAATTCAATATGAGGATTACCAACAGCAGTATGCAGTCATACATAGTCCCCGCCAACAACAGTCCCCTACCTATTCATAGCAACGAGGAACCCCTGTCCATAAGCTGCAAGGTGTAAACGCACGTACGCCTAACTTACTAGTGCATCAGCCCCAAGCAACCCGAGAAAGACCATTGTGACATCCTTGCTTAAAAGCGAAGTGAGTGTGAGCCCTACCTAAGGTATATAGCTATCTACAGAGTCCAAGAGGTGCAGCGCACTCGCCCCGCTCACTTCCCATCATCCGTTCACATCATTGCCCTGTTCAACAATTCATTGGATCATCAACGAATGCCAACGTTTAAAAGCATACACGAGAAGCACACGCACGATGGAACCCACAACTCTTGTGAACCTGCCGCTTGAAATACAGATAAAAATCTTTTCATACCTTACTACATCATTTGGCAAATCCAGTATTCAAGCGGTCCTAAGAACCTGTCAACAGCTCTATAAGGCGGCACTTCCAGTGTCTGTGAGTGTGTTTCGAAATACTGCACCTTACCCTCAGGACCATGGCCTATGTTCTCGGGCCCGCAATATACAATTCCTACGCTATATTCTTATTTCAAAGCCTTGGTTGGCTAAACATGTTCAAACTGTTATTATTGGCAGATTCTCACAAGCTGGAAATAATGAGAATTTAGGGCAAGACCAAGGCCTAATTTCAGACCAAGATCTTAGCATCTTTGAGCACCATATCAAACACATTTTAGGACAATTACCATATAATGATAAATGGTCTGCTCAGTGGATATACGATCTCACAAGGGGCAGTTCCGATGCTCAGGTTACCTTGATCTTACTTACCTGTCCAAATATCCGAACACTTCTTTTTGAGATGCCCAAGGAAGCACATCATTTCCCTCTTCTACTCAACTTCACCCGTATTATGTCGAATACGTCTTATTACTTTGGATCTGGTTGGAGTAACAGCAACTATCCTGAGAAGATTATCCCTCTCTCAAATTTGCAAGATGTGTTTCATGAAACATTACATCCATCTGGATACCAGACTTTCTATAATGAGGCACCAAACCTATTTGGCTTCCCCAAACTCCGACTTTATGAGTGTATTGGGACTCAGGGAACCTTCCAAGCAGCAAGAAGATTTGCAGATCTGCCCTCTCGATCTTCTTCAGTTGAAGAGATAATCTTACATTGGTCTTGGACCACAGCAGATCTACTCAAGAACATGCTGGATTCTTGTAGAGGTCTAAAGAAGTTCGAATTCAGTCACCACGAATTTAATGCAACAAGTGGTGCCGCTATAATGCCGCGAGACATTCTTGATGCAATCTTGCCTCATGCCAGCACACTTGAGAATCTCTATCTTAACCTAGATGATTTTCACGATAAACAGGTGGATAATCCACAGAGGCTTCACATGGGCACCGACCTTCGCCAAATGCATTCATTGAAGAGGCTTACAATTGGCATGCAGGAACTTCTTGGCACCCATGCGTCTGCGCTTTTCAACTACAACGAAGCTACTGGTCAGATACCGCCAAGTAGTCCTGCTCTCGTTGACTGTCTTCCCGAGAGCCTGGAATATCTCCTGATTCACTCCTGTGTAGGCGGGTCTATTATAGATCAAGTGCAGAGCCTATTACACGCTATTACGCAGAGTGGGCGTTTCAACAAACTCACTTACTTCTGTATGTTGTTCAATAGCTGGCGAGAAGATGCTGCAGACGTTGTGGAATATCTGGATAATCATTCCGGTTTCGACAATGGCCTGAAAGCGATCGATGAGTTTCTGGAGTTCGATATGGGGTTCCAGACATACAGTGCCCATCGCCATGATTTGACCTCCAAATTCAAGGATAGCCTTGATCGACCGAGAAATTTAATGTCTCGCATATATGCCCCAAATCTCAGAAGCCTTTACCGGGAGCGACGGATGAATCCCCGGTACGCGGATGCTGAATATTCGTACAGAGATGAGCCCAATCCGTTCGAGGAGTAGGGCAGCAAACAACAGCTTGATGTGTTTTAGCGCTTTGATGGGTTAAGCTAGACTAATTTCAAATTGAATTCTTATTTTTGCCATAGTTTTCTCTTGGACGTGCCGAGGGTGCGTTGTTTCGCATGATCGAAGGCTAGGCACGTGTCAGAAGAAGTGCTCTGGCGAAGGGGCGACTGGTATGTACTGGGTTGGTTGATATCCGAAAAGCCTCGAGCTTGGTGTGTTGAAGTGCTTGGATTGGTGTAAGACGAGTGTACGAAGGGAGCCAGGTAAGGAGAGCTATATATTCAGTGAAGCGCTTGTATTTAGCATTGTGCTGGGAGAATAAGCAGCAGAGCTCCAAGATGTCCCATAGCGTTCGGAATATGAATTAGGCGAGCACATCAGTGAATCTTGATCTCGAATTGTACCACATCATCTACAAAGCTATCATCATCCAACTCAGCCCTGCCGGTCGACAAAATTGATCACCTTGCGAGCACCAGGACTCCGCACAAAATCACCCACATCGTTCACGAATAGGATCCTAAATGTCCGCTCAATAGACGCATCCACACAACAGAACTTCTTGATTCTATCGGAGATCTTCTCCGCGGAATCACAGCCATCTCGAACCAGCAGAATACGGAACTCGAGCCTTGTTTCAAGTGGACTCTCCTCCATATTCTCAAGTATGACCTGCCACTGGAGTATCCCGCGAATTTCATTGTTCATGAGGGTGTTGAGGGTGCTGAATTCAAAGTAACTGCCTGCCCACTCAAAGCTGAACCGACGGTCTCGACCGTAGAGCCGAAGCACCTTCAGATGGGGCCACGCCGACTGGGGGATGAAGTCTTGGGCTTGCTCTGGCAGATCATGCAACGACCCGACATCTCCGGTAATATATCGCACCAGTGGATTGCGCAGGCGGACGAGAGAGGTCTGGGCAATAACACCCTTCTCTCCATCCGGAATAGGGCTTGGAGTTTGATCCTCGTCATTCTCGTCGACTGTCGCAGGCAAGATTTCCATTATTGTGAGCCGGGTATCGAAAACAAAGTCCTCATATGCCGCAGTCCCATCGCCGCTCTGATTCTTGCCGGTAAGGCTAGGAAAACTGAACGCATATGGACCTGCCTCCGCGCTGCCCAAGAGAGAGCAGATCATAAGATCGGCGCCGAGGACCCGGTGTATTTCAGCTCGCTGCCTAGACGTCAGGCTTTCCGAGGTGTAGATGACCTTGTCGAGCTTGAACTTGCCTCGTTCGCTGTTAGGCAAAGAAGAGATGTAGTGGACCATGTTGACGATCTGCGACGAGTCTCCGGCCAGGACGTTGGCGTGGTACTTGATGATGAGGTTGATGACTGCTTCTGGGAGCATGAAATGGCCTGCGGCGAGGACACTGCCACCGCCATTTTCCAAAATTTCCATTATGAGATCTAGAGATCTGTGATTTGACACATATGTTAGCCAGCTGCACACTGTATCATTCAGAGGAGGAACTACCGGCAGAGCTCGCCCTCGGGGTGAATGGTGACCACCCAGTCCCTGTCCGTCACCAGCCCGGCCGTTCCAAGGAAGCGACCAAAAGCGAGTCGATGTTGACGGTTCTCAGCAACGTCAGTTGCAAAGAACAACGGTTCGGGGGAGGAACCGCCGCCCGTAGAGCTGGCGTAAATCCCCCGGCGAAAGGTGTTTTGAGTGCTCGTGTCATCAACTAGCCGTTGTATTGCCTTGTACCTAATATCCTGGTCAAAAGAACCGAACGAAGTTATTGGGAGATCTGATATCGTATTTACAAACTGCTCTTCCAAAGCAATGGCTGAGACGACAAGCCAGATGCGCTAGGTTGGGCGGCAACCTGCTCTCTGATCGCTCGGATGGCATCTTTGTGTGGCGGATACTGGACACTTGGGTCATAGAAAGGATGACGCTTGGCGACTGCCAGAACCTCTTCAAGAGAGAAATTCTTATCGTCGAGGGCCATTGTAAGCTGGTCAGCGTATCTGTACCACGAGAAGAGCTAAGACACTTGAAAGGACGGTATGCTCGCCAATCTCGCTCCGTGGGAGACAAGCCTACTTATTCGCCAAGGCCAATTCACAGCCCGGATGATCCCGGATGATATTAAAGCCCTTGGTCATCATCATATGTACAAAGGCAATACTGTACCACAGTCTGCTGCGACCTGAACTGAGACATGCATTCGGCTCGGAAATGAGACGCACGGCATATAACCAACCACTTAGGATTCTTAACTTTACGTAAATATTGAAAGAGCTGCGTCAATATCACATCCGATGGCTTATCTAGCGGCCAAGGAAAGGCCATAGCACCTCAACGAGAGTTTGACCTGGCAGAAGCAGGCCGATCTCCTTCATGCATGTCGCACTTCATCGTCAATCATAAGCACCAATCTCCGAAGCCTACAGCCACAAGTCCATTAATAAAGATCTATTCGTATGGGTTCCTCCGACCTTGTTCCAAAGGTTTTGGAGGGCAGTGTCGTGATATTATTCCGTTTGGAAAGCCAAGGCTTCTTGCCCGGAGTCACCAGCGCATAGAAGGTCGTTGTTACCGTGCGTCAGCAATGGTCATAAACAACTATAATATAATACTATCAACAAACGAGCCTGATTTTTTAATCATACAAGGACTAGAAACGACAAAACTGCAATCAAGGCGCACGATAGGACAGCGACAGTGCTACCATACGCGTCATACCTGCTTCCCTGGTTATCGGTATTGTTAGTAGTCCCGCTTCCCGTTGACGAAGTTGTTGAGGGTCCACTCCCTGAGGACGTTCTCGTGCTTGATGATCGCGAAGTTGTCGTAGATCCAGGTGCTTCGGTCAGGGTGATGGTTGGTGTCGCAACCGCCGCGGCCAAGCTGCTCGCAACGGACTTGACGTCAAGGTCGCAGGGCTTGGTGTCGACAAGCCCGGCGCCGTCAATCTCCGGGCATCCAGTGAGGTTCTTCTGGATCTCGACAGCCAGAGCAGGCTCGGGACATCCATCATAACCGGAAATAGCATCGTGAGGGAGCTTGCCATCGAACGCAAGGGTAAAGTTGACACTGCCGCTCTGCTCCGGATAGTAGCCCACTCGTGACTCGAACGTGCCGTTGTCGTACCTCTTGCAGTCTATCCCAAACTCAAACTTCCAGCTCAGAGTGCACTGCTTCGACTCCCCCTTCCAGAGGTGGAAATCCTCCTTGTAAACGTCCTTGCCCGTGGCGCGCGACTCATTGACGTAGTAATATGGAACTTGTGTAGGCCCGGTGGTCTCGTCACCACGAAAGAATCCGATGCCGGACATGACCAGCGGGCAGCTGACTTGCCACTCGAGATAGGTGCCGAATCTGGAGAGCGCGTTGCTGCGATGGAATCCAAAGATGACGGGGAAGGGCGAGACCACCGCGTAGGTGTCGTTCCGCGGGAAGACAATATCAAGCTCGCCGATTTTAGGGAACGAAGTATCGCCTTCTGCAGCCATCACAATTGCTGGGGCCGCTGCGAGCGCGGCGCAGAGGAGTTGAAAGGTGTTGCTCAGCATGTTGATGATCATCTATGCCTCAATATTGTTCAGGCACCCAATTATGGACCGGTGCTGTATTGTTTAAAACCTCTAGATGCATTCATTCACTCAGTGGAAGTAGTCAAGAGATCCGGCTGGGTGGTTTGATATTTCTCGTATTTCTCGCATTCGACCTCTGAAACGGCCAGCTCCCCACCCGCAACCCTGCAAGTAGTAAATTATGCTCATGGCCCGTGAATTGTAGATAAAGGGCTGATAAGTGAGCGCGTGCGCACGAGGCCTCCATCTCATCCCCAGTAAACCAGCCAGTCGGAACGTATCCCAGAGAAGACGCTTGTGGCAATTCGTCTTGGAGACACGGGGCCTGACCTTAGAATATGGCTACCCTGTAGCAAAGCTACAACAAGACCCTTCACTTCAGGTTTAAGTCATTAAAGGCCCCCAAGTCATGGATCTTTTGGTAATCTACATCTGGTGACAGGAATAAGGTTCAAGTCAAAGAATTAATAGTTCTTTGGTTCATCTATTGGCCGAGTCACAGATCACATGTTGGAAGACTCAACATCTAATGCATGGTGGAATTTGGAGTGGAACAAAATGTGTCTACAATATCTTTTTTACTACACCATTCTTGTTACTAAAAACACCTCGGGTTTTCTTTATCTTGTCTTCTTTTATCATTAAAAGCCACTGGAAAAGGTGTAGAACCTGCATGATGCCTCATTAAGATACAAGAATCGGACGATGCCTTAAATCACGGCCACTTCAGCTTCTGTAAACAAGTCCTGTCCGAGCTGACGTAGACCTTGAAAAAAAGAACTTCGAGCTCAAGATTGTTTATTTTCGCATCACTATTGCTCTGAGCTCATAGTCTTGGCCGAAGGTAGGCCACGCCAGGTATCAGTTAGGGACCCGGGAACTCGTAACACAGTCCCAAGTCTCCTACCTAGATCCCATTACATATATATCATGTCAACATGCTGAATCCAAACATGGAGTTGTGCCCTGTGCAAGAATAGCTTATCAAGAAAACTGAATGTCCAGGCAGCTTTCATAAGTCTGCTTATTCTTGGTAGCATACCAATACCACTGAATGACGCATTTACCAGCCTCGCTGCATGTTTCTTCCAGACCAGCAGGAATCGTGACGTTGAAGTTGACTGTTATCGGTTAGTTCCTTCAACTTTCAGAAACTATGAAGCACAACATACTATCTTCACGGTCGGAACCAGTGTTTTGGCCCGGCCATTCGTACCAAGACCGGAGCGGCTCTCCAATCACCGTATTGGTCGCGGTATCGATAATGGAGGTGTTCTGTTTCCAGGTCTTGGTCAATATTCAGGCAGATCATTGGGCTACTACTGAGATACATACCGCATATCCGGGCCGATGTCCGGCGACCAGGTCCACATGGAAGTGAATAACATCGCCGGCTTGGACACTGCGGACGTTGTCCGTATTATCTTCGAACTGATACCCCCGGCAGAGGTATGGGTTGCAACTATATGGATCGACGGCCTTGCTTACTGCATTTTCGATAGGTCCAGTAATGTCTGCATTCAAGTTAGTTTGGTGAGAAAGTGGCTCCCACCACGGATGAGGACTGATCTAGGTTACGAACCGCTTTCAAAAGCTTTGGTAAGAACGGATCCACAGAGAGCCTGTTGAGAAGAACCAGTCTGCCGGCATAGCTGTCAGTTAGGCGCTTTTGTAGTTAGTTACTAGGGGGATCGTACCTTGCGAGGAGCTGGGTCATCAACTACAGCGTGTCCGAAGACTAAAGAAACGGCGAAGAAGGGCAGGCAAATGGTAGCTTTCATGATGTCTGGTTAGCTGTGCGTCAGAGTGCTTTTTCGTGAGAAGTGTCCTGGGGAAAGTTGAAACGGACGCCGTGCAAATTTAAAGCGTGCAAAAAATTGGACAGGCTCCAAAACTTGCGCTTTGGTGCCCGGAGTGTTCCCATCCGAGCGGACGGATTGCCTATGACCTTGCATTGAATAAGCACGTAACCTTGTTATGGATGCCCCGTTGAGTTGTTTCAAATCCGAGATGAACCTTGCTTGGCAGCGGGAAAACAAAGCAGTGCCGATTCTTGTACATCACTGCCCCATGTAGTCGAGATAAATTGATCTTTTTTGGAAGGGTGGCATCAAGAGCGTTTCATCCGGGAAGCGACAGACGTTGGTAAGGAGTTGAAAGAACCCAAGATTCCGCCAATCGGGGCGAGGTCGATGAGAACCCTGGGTTTGCTGGATGAAACATCAGTCCCTGCCGGCAATTGATCTTGGCAATCTCATGCCAAGCCCTCCTAGCAAACGGGTATCGGTTGGTCACAATCTCACCTGCCTTCGTAAGGGGGAAATTAGGTTTGAAGATATCAAGCTATCCACCAAGCCCCATTGATCCCAGTTGGAGACCTTCGGAATTATCAAGTGCCTGACTTTCAAAGGAACACACAGTGATATCACGCCAGTGCGACCGAATACACAGGAATATGCAAAATGGCTTGGCTAACGGTGCCTCCATCCATATAAGACGAGACGCATTTCGTTGTGCATTGTTCGAAGAGATTTGCCGAGGCAACAGCAGGTTTCCGCTTTCCAGAGCTCTGTTTATTGGCGAGTCTGTGAGAAAATCCTCTCCCCAAAGAAGGGAGTATGGATTGTGGCCGATTTAAGACCATGAATCACGATCGTCTCAAGCATTGTTGGCATGTCTCGTGGCGGAGTTCTCGGATGTGATAAACTTAGATGCGGATCATGCTGCAGGAATAATCCATGTACAATTACACGTCTCGAGATACACTACGCGTAGTTTTTTAGTATGCCGAGACTCTGCTTGTGTTTGCCTCCAGAAAGTTTCATGAGAACATTTCTACGTAGGAACTGGCTCTCCAGTTTAGCTGTGTTTCGGAATACTTTAGATAAAGGATATCTTACCATATCCCATGCAAGCTTGTCAACCTCGTCTCTTAACTCAACACTGAACATCTTATAGGCGCGGCCCTCGCATGCGAGCATGCGAATAATGGGTAGATGATGAAGGAAAATCTTAGTGGTCTCTTACATTCCTTTTTGTATTACTAGTAATGAAAACCTCGTTCTTGTGCTGCACTTGTCAGCCAACTTTAATGTCAACCAAAGAAACTCTTGGAGCCGGACGCTTCAGTCATTTGCGGCATCCACGAAAGGCGTAGATATGGCGATAAGAATACTCTGTGCTCTCGCAGCTGCGCCGCTTGGTATGGATTTTGTTTCTCGCGCAGCGCTCCGCATTGCGGCGTTGAATAGTCATGCAGATATTGTCGCGCCACTACTGCTGATGGAAGGCATTGACATGGATAGAAAAGACTGCGCCAGAACGAAAGCAGTGGATCATACTGAGTTGGGTAGGTGCAACGCTGTCTCTGAACTCTTTGTTGAGGACAAAAATAGTTGACCCGTGCTCCTTGAAACCGGTTTTTGGCCTTGGCAGCGTGGCGATATCTCTATCGTGTATTTGTCTATTTTGGGAATGCTTATTACCTTTCCCTGAAGATTTGTGTCTTAGCTTTGATTATCTAAACAGGTAAAAAAGTCTACCCACGTTTTGAGAGCGTTGCATAAATTAGCTGGCATTATGACATGTAGCCTTGGATGCAACCTATCGGCCAGATTACTCCTGGTCTGTCTGCCATCAGCTGCCGCGTGATAAGACACCTTAAATCTGGATATTCTTGTGTGTACGTACAAGTAAGCTGATGAGAATACACTGAGAGGGGGCGGCTGATGTAGAAAACGCCAGTTTTCAACTCCACAAATTCCACCTAATTACCTCCCTAGTCCATCTCTGGTACGTATTTTCGTCAACGGGGTTTCTTAATTACCAATCATTGTTCATGCGGACCTACTTTGGCTGAAATAACCCACAACGCCAAGCTTGGAGTCCCTGCTAGTTGTCAGGGTCGGCGTTTCGGTAATTATGCTATGAGGCCGCCGCCATCATCACAACCACCGGACCGTGAAGATTTTGATTGTAACAGGTTGATTTGTCTTCTTCTCCGGAGAGTCAGCGGGCGGAAAGATTTTGATTCCCGACTTTTGACAGGGCCAGCATTCCATCCCTCAAGCTGCTCGTATGTGACCTCAAACATAGCGTGCGGACGTGCTTGCTTAGTCCATCCTTCGCCCCCAAGGATCCTGCAATGCCTCCACTACATGGGTCTAGGTACTCATGCGCGCGTTGTGACATTCTAAGTGAGTGATCATCACAGGCATGCCTCTGTTTGTGACTGGTTATGCGACCCCTGTCGGTTCTGGTTTTGTATACCTATCCTCCGCCCCCCGTTGATGCGATGGCTTCTTGCAACCTCCGCTCACCACAACTGCGGAGAGAGCACTTGGCCCCGAGCCGGAAGAACGAACACGATGGCCTGGACGGCGCAACAGGCGGCGCGGCCCAACAACTTTGCGGGAGACGAGGGCCTTGAACCGGTGCCAGTCCCGTCGACGCCCGAGGTCCTGAACGATGGGAGAATTTACTACGACGATGGAAAGGAGGTTTTCACGGCCTCCTCCGTGGCACCGTCTAGCTCGACTTTCTCCCCAACCCTCACCACCGCCACCGAAGCGACCAGAACTCCCGATAAGCCTTTCCACCATATGAAACTCGATACCGAAGATGAAGACAAAATCCCAATTTCCCCGGGTCCTCCGGGTCCTCCGGTGCCCCCCAAAGACAACCGGTCCAGGAAAAAGCTCTTCATCATTATCGGTTGCGTGGTAGCGATCGCCGTTATCCTCGCTGCGGTTCTGGGCGGTGTCCTCGGATCGAGGAAGAGCAACGGCGGCAGCAGCGAAGAGGCAACAGCATCGCCATCTGCATCAGCGACCTCTGCTCCGTCCAAAATCCAGGCGGGCTCGTCCGTGGGCGTGGCGGCATTCCAGAACGGCAACGACAACGAGATTTACCTCTCCTATAAAAACCCAGACAACACGGTCAAATTCTTCAGGTCTTCGGAGAACACGGGTGGCACGTTCGATTGGAAGACTCCCGAGTTGCAGACCCCAGACAATGCTTTGGACAACGTCACGGCGATGACCATGTTTTCGGGCATCGATCAGTCGACCGACGTTGACGCGCAGGTGGGTTTTACAAATGCGCAATGGCGACGCCAGATCGCTTGCGTACCATTTACGCTCGTCTGAGGTGGACGGATGTGCTAACACGAGACAGATCCAAGTCCAATTGCTATACTTGGATACGAATGCCAAGCTCAAAGGTCTGAACTACGTGACAGCCGGACAGTCCGAGTCCAAGGGTTTCACCAAAGTCGATGTTAACGATAGTGCAATCACTATTTCACCCCAGAGCGATATTGCCGGCTGGGGTCCATTCACAGTCTTCCAGAACGCCAACAACACTCTCTCGGCACTCTGGTGGCAGTCCGAGACTCCCTGGAAGCCTTATGCTTTCCAGTACTCACCCATCGTAGGATCGAAGCTTTCCATCGTACCTGTGTCCAGAAACGCATCCCACGTGAGCGGCACGGGGTGGTGGGCTGTCTTCTATCAGAACGAGGATGGCACCATCCAGGCCGTGATCGACCCAGGCTATTGGCCAGAGACCCGATCGCAGAATCTCAGGGATGTCATTGATATTTGGACCACCAGTAAGTTCTATTAGCCCACCTCCACTTGTTCTGTTTCACATTGTTTCTAACAGCTCTGCTGCAGCCTACCCAAAGCCCATAGTCCCCTTGAAGCACTCTTTCGCAGCCTTTTCCATCGCGCGTGATCCTAACAAGGTCAACACTTCTTCCAAAGTGAGCACCTTCCTGCTGTATCAAGACGACAGTGGCGACATTAAGCAAGCCTGGGTCGACAACGACAAAACGTGGCAGACATCGGCGCCCGACGAACTCAAAGGCGCCGACAACGGCACCGACATTTCCTGCATCACCACGCCAGCGTGGGAAAAGGACCGCACGTTTGACGGGCTGCTCCTCCAGGCGGCATCTGACTTAACCAAGTGCTACTTCCAGAAGGGCGGGAAGCTCATGGAAGTTAGGCTCAGCGGGACGAACTGGGTAGACCCCAAGGAGCTCGCGCTGCCTTAGCCACCTACATATTTAATGGCGTTTTTGGGTTGACTAAATTGTGTATATCATGTATTTAATGACAATTTGGACATAAGGATGGGAAGTCCGTTAATATGGTGCACTTTAGCGTGGTCAGGAGGGTCTGGATGTCTCAGTTTCTTTTTGTACATATTCCCCTTCGATAGATGAAGATTATTAGCTACCAGAACTAGATTTTTGCCCAAGTTCTGATCACAACGCGAGGTGACATCTTGCGATGTAAGAAACAACGGGAAGTAGCCTGAGCGTCTTGAACCATGCAATAAGCTAAGACCTCACTGGCAAATGTACGACACGTGTAATAGTTTCCCTTTGAATGCTGGATCACAACGAACGCCAGCTCATAAGAAATTTGATACCTATATCAGCCATGATCGAATTCAAACTATCTCGATATGCTCTAGCGTACCGGGCTTGTCTGCCAAGTCTTTCCGTGCCTTGGACTCCATAAAAGAAGCACCGACTAACCGGAACTGCTTTAACTTGTCATTCCCAATACTATCTGATACAGGGCGAAGAAGAAGCGGCGTTACTGTCCCAACAACCATGTAAACTTGGTCACCCAGCTCGGCCTCAGCTGGGGCGAGACCCATGTATCCAGTTGTGGTGATGAAGAAGCGACGAGAGTGAGAATTACGCAGCACAGCTTGGACATAGTACCTGTAGCTTGGAACCATCTCCGTTGCGACTTCATGGAAGGGAATATCCCGGAAGGATAGGAGACTGTCCTCCAAAGAGCCTCTACGGCCGGCTTCAGCCATCAACCCCCGAACTGCAGATTCCCAGCTTGGCTTTGACGCACTGCCGTTGGCAGTCTGAGCTGGAGAAGCACCAGTGCCTTCGTTCTGGAGATTCTTTTCCTTTTGAACGAATCGCCGTATGGCTTCTTCGTATCCCATGCGGTTACGGTTGGCGGCTATAACATTGTAGAATTCCGATTCGAGAACCTTTTTATGGCCATCCCAGGACCGTTCGGATCTTCTATCGATCCGAGTGATGGCCTCGTCATTCAGCAGAGCCTTCCATTCAAAGTAAGGAAACGGACCCTGCCCAGCGAGATAGACAGAACCCATCTGGGCCACCTCGCCGCACAGCCCTCCATCCACACGAAGCACAGGGCCAGTGGCTTCCGTATTTGCATTGTGTGACTGTTTCGCCACAACACGTGGCGGGCTCGATGGATTCTCCGGCTTGTTGAAGGAAAACGGCTCTGACCCGTAGTACTTTGGGTCGTACTCAATCGGTCCAAGAACTGTGCGTTTCGGTGGCATGCTCCAATCTGGGACCCAGGAAGGCAGCCCTTCGATTTTCGAGCCGCTCTGGACGGCATTGAGAACGCCACAGCTTTGTCGAGATAGCAGAGCAGTGGCACAGTCCGTGTACACTTTGGCGACCGTGTCTGCATATCTCGGAGCAAGGTCGAGCTGTTCGCTGGCTGAGTGAAACAAGGGGAGCAGGCTGTATATTTTGTCGCGGGGGTCTGTTGCTCCGCAGTGTCTTGATTCAACAAGAGCGATGAGCAGCGAAACCCTGATATCCGACTTCGCAAGTGAGCTCTGAGATGCGGACATGACGTAGGGCAGAGTCTTGAGCCACTTGTTGCTCTGATCCCACTCGTTGAAGTGCTTGACTGCAGACCAGGAGAGTATCTGGTCTCCGCAATAGACGGTCCCGCTCCTGGAGAGCATCGCCTCCTGGATCACCCACACTCTGGTGAACCAAGGCCGGCGGAAGAAGTTGCAAAGAGACTCGACGAGGGCTCTAGTCTTGGGATAGCTGAGCGATGTAGTCTCGGGGCTTGGGTTGTCGCACTCCTTGATGAACTCGACGGCCAAGTCGCTGCTGTCTGCCGCTTCGCCGAGGTAAATGGCCACTTGAGCTGCTTTGGAGTAGATCTTGGACATGAGGGAGACTTGATGGCCTCTTTCAACAGTGTTTGACTGATCAATGCACAGGTCATCGACCCAGAGCAATCGCGAGGGCTTGGACTTTAGCAGACAGCGAAAAGCGGAGAAGCAATTCGCCGTGATGGAGACATCCTTCGACCCGGCGGACTCCCCGGGAGCCGTGATGGCGATCGTCTTGCGGTTGGAGGGGTCTCCCCAGGTGTACGATAACGCTTCATAGGCCGGAGCTGCATCTATCTCTACCGTCTTGAACTCGCACACGATGGAATTGTCAATGCCAGCGGTGAGCGAGATGAGTCGGATGTGGTTCTGTGTTGGCAGGGGTGGGCCAGGATATGGCTGAATCGGTGTGTGGTGAGATGCCATATTACTGCACACAAGATCCGAGATTATGGAATCACGAGCTGTTCAAGATATGAGGGCTCAGAATATCTTCACCGATGTGTGTTTCGTCTTGATCGTGCCATCCTCCAAACCCCGCTCTTGATATGCATTTTCGTATACGTATCCCCCTGTTTGCACAAGCATAATAAATGCAACGTAAGCGTACTGCATACCTGCAATCAGTGTAACAGGGGAGGGGCATAAGATAACCGAGATTACGCAGTATGAGCTGGGCGAGCAGAGACTGAAATATTGGCTGCGAAAAAGCAATTTGACCACCTGATTTTGAATATATGCGGGGCTCCTGTGTCAAATGTGAACCTATGAAAAAAGCACGAGACAAACGGAGGGAAAATCCGGCTGGTCTTGGAAACAAGACGACATGAATCACTGAATCATCAACCGGAAAACAGGGAGCTGGATAATGAGGACAACTATTTTTAGACAAGGTTCGTCGACCGTTGGCTTGGTGGTAGTATTATGTCGAACTATAACGCGCCAAGTGATATAGATTGATCTACGCCAATGCATTTTCTGGTTTCGTCTTCTCGCATTAGAACGATCCACCTTAAAAATCATTCAACGGTTGAGGTATTGATTATTTCACATTACAAAGCGTCACACGTTGCACTCTCGTTATGTCATGTGCTCGTGGAGGCTGATGGTGTTGCGGGGCAGCGAGGGCTCGGGTAATATAATATACTGTTGTATTCAGATGGTCTGATCCGGCTACACCGCTTAAGTAAGAGCCTGGGGAGAGCATGAACAGCCTGTGAGAGTGATCGATGGCACATTGGCCAGTTCCAACCCTCACCATGGCTGGACTGCGCCATTTTGGGTAACTACACGGGCCACATCGGCATCCCGCTCCCCTTCCAGCACTCGCTTGATGAGGTCACCTCCAAGTGAAGGTTCCCCAGCCCCGGCCTTTCTTAGCAATTCCGGGTTTCCGGTAAGATTCGTTGCAAGCATTCCAGGACTGATAGACCACACCTTGACACCGTCATCCTTCAGGAACCAGTGCCAGGTTACCATGACCATGTTTAGCGCAGTCTTGCACGCCTTGTAGGCCTGGCCCCCCATGAGCCCTTCCTTCGGCCAGCCCTTTGGCACATTAGCAGCCCTAGCGGGTATAAGTCCCTGCTCATGGCCGGTTAAGTTGGCCGTCCCTGATGTGAGGAAGAGCAGTCTCGCATTCTTTGACTTGATAAGAAGAGGAGCAAAAGCGGCGGTTGTGACTTGAGCCCCCGAGACGTTGACGTCATAGGATTTGTTGAACAGAGTCCGGAAGTCAGCCGCATCGCTTGTGAAGAGCTTATCAAAAGCGGCGCCTTTCATCATATCATGTCAGCTCCGACGGTGTCAATAATGGCGGGATGAAGTGCATTCATGGCTCACCAGCATTGTTTACGAGTGCGTCAAGTCTTCCAAACTTGGTCTCGACCAGCTCCGCAGCTTTGTTGATCGTTTCATCAACGGTGACATCAATCTCAACCAGCTCAACGGTATTGGATGATCCCTCTAGAACCTCAGCCAGCTGAGAAATGGCCTCTTTTCCCTTTTCCAACGACCGACTTCCAAGAAGGATGTGATATGCCTTTGGAGATTGAAGCAACGCCTTGACAACCTCAAATCCAATTCCAGCATTGGCACCTGTGATGAAGACGATATCTTTGTCTACCATTTTTAGATTCGAAGGATAATATCAACGGTCAAATATGTGTGCTACCACTTGGTACGTAGAAAAGAAGGACGCCCGGGATTGGACGTCTGCGGGGTCTCCTGTGTATTTATATCTGCACCAACTCTGCATTGCCATGAAACGTAAGAGGTCTTTCTCCCCCGCCTTCAGAATGGAAGGCTTCCAAGCTGCCATTGGCCAATTTACTTTGAGTTCAGGCGTTATGGCCTTAAGACCTATAGCCGGGGATAATCTCGGACTTAAGGATGTAACCCAAATTCTGGCTCTCTCCGGGTGTTCCCACGTATAAGAACTCCAAAATAAAAGCACAGGACATCCTATGGCTCCTGGAAAGGACCTGTGGGATCGTTGTGACGTGTTGTTCGGAGGTCGGTACTCTGTCAATCCCGAGGGTGGAGTTGTCCACTACCAGGAGCTCCGATGATCGCAAACACCATGCGAGGTTTGAACGGAATCTGGCATGGATGGAATTTATTCATGTAGTAGAACCTTTTTGGCATTTCTCAGCCGAGTGACGGAGCTTGCTTGTGTAAATAATATAGGATCTATCCGCTCTGTATCATAACAAGTGAAAAGCCATGTCGGGAACAGGATCCTGAAGATTTCCCTAAGATGATTTGGATTCCTAAGTTTATTAAGTTTATTACGCGCACTTCACTTGGCCATGCGTCATATGCGTCATTTAGATCAACTGTATTCACCCCGAAGTGTCTGATGTAGGCTGAGACAGATAGTGGTCCACCCATAGTTTTCCACTGTTCGTGTTATACTCGTCAATTTCCAGACGATACCTAGATCCTGGTTCTCTCCGCATAGAGAGAGTGAGCACCAAACTTGGCACCTTCGAGCAGGTCACGGCCACTCTATCAGGCAGGAAGGTAAAGTCAGCTTTTGGCTTCCCCTTAAGATCGGCATACTGCTTGGTTAACCCAACCTCATCACTAGGTTCGGGCTCTTCTTCCAGTGTACACCAGTGATGATCTCTAAAGCTACCACATGCGATGATAAAGTAACTGCTTGTTTCATCTGCCTTTAGACAACAGCTCATCATCAAAATGAAGTTTCCCTCGTGGGGAAATCGATGTAGATTTTGGGTAGCCCGGACGGGATACGACCGTAGCAGCGTCAGACTCCTCTTGCGAGGAATGAAATTTATCCAGGTGCCATTTGTAGATTGCTCGGGGTCTTGGCGCCGACCGAATTGGACCAGGCCACCCGGGTGCATGTACAGCCGCAAGACCTTGAAACAACGCTCAAGAGAAGCATCCACACTGACGAGTGAGGCAGGGAAGATTCGGTAGTGGGATCGAGGCTCTGCAGCAGACGAATCTAGAGCAAAGCATAGCAGACGGTCATCTAGCTTGCAATAGGTCCAGGCGAGCCGGTTTGACGCCAACTGTCTCTCCATTGGTGTCAGATAAGCCCAATCAGGATGGGTATTTTTGACTTCAAGAATGGGAAGCCATATCTGAAGCCCTCGGCTAGTAGCCACGGGCGGTTCTTGGTGCCCAAAACTCTCATGAATATCACGGTATGAAAATTGAACGACCCTTTTAAAGTCGACATGATACACCATCTCGAGCTTTCTCTGCGTCTCCGGAGGTTTGTCATTGGCTTTTGAGAGGATCGGTTCTGATATAGTCCGCTGACTTGACCACATCACATGAGTAGACCTTTTCATGAGGGGGAACTCTGACGGCGCCGACGCCCAAGCACCGCGAACCATGGAATCAGGCTCAACATCAAGCTTGGGCGGTGCGATCCACGTGAACATGGTGTAGTCCTCTTGTTGCCGCAAAATCTGCTCTTGCAGGCGATAAAAGGCTTTGACTCCTTCGCCGTACAGGAGAGGCATGTTTATCCCAAACAGCCCAAGGAGACAGTATGCCATATCCTCTTCCCTCGTGGTCTGTCTTTTAGACGCCCAGGACATGCGCTCAGCTACATTGTGCACAAGGGGGCTTCCTCCCCGCAGCACATCCTCTGGGATGCCGGTTCGTTTGGCCAACATCCCTATCATACTGGATTTTGTGCCAATTTCCTCCCATGAATGCGTGTAGAACTCAACGTATTTGGGGGCAATCAATTCCTGCAGCGTCCACCCTCTTGTGAACCAACGACTCCGTGCTGCTTCCGAGAAGCTGAATGGTTTATTCGTCGCCCCCAAAGATGAGACGCTGCCACTCTCTGCGTCATCCTTGATGCGTACATCTGACAGATATGCGAAGCAAACGGTAGACGCCTTGTACCACTTGTACATCGAATTGATGGCTTCCGACAGTTCGGCAGAGCTGCTCTTGTCGATGCACAGAGTGTCAACCCACACCCACTCCAAATCGCACTCTTTTGCTTTGCGGCAGAAGCCGACGATCTTCTGATATCCCTTCTTCAGCTCACAGGCCCCGTTCATCACATCTTGGAACAGGACCTCATCCTCCTCCCACGTGTGGCTGAGGATGCCGTATGACGGGATTGGATCGGCAAACTCCTTGACTTCCAGTGTCGTGGTATTGAGCAGCCTCATCTCGGAGACCTCACGCGAGATTTTCCTTGCCCATGAGGGAATTAGTCTCGAGACTGTGCTGTCCTCGACCCGTAAAGAGATGACAGCAAAGCGCGTTCTATAATTATTTGAATTGAAGTGGCGAAGTTGTTTGACCCACTAAAAGTTAGTTGACTCCAAGCTTCAGATAAAGAGACCCGCTCAATTTGGTTGCATTTATCCCATCCATTAATGCTCACCCTATACGGTTGAAAACATCCTTATTATCTACTTATCCTACTCGATTTGCAACTGTTAGTTTTGCCAACTAGGGTAGAACTTTCGCATTTATCATGTTGATATATTTTGGGAATTTTCATCACACCTCGAAGTCTAAATTTCCCCCCATTCGAAAACAAGGAGTTCATGCAGAAGGTTTTACAAAGGAGTTAAAGACCAGGGTATCTCCTCACGGAACCTCAGAAAAACCATCTCCTAGTTCCTAGAAGCCGAGTCCCTGGCCTTTACCATTTGAGCTAATAAGATCTGGATAGGGTAAAAGGAGAGATCCCCCCACCGAAAGCGTAGGATGTACAAGCGAGGGGGCTCACACACAACCCTTGTACTGTATTTAGCCCTACCAACATGCATTAGCCTGGAACTGAACAGCGCCCAAGCAGATACCTCGTGCACACTCTGGGGATTGTTTACCATGGGCGAATGAACTGGAATATCGACTTCGATGTTCTTAGTTTACGACAATAAATCTCAGTGCGGCAATTAATAGTTGAGTATTGTTGCTTGCTGAAGGAGAACAAGATGAGAACTCAACATCACTGATTAGACTCTTTGATTTACGCGAGGTCATTAAAATCGCTATCAATAGAAGAAGGTGGAACATTATTCGCATTTAGCTATGGCATAGAAAACATCATTGTCAAAGGTAATGTCTTAAAACTGACAATTTACCGCCTGTAACGCCTGTACCAAGAACAATCCCCGAACCCATCGGAGAAGTCTCCAATATCCAAAACACCAATTAATTTGTCACGGCATAATGAAGTGCTATCCTTTCCTTTTCACCATACGCTAAACCATATATATCCAAAATTTGTTTCGCTGCCCATATGAATTTGAAGTACTACATCGAGTCTCGGTCATGCTCCGGATTCCGCTGATTTTAAGCGCCGATACACGACAGCCCCAATTTCGAGCGGATACAATGTTCACTCGGGCCGCAGACTTCGCGGCCGCATTGTTTGTCGTTTCGAGACGCGATTGAATCCGGATTTGCGGGGGCAGCTAACGAGGCAGATGCCAGAGCCAACAGGAAGAAGGCCGTAGACTTGAGGCAAACCATGGTGATAGTGCTTAGAGTATGAGCCTGGCTTTCGAGCGTAAGGTTGGAAATTTTGTTTAAAGTAGCCGGTAGCGGGCACAATAGATTGAATCAAGAGCGATGCAATCGGATGGCGGCTTCAAAAGAGTGACTGTTGGGCAGATATCAAAATCTTATCGAGGACCTGGGAAGGAAGACCTGCAACTAATATAGAGACATAGACATTCAGGTCGGATCGGATCTATTTCTGGGTGCTAATCTCGCGACAACTGATGGAGTTGGGGTAAGATATTTATGGATCCTCGTTCACATTATACTGAAAATATGCCACAATCCTGGCCTGTGCCGCAGCCTGTGGTCAGCGTACAGCCCCTTTGCATGGCTTACTGCGACCGGAAGTGAACGCTTCCGTACATATTTTTGTCAATTGAGAATTGCAATCTTAAATTTACGTTGCAACATAGCATTTACTAATAAAGCTTACTTCAAGTTGGTGTAGTATGAACTGCATTGTTACATATGCGTGCTAGAGAATAAGGAAGCCTGTGGAAATCTAGGTTTGTCGGTGTGAATTGACGCAATCAGAATATTCAACCACTTTCTCTTTCTATCATCAACTTAGCACTCTGGATGCTTCTTTTGAATGATTTCTAGCTTCTCACGGACATGGACTTTCCAACAGCGCATCCCTTCATCTCATATTGTCCTCTTCAATTCCCACAAGGGGTGATTGGAGAGAAAGAAGACTTTACAAGAAACAATATATGAACGAACTTGCCATACTTAATCTGCATTTACTCCAGATGGGCAACGTGCCTATCTGGTTAACTGGTTTACTTTATCCTCAGTCTTATTAATCAGAGCTGCGGCATCCGGAGTGGAGACTGCTGCCTGATGATCTGTTTTTTTTTTCCCTGGAGAATTGTCAGCATGCAGCAACAGACAACAAATCATTACTACTCTTTACTTGACGTGACTCGGGACCGTTCGCGCGATATCTTTGTGTTATGTCAGAAGAGCCCGAACCCTTGAAGCCGCTGAGGGCACCATTTCCTGGGAATGGCGGAGGCTATGGGTGGGATGACCGATATGAGGAGATTGTTAAGATCTTTCCACATGAGCCGCTCGAGGAGTATCTCAGAAACGGTTACCACCCTGTGGCTCTCGGTGACATATTCAATGACGGAAGATATGCCGTCAGGCATAAACTGGGGTTTGGTGGCAATGCAACTGTCTGGTTGGCAAGGGATGGTCGCGAAAAGTACGCTATCTGATCGCTTATGATGTCTGATCGCTGCTAATGTCTCTCAAATTCTCTTCTAGTCAATGGGTTGCTTTAAAGATTAAGCAAGCCAAAGCATCTACGGACGATATTGAACAGGATCCGGAGGTTAAAGCCATGAACTTACTCGAGCACAAATACACCATCCATGGCTCTACTAAGCCAAGATGTTTTAGTCGCCTGTTAGACTACTTCCAACACCTTGGTCCAAATGGAACTCATACATGTCTCGTGACTGAGCTTCTTGGGCCATCTATAGCACAGATTAAGCGAGTTTTCGACATGATGATCCCTTGGGATGACCCTGACTACCAAGAGGTCGAAACCTTCCGACCAGATACCATACTCAGATCCTCGCGTCAGCTCCTAGAAGCTGTTGAAATCCTAAGCGCCTGGGAGATCGTTCACGGAGGTATGGAACCGCATGCATCTTTCTCTTTTTGTTCTAAGCCGTCGTACTAATTCGTTGCAGACATTTCCCCTTCCAACGTTTCCTTCACCTGCCAAACTGTGATTGATGATGAGGAGGAGCTCATAGAAGTACTGGGTGGCGAGCCCATAGTTACAGAATACTCAGCCTCGGAGCCGCGAGCTGAGTGCCTTCCTAAGCATTTGGTGCACACGGCAACATGGGGCGGTTGGTTTGACTGCCCGGAGGAGAGTATCCGTCTGATAGATTGGGGAGAATCCTTCTCATCAAACGACAAAGTTTCAGTAATTTCTCAACCGAGCAACTTACGGTCTCCGGAGACATTTTTCATTGGCTCTTTTGACCATCGACATGACTTGTGGAGAGCCGGTTGCGTGGTAAGACACTTACGACATGTTATGTCTCCTACAACTGACTATGCTCACCACATTAGATTTACCAACTATTTTATCGACGGCCACCATTTGGCATTTGTTTGGATAAGCAGAACCATATTAATCTCATGACTCTAGTAATGGGGCCACTTCCATCGGCATGGCATGACCAATGGGTGAGAATAGTTCAAGAGAAGCCCGGCTTGGATCCAGAGAGTGAGTCCTGTTATCTCTTCCTTCCGTCCCTGCTTCGCTGCATGACTAAAACGTATTCTAGATACAGAAGAAACAAATTTTCAGCCTATACATAAAACTTTTGAGCAGCGAAGACATTTCATTATTAGTCTGACTGAAAAAGACGAAGACTTTGAAAAACCGGACTTCATCGAAGATGACTATCAAGGGCTTAGCTGTCTGCTCAGTGTCATGGAAGGACTGATGCAGCATGAGCCACAAAAACGCATTACATCAGGGGAAGCCCTGGCGAGGATGCAATGGGTTGATCAGTGGGTTTAGAATGAGCCAGAGAACGAAGACGAATGAAATCGAACAGCGGCATTGAATTTATCTTCCAAGTGGAGCTGTCACTACAATCCGAGACCACAAGCAATCATGAGACGTTATCGAGCTACCTCAAAAGACTTCTTATTTTGCAACTAGAATTTAGGATGTCTAACTCCTACGGAATTCTGACTTGGGTTGTGATCAGTAGGGTATAGCGCCCATTTGTGATAGCGACTAGGTTGGGACGATTTGTTTTCATCATAGCAGCCAAAAGGTGGAAGTCTAGTATATTATCGTGTCGACATTTTCGCCATCCGTTCTCTGCTTCATTGTGTATTTCCAACTCTGTGGTTTGATTGCTTCCGTTGTCCCCGCAACCAACCTAGACAGGGTCTCCTCTGCTTGCAGTTGGGCAAAATCTTCTCTCGTTTCGTTCTGTATCTTATGGCACTTGTGCTCAAGCTCTAGCATCCTCTTTTTTGTTCGTCGTGAGATCAGGCCAGACGAGTATAAGGCCTCCAGATTGTAGGCTTTGGGGAGCCGGCTAAACCTGCTCCGTTGGCAAAATATTGGTCGTATAAGCTATGCTATCACGATTGCTCAAGACGAGGCGCCGAGCATAAGAAAATCTTGAGTCGGCTTGGCGTAAGGACTCGCCTGGCCTCAAGATACCTCCAAGAAATAACTATGCCGATTTCAACCCTATAAAGGTGAAGCTTCAAGGTGTTCAAGTTAACTTCGTTAGAGAAAAGCTGGGGTCTCAAGGTGTCTAATTGAATTCTCTCAACTTGGGGCTGGGCCACACTAAAAAACGACTGTATTGTCTTGACCCCAGGACGGCCAATATGTTCAAGCCCCAAACCCTCACGCACAGATGAAACGATTAAAGATGCCCGTGAATATGTAGCAGCGGTGCTAAGGCCTCTTGTTCAGTAGAGTGGGATAGCCCTTCAAACCAACAATGTGGAAGTACTTCATTCCTAGGCGCATGAGGTCGGGAAAGGGTCAATCTCTTGGCTAGCAAGCAGTAGCTAGTAAACTGACAAGCCGTCGGATATTCGGCTCCCGAATCTCCTTGGTCGTTGTCCTTGCGATCTATATTAGACTCGCCGACATCCAAGTTTCATGTCTTCTGCTTCCAGCCTTCAAAATAATTATTCAGGCGGACCACAGTAAAGTATACATGATCCTCGAGAACAGAACGTCAGGTGACACCGCGAAGCCGGGCAACAACCTCCTGAGGTGACGGATGGATCGGATCAAGGCACCTTGCCCAACATCTCCAAGAGTGAGACAAATAAGAAGAGAGTTTGCCACAGCAGAACCTGGTGGGAAGGTCATAGATGAGGTGGAACAGTATTTCGACTAAAGCTCCTACGCTAGCAAGTGTAAAGGATTCGGGACAAGAAGGCCCACTGAGAAAACACCCCAGCGTAACAGGCAGCAATATAACTGTCGTCCGTGCTCGCTAGCCCGCCTCCAAACCGGCCCGTTAATAATCTCGATGCGTATTGAGTACCGCGTACCAGCCAGATCAACACTCAAAAGGGGGGAGCTGCCAGTCGTTTTCAGTAGTGACATTCCATTCTAATAATACTCATCCAAGCATCCAAGCCAAGTCCATCTCAATGCGAAATAAGGCTTGGCCAACAAGTTCTGGCCATGACCCCAGGCAATGTGTGGGTGCCGGCAAATCAAGGGTGACGTCAAGTTGATATTAAAAACTCCATCTCGGTGGGCAAAGTGCCGAGATCCCTGGAGCTCCCAAAATTACTTTCAAACAATACCGCGCTTCATCTTCCCGAAAGAGGAAGGCCGTAAGCGGCGCCTGAACGGGTGGATCTGATCCATCGCTACGATGTATATTACGCGTCCAAGTTTTGGTCCCGGCGCGGTGGGAGCTGGGCCCGAGCTGGGAACCGAGCTCGCCGCGCGCGGAGACCTCAAACAGTCTAGGCCCTACATAGTAGAGGCGGAACTACCGGTCGGTCAAGCGTAGGATCCTTCCAAGAATGGGTACCGAGTAACCAGGGAACGAGGGTCTGATTGGTATACCGGCAGGTTCTCAAAAGACGGTACATACCGTCTGTGACCTATTTTTGTCCCTGTACTGTTGGTTGCCATATCACGAAGCTACCCCTGGATTATACTTGGCAACAACTTACTCGCGGCAAGGGCTGGATAAGGTCGAAGATTTGTCCAATGCAATCAGTGGCATCAGCAATTCCTAGTCACTTGGTCGCAGTACGCAATACGCAAAATATTCACAGCAGTGGTTTCACACTGTCAACAACGCCTGCATCTACGAGTTGGAATCCCTAGATCTACTGTCTATCTCCCCTACTTGGGTTGCATCCAGAAGGTGGCATAAACAAGTGGGGAAGGCAGTTGGTAGTTGTCCTCATGAGCAAGGGGCAATCCTATGAGGCCAGGGCATACCGGAGTCATGCGGAATCGTTCTAGAAAGCGGTTTGGGATGCTCTCGGCGGCTCCATGCCTGCAGCCCCCACAAGATGAAAAGTCGACCCTGGCAGTATCTGTTAGTTCAGATCCTTTGAGTTTGGAAGCTAATATCCTGGAAATAACAATAGATAGTAGTATCAAATTGGAAAGATATATTTTTGGAAGTGCAAAGGCTGGGCGAACATATAGATAAATAAACACCTTTGTCCCTTCTCTCTTCTTGGAATTATTCTCATAGCATCATCAGTTCTTCAATTGTTCCTTTCTAATCCTTTCAGCAACAATTCTATTCCTATTTTCCTCTCTCTTCACATCTTTTCAACCGCCAACATGCACTTCACCAAGGCTATCTTCTCCATCTTCACCTTCTCCGCTCTGGCTGCTGGTCAGCTCTACGAGCGTGAGCTTGCTGGCGAAGATCCTGCCATGATTGTTCGAGAGCTCCGCGACGACTACCTTGTGGCTCGCGACTACTTCATGGAGACACGCGACTTGCTGGCCCGTGTAAGTAAAGGCATTAAACTGTGGTGTGTTCCCTTAGCATGTAACTGACAAGTAGCAATAGGCCCCCTCTCTGGGAATCTGCAAGAGTGCTGGCAAGTCCCACACCAAGAGCATGACTTGCATGTCCAGCCAGCAGTACTGCGGTACCTGCAAGACCGGCCAGAAGGCTGGTGACGCGTGCTTCTGCAAGGACGACTTCCAGCGCGACCAGTCAAAGCTCCCTCCGTATGTCTACCTCTCCCCGACCTTATGAATTATGCTAATATCACGGGATACAGTCTGAAGAAGATGGTCGGAAAGGAGCTCAAGGGCGGCAAGAGGGGTTAAGTGTTTATAGACGCTGGAATTCGAATTGCCCAAAGCCATGTGTGTAGACATATCGCCGGCTTTCCGCAAGTCAATCAGCCACATCCTAGCAATGGGAAGAATGGTCGTCGGAGAGCACAAGAGACCAGCTAGCAGCTGTTGCCAGCGTGGCCGTCTCTCGATTTGTATAGCTAAGAAAAGAGGTCCAATTAATGTCAGAAAATTTTGACCCATTTACTTCTCCCTGAATCTTTTCAAGTCTGCCTGGGGCGACTTAATTGTGAGCAAATCATGTCGGGTTCCCTTCTTGGGTGTTGTGCGACGCAGACGTCCTCGGAATTTCCCCTTGGAAACCCTGAAGACGAACCGTATCATCTCGGGTTTAACTTGAGGATGTCTCACCGGCATGAACAATAATTATATTTTACGCGGTTGATTCTTACGTATTGGTATTTGCGTGCATTGAGTGTGCTACTGTGTGCGACAGTGAGCAGATTACGACGTCGCATGGTCACTCCTCTTTCCGACCTCTTGTGATAGCGTTGTGCTCTCCGGTGTGGGCCTGGGTGGTATCGAAAGTGCAATATTGGACAGCCAGTGGTGTTACAACGTGCTGAGCCCGGAATATCGCGCAACACTGCAGCGCAACACAAGAGGTGGTGGTGGTGGTGGTGGTGGTGGTGGTGTCAGCTGAAGATTGAGTGCGACCCATCACCCGAGTCTAGGGTAGGCGTCCATCCAATGGCACCATGTTTGTTGTCTCAAATTACTAACATTAACTTTCCGCCCCCTCTTTGTCCACGGCGTCTGATGAGCTGAAAGCTGCTGCCCAACACTGGACCTAACCTTCGACCTGCAACTCGCGCTCTCTCTCCCGCTCTGTTTCGCGCGCACCGTCGGTTGGCCTGCCCCTGCTCGCCAGTGGCATCGCGGAGAGCCATGGCGGCGAAACGCCTCCCAGTCGAGATTTGGTGGGCTATTGGCGAGGAGATCGACAGCACCGGGGATCTCGCGTCGCTGGCCGAGGTCTGCACCCAGCTCCATCGCATTGTCAATCCACAGCTCTACAAGCTAGCGGTCCGGTCCGGCATTGGCCTCAAGGCCATGTTCTGGGGTGTCAGCCATGGCATGCAAGGGACAGTCAACCACTGTGTTGCCGCCGGCATCGACCCCAATATCATCTGGCACTCGAAGGAGGACGCCAAACTCAAGATACAACTCATCCCTACGGTCGAAGAGTGCGTGATCTCGGCCCAATCGTCCATCACGCTGCATGATGAGACGTGGGACCACAGACCCCGTTACTGGTCTCCCATCCACATCGCCGCCATGTTCGACGACTTGCCCATGGTCAAACTGCTGCTCCAACATGGAGCTCGCCCGGAAATCGGGTCTTTTGGGGCCTGCCCATGTTACCATCTCCACGATTATACTCGGCGAGTACGATCATCCTTCATCTACTTCCCCTGGGCTCGCTTTCCCTCGTGGACGCCCTTCCACGTCGCCATCTGTACGGGAAGCCTCGAAGTCGGAAAATATTTCATGGAGGAGAATGAGGATACCGAGATGGAGTGCTTCGACTGGTATCCCTCCAGACCTCGTACAGGAATGACCCCGTTCCATGTGGCAGGTCTCACCGGTAATGACTACCTTCTCAGACTGTTGATCGAACGCAAGGGCATACGCGACATTGAGGCGGCAGACGCCCGCGGAGCTACTCCTCTTGTTTTTGCCTGCTACCACGGAAATTGGGAGTGTGCTTCCATCTTTCTTCAACACGGTGCAGACATTAACAGAATCTGCACCAGGCAGATTGAGCAGCATCCCGGCCATACCGAGACTTACAGCACCACAATACTGGCTGATACCCTCGAATCTTCCAGATTTGAGGACTGTCTCCGTCTCCTTGAGCTTGGATCTGATCCACGGATTTCTGATCGAGCGCGTCAGGGTCGGCTGCCCTTGATACATCAGCTTTGTATGGACTCCTGGGATCGCGGTTATTGGGATTATAACGGAACCACTACCCGCCAAGTTCGTACAGAAGCCCAGGCAGCCAGTGGCCTGAAGTTGTTGGACCGCTTCATCAAAGAAGGCCTCGACTTTCGTCAGTCGGCACGGGAACACCTCGACTTCGGAGCCATCCACAATACCGCCCTGTGTTTCGCGGCCGCCAGCGCAAATCTTGCCGCGGTGAAGCGTCTTATAGAAGCTGGTGCAGACGTCGATGGCGATCCACAGCAGGACATCATGACCCCCATGGCCCGCGCGTGCAACGTATACAACGGCCCCGAGACCGTTGCGATGGTGACCCTGCTGATAGACTCGGGCGCTTCGGTAAACCGCGTGAGGGAAGGCACCAAAGCGCCCTTGTGGATGCTCTGGGACGATGTGAATATAGACGCGGCCCAGAATGAGCTGAGAAAGACACTGACAGACTTGCTTCTGAAGCATGGATCAAACCCCGGACGAGGCACAGATATTGACGACATCGCCTTTACAACTGCCTTGGACGGCCGGCTTCTCCAGAAGGATTTCGCTGGCTTCGAGGACCTTCGGGCGAGAAGCGCGCCGGGCTCGTTGGACGATGACGACTTTCTTGGCTTCTGGGACGTCGCTGTTAGGATGGAGGATCCGGAAGTTGTTCGATACGTCCTAGAGTACGACACAGAAGGGGTGATTGCTCAGAGATGCCGCACTGCTCTGGCTTTCCTCCTCACCGACCTGCCCCACGAGACTGATCTTATATTAACCCTTCTGGACCGAGGAGCGGACCTCAATGAGACCTGTGCTAACGACACCCCCTTGTCGTATGTCATAAGTCGAACTACATGGCCCATCCCTCGGAAGGAACTTCTCTTGAAGACCTTGCTGGACGCGGGAGCGTCTATTCATCGCAGGCCAGAACGGCCGCCCGTCCAGGCACCGGGAGATGAGGTGGATACTCTGTATCGCGACGTGACTCCTCTTGACTTGGCTATACAAGGCTTGGACAGTTGTACAAGACTTTTAGAGATGATGCTAGAGATGCAACCCCTGCGAGACGATTCAGAGATAGACGCCTATCGTTACATCCGCAAAGCGTGTGAGGTTGGAAACTTTAGAGCACTTTCCGCCATCATCAAGTCCTCGGAACATGCGCACCAGACTATGTGCGAGAATGCCTCCGCTCTGGTACACCACCTGCTTGACTGTCTTCTCGACAGCACCACCATGAGGCATGTCAATGCGACGGCGGATTGCCTGGAACTCCTTCTCGAGAACGGCGTTGATCTCTCAGGACCCCTTCCCGACGGAGCGTGGGACGACAGGCTGGCTAAGCAGAAGCTCCTTGGCTACATGTCGCTGGACAACTCTCCACAGTGCAGCGACAAGGACAGGGCTCTGGCTTGGTGTCTGCGCCAGAAGATCCATTTCACGGACAATGACGACACCCCGGTCTTCAAGCCGGAAACCACGGCATTGTTCTTCCAATTGCATACATCTCTTGACAACCTGGGCAAGATCCTGGGCAGTGACTCACGACGATATCATATTGTTTCTACGGGAAGCTAGGATGCTGGGCAGATTGACCTTTTCACTATTTTCTAATACTCTTACGACCTTTATTACCCCAAAATTGAAAAATCTAGCGTTTAGTTTTCCTTTTGACTGTTATTTCACTTCTTATCTCGTCATAGCTCCTAGGCGAGAGTACTAGTTTTCAATTCAAGTCGTCATGTTATGAACAAATTCAAAATGCCATGATGCAACTGAACTCATTTGAGTGTGATGCACTGACCCGCGAGCGATCTTCTCAAGCAAGATTCAAAATATCCTTCAGGACGTTGAGCGCCCTGAAAAGCTCATTGTCATGGTATCTCCTTGCCACGATCTGCAAGTTTATCGGGGCTCCCTCAAAGTTCCCCGTTTCCCACAGCTCCTTGACATGCCGGCAAGCATCGCTCAGTGGAACATAGCTGGGATCGTATTCTTCTCCTAATTCAGCCTTGATGGGCGTGGGGACAACGGCTCCTGGATAATCAACAAGGTTATAGAGCGAGGTATATGTCCAGTAGAAGGCGGTGTCGTGGGCGGACGCTGGTCCAACAAACGCAGGCCCAATGACAATGTCCACATCCTGCTCCGTCCAGCTCTTGGCAAAGGCATGTCGGAACCTGTCTCTCTCGTCTCGCATTAGACTCACGTCGGCGGCGGTCTGCATCCCCAGGGGCTCAGCCGTTTGGCAAATCCACTTGGTTAGGGTGTGGACTGGCTCCCCAGTAGAAATAATGGCGTCCGTTGTGAGTTGACCGCCGTCCGGCCAGTACATCAGTCGAATCTTGTCCCAGGCCTCTGCCGCACCAAAGACCTTGAAATCCCTGAGCTCGACGAGATCCTCGTATTTGGGGTCGGATAGAAGACCCTTGGCCCAAGACAACGCCCTCTTGACGGGTGGCTGAGGCATGATGAACCCGTCGTTGTCGATGATACCAATCTTCAACCTCCGGCCAAGCGGGGGTTCGATGCTACCCCATGGATGCGGAATCAGCTCAGGATTAGCTAGATGCGGCCTTGCAGAGAGGATAGACCGCATGAAGAGATCCATGTCCCTCAAACTACGACCCATCGGCCCGGTCGACGCCAGCACATTCAGCTCGCCTGGGAACGTGCCCCTGCTGAAGCCCCTCATGGGCAAGATGTTGGACGTGGGCTTGAACCCGTAGATGCCGCAGAAGGCTGAAGGTCCGCGGATGCTGCCGCCGATGTCAGTGCCGACACCGATGACCGAGCCCTTCATCGCAATTAGCGCTGCTTCGCCCCCCGTAGATCCACCCGACGAGAGATGAATGTTGAAAGGGTTCAAAGTTCGACCCCAGTGAGAGTCGCTCTCAAGGTGCATGATTGACTGTGGCTGGTTGGTCTTGCAGTAAAAGACGGCGCCCTGACTTCGGAGGATTGCGACCATTTCACTGTCCGTATCGTCCATGGCGATACCGCCAAAGTATCCGTGTGAGGAGCATGTCCCGCGTATGGCTATGTGCTCCTTGATACTGATGGGAAGCCCGTGGAGGGGGCCGATGGGCTTTCCATTCTTGGCCATATAGTCATCCAGTGCTTTTGCTTGTTCAATGGCTTCGTCCATGAACCATGAAGTCAGGCAGCAGGTAAGCTGATGCGCAATTATCGCACGCTTGCAAAAGGCAGTGGTGACAGCAACAGCCGTGTATTGCTGCTTTGCAAGCGCAGCAACAAGACCGACGGCGTCATGATTCTCCGTGATCTCGATCTCAGCTTTCGATAAAATTCCACAAGATGCAGGAATACCTGAAACATCGGTGGGCGGATTCTCGATCAGTTCACGGGGCAGATGGTAATCTCGCAGAACTTTGGAATCAAAAGCGTCAAGAAGGGCGGCCCTCATAGCCTCGAAGCTAGCGGTCCCTCGAGGAACCGGCTTGGAATGGACAACAGGAAGCTTTCTCGCTGGCACATCCGTTGTTGGAATGCCTATCTTTGAAGGATATGTGCTATCCTTAGGTACAAGGTGCTGAGTCTTGACCCCGATGTGAGGGGGCGGCAGGCAAGAAGCGACGCTCATGGTTTCGGAGTAAGACAGTCAATATGTGTTGGTAGAACTTTCCTCGTTTTGAAGGTTCAGAAACTTGCTCAAAAAGAAAGAAGAGCTATGAAGAGGATTGCAGCCGTGTAGCGCTGATGACATGGCACGCTAAATTCTATATATACGTGCCCTGTTATTTAGCAAACGGCTTACTCAATTCCTCTGGCCCGAATTTGATACAAGCGTTCTAGACAAGTCACTTCACTATCAGCTGAAGATCAATTTCCACCTTCAATATCAGAGACGTCTAGGGCGCAAATACATCTTACTGGTCCAAGTGCTCAACTTCTGCACTCCCTCCCTTCTCAAGAAGAGCATTGTCAACCTGCCGGTTTCCCCGGGGAAAGTCACTACACTAGCTGAATTCTAATAGCATCATCACTATCCAAAGTCTCCAGGGGCGCAAATAGATGTTACTGGTCCAAGTGCTACCCCTCCCCTTATCAAGGGCCTTGCCGACCTGGCCACATGATTAGTATCGCGCTTTACCCCGGCTTACGAGGAAACTGACCAATCGCATGTATTTACGCGATCCACTCCAATGGACAGACACTAGTGGAATTGGTGTCTACCGAAAGCGGGTTGCCTTGAGTTGTATCGATTGAGGGTCGGTCTGAGAACATCTTCACTGTTTGACATCGTTATCTCTACTCCAAGTGAGTCGAACAAGGTCCATGCTGGCAGACAAAGTCTCCGGCTGTCCGTCAGATGATAAAGTATGTAAAGACGCGGAGGACCACGTCTCATATTGCCAATTTACCTTCACACACATCCCAACTGCCAAAATTCTGTTCTTTCTGCAAGGCCACTCCTCAACGAACAACATGTCGGACGCAATCGCGATTCCCGGCACAGTCCATCTCGTGGATCTGGGAAATAACTTGCATTCCCGCCATGCTACAGCTACTGATGATATCGTTCTCAATCCGACCCCTTCCAACGATCCGAACGACCCTCTCAATTGGTCCGCTCACCGAAAGACTCTTTCGCTTACCTGTCAAATCTTGTAAGTCGACGAAATCAACATGGTGATATGAGATCGAATCATTGCTCACGTTTCTCGTGCTGTAGGTACACGTGGTTCACAGGTATAGCCGTTTCTACGGTGTATTCTGTCATCGTGCCCCTCTCCGAAGCATCTGGAGTATCGATTGCCACTCTCAATGAAGGGACTGGATACATGTTCCTGTTCCTAGGATGGGGTCTCTTGTTCTGGCAGCCAATGGCCTTGCGTTACGGTAAACGCCTTACACTGCTCATCTCCATCTTGGGAGGAATTGTACGCAACTAGCCCTACAATTCGTGGATGGTACACTTAGCTAACTATTTATCATTAGGGTACAAGTGTTTGGAGGTGAGACCGCTCTTAGATTCATCTTGCTGCAAAAAATCTTGCCTTGATTGTGGCTGACAGGCAGTTTCCAGTGCATACATAACGAGCAATGGCGAGTGGATAGCCAAGTGTATCTTGCAAGGATTCTTCATCGCTCCGATTGAGGCTCTTCCTGAGATTGCCATTACTGACATCGTGAGTTTGAATTTGACGTAAATTTTAATCTCTTTCTAACACCGCATTCTAGTACTTTACTCACGAACGCGGCACATACATGGGATTCTATACCTTTGCCCTTGCCGGTAGCAACTACTTCACCCCAATCATCTGTGGCTTCATTGCCCAGTACCAAGGCTGGCAATGGGTCTTTTACTGGCCTGCTATTTTCCTGGCATTTGTGTTTGTCTTTTTGCTCCTCTTCATGGAAGAGACCAACTACAACCGGCCCGCGATGCCTTCGGCGACAGTACAACTCACCTCGCAGGTCACTGAACAAACTGCCGACAAGAAGAACGATCTCAATACCGAAAGCTCCTCACAGGCCGAGAATGGCGAGATTCACTCCATCCCCAAGACCTTTCTTCAGAAAATGTCACTGTGGCAGCCCTTGCCCGGCCAAGGCATGGTTCGACGTGCCGCCAGATCGTTGAAATTCCTGAGCTGGCCAGTCATCTTCTATGCAGGCTTTTCATATGGCTCGTATCTAATATGGTTCAACGTCTTAAATGCCACAGCTTCGATTATCCTATCTGGCAGTCCCTACAACTTCGGGGCATCAATGGTTGGACTCAGCTATGTATCGTGCTGTATCGGCGTGCTTGTTGGCGCAATCTTCTCCGGGAGACTCAGCGACTGGCTGACCATCAAACTCGCTCGCCGCAACAATGGTGTCATGGAGGCAGAGCACCGCTTGTGGCCCTTTGTGACCTGTGTCATCGTGGTGCCTGCATCTCTGATACTTTGGGGAGTTGGCGCCCAGCACGAAGTCCACTGGTTCGGTCTGGTGTTTGCCATGGGCTGTCTTGCCTTCACCAGTTCAGTCGGTATCACACTGAGTGTGAATTATCTCATCGACAGCTACCATGATATCAGTGGCGATGCTATCGTGACAATCATTCTTGTGCGGAATACGATGTCGTTTGCTATTAGCTATGGGTAGGTCATTCCCCTCGCTCATTGTCGTTCTCAAGACATTCATGACTAAATGGTGATGATAGCATTACTCCGTGGCTGACCAACCTTGGATATCAAAACTGCTTCATTTCCGCTGCGTTTATCGGCATGCTAGCGTCTTCTGCCTTTTTGATTATGATTGTGTATGGCAAGATGTTTAGGGTTAGGAGCGCCCAGGCATACGCAGAGTTGGTCGAGGGTGACAGGCAGCAATGGGAATCTAAATGACGATAGCTTAGCATGCGATTTGAAACCCCTTCGAAGTAGAAGGTGTATCAATCAACGGGTTTCGTACAATGTATAGAGCCGGCGGGACTTTCCGCAAGCTAGTTAATGCCATCTAAGTTCCAACCTTCATGCGTGAACTCGTTACCAACCCGTATAAGGGGTTCAGATGCTTGGCAGCCCCCATGTTTGAGAGAGGTAATCTGCTATCGCTTGCGGTTCTTATCTCTTTCCGAAATGCGAGTCAACTCACCCATCCCTACTGATAGAATCAAACGATATCATTCGCGGAGCCCGTGGGTGTGTGGGGAGTAGGGGAGAGCCCGTCTACTTATACGTATCTTTTACCCCGCAAACTTGAGATTTCTCTGATAACATTCCGACACATCGCTCTTACATTCCGAGGCCACCACTTTCGGTTATACCCTCGTTCGTCAACTTTTCAAAGATGAACCCCCAGCTACAAGCACGATGAATGTTGTTGGGAAGACAAGGTTGCGTACCAAGACCGGCTGTCTCACGTGTAAGTTTATCTATCTTTGGGTTCGATTCTTTTGGGATCTGACCTTTGAACATCAAGGCCGACAGCGCCGCAAGAAATGCGACGAGAAGCTACCGATATGCGGGAATTGTATATCCTCCCACCGTGATTGCCAGTGGCCAACATTTGCAGATCTCTATGATCGCAGATACGCATCTCATTCAGAATCGCGTCATCGAGAAAATCTGTCCAAATTTCAAGAATCCGGATTGAACTACAATAGCCTGCATAAACTTTGCCGCTCTTCTCATGGCCAGCATAAGCTGTTTTTATCAGGTGCTGAACTTTCCAGTTCTGCCGTTGCACAACGGGTGCTCTCACAAGAATTGGACTGTCACATTTCTCGCCACTTTGTGAACAAATTCTACTCTCTTCTATTACTGCCTTACTGCCACACTCAATATCACGATGGCTGGCTGTCCGAATTACGACAAGCCATGGAAACTCACAAAAGCCTTTACTATTCTATTCTGGCCTGCGCTGCATCTCATATGTCGATAATCGATGCCTCTTCCAACATGAAATACATGGCACTTGGTTATTACACGAATTCTGTCAGAGAACTTTCAAGCCTTCTTTCTACCATCTCGCAAGATGATAAAAACGACGGGCTGCTAATGACCATCATGATGCTGTCCCTTCATGGAGTAGGTTTTCTTTTTTGGTACACAGCTGCACAGAACTTGACTAATTTTTCAGTTGGCGAGCTGGGACACTAATTGTGATATTCCGCAACATATTCAGGCAGGAATCAGACTTCTGACCCTTCATGTGCTAAACAAACCTCTGGCGGTTTCTCGACTGTTTGATAGGCTATCGCTTGAGAGCGTCATGTACGCAGTATTCATTAGTACGGCGAGTCTCTGGTCAGATTCAACTGGCTCTCACTTCACGTTTGACAACGTCTTCTGGAACCGAGCGGAGCAGGTTTTGGGGCAAACCAATTTCTTCCCAGAAAATTCAGGAAGCTCAGACAGCCCCGTCCTCGGTGTCTCTGTTTCTCTCTTTCGGATTGCCTTGTCTCTTCGGCATATCTTTCGCACGGGGATACTGCCCGAACCCTCGGAGCTTCAACGCTTACAACACGATGTAGCCGACTGGGAAGGACTGCTGCTTGAAGACCAGAATCTTCTGAATTATCTCCCAGACGACCCACAAGGACGTGACTTCCAGGAAGATTATCACAAGACTGCTATCCACCTCTTCACGCTAGTTACGTCCTTGCTACTCGGTCAAATTCTCCGTGGAGGTGTACTGGCTGGACTCCCACAGACAATTTCGCGTGGGAGTTGGCAGATGAGCCTAGCAATTCAAATCGTCGAGAAGTACGCAAACGACAGAGTATGGGCTACGTGTTTCATCGTGCAGTGGCCGATATATACCCTGGGAGTGTTGATGGAGCTGCCCGAAGACCGGCAGCTCATCCGTAAGCAGCTCCAGCAAAGCTGTGATGTCACCAGCTTCGCACAAGTTGCGCGGTATAGCTACGATTTAGAAACTATATGGACAACTCGAGAAGGAGTGGCACCTATCGATGAGGAGCAAGAGTCTGAAGGGGGTTTGCATCTATTATTTTGAATTCCATCATAATAAACGGCAACTGGAAAACTTCTTTGTTGTATTTTGACCCCCAGAATGAGCTCATCATCACAAAGTAGTACGATCTTGACGTACTCTGTATCTTTCCCTCCAGTAAAGGTCAGCCTACCACATACGTTCAAGGCCAAAGTTCAGCCTTTCCCCAGGACTGATCATCTGGACGAAGCACATATTTGAGCCGCTTGTGCTGGCGATCCGCCTGCCCTTGCCAGAATTCCACCTCGATGGGGGTTACCGCATAAACGGCCCAATCGCTGAGAATAGTGTCAGGGTTCTTGGAGAATGTTTCCTCAGCGATGCTGCGGCTCTTGATGAGGTCTCCCGCGTCCAGTAGCACCTGGCTCTGGTTCGACGCCATTGCACTGATCCTCGAGCCAAGCGGGCGCTGGGCAAAGTCCTGACGGCACTCCTCTTCGGGCAGTCTCAAGGCCGTGCCCCGGATCCGGACCTGTCTGCATATATCAGGCCAGTAGAATGTGAGCGCGACACGCGGGTTCCCAGCGATGTGCTGGCCCTTGGGGCTTGTAGATTTGACGGCAAAGTGCCAGCCCCGCTCGTCCACGTTCTTCAGGATCAGGACGCGGGCATCTGGGAATCCAAAGCTGTCTACTGTCGACAGAGTCATGGCGTGTGGCTCCCTGACGCCCGCATCAATTGCATCACTGAGCCACTTCTGGAATGCTGCATGAGGGGTTTCTCCCAGGTTGTCCAACGCTGACTCGTGGTGAGCACCTTGAAGTACGGGGATACCTCGTAGTAGGGATTTAATGGGAGCGGGCTGATCCGCCATTATCACTAAGGTGGATGTGTTTATGTATTTCCAAAAGAATAATACAGCTCTTGGATATGCCCCAATGTTGATGTACGCGAGACGAGTGATATAGCACTCGGCTGTCGGCAGTCTCATCCCGAGAGCAGGGATTCTAGATGAGTCACGCTGTGAGACAATACGAACCAACAGTGACGCACAACAAAGTAGATCTACTAAAGCGGTTTCGGATGACGAATTTATTTATCAACGATATCGGAAATCAAGTGCCCATAATTCGAGCACATGTCGTCAGAAGTTGTGCATTCATGCAAATACCAAAACCCATCTTCACTAAGGGTAGCCTTGGTTGGGGAAATCCCTCATTTTGATTAGGTACTTGAAGCTACTTGCTTCTCTACATATTCCCTAATGTTGTCCTTCAGTGATTGCTGGAGGTTGATACTGGTCTGATCCGCACACCAGGCCAGGTGTGGTGTGAGTGTGAGATTCAGCCGCTTCGCCTCCTCGCTAAGAAGAATACTATCTTCTGCACATCCTGCAGGCTCCTTTTCAAAGACGTCAGTTGCCGCTCCCTGAATTCGGCCCTCAGAAAGTGCTTGAAATAGAGCCGCCTCATCGATAGTACCACCTCGTCCGACATTAATGATTATGGCATCCAATCTCATCTTCCGAAATTCGGCGGGACCAAATGTACCAAGAGTCTGCGGGAGTAGTGGTAGAATATTGAACAGAACGGTAGCCTCACCAAGCGCCTCTACGAAGGGGACGCGCGTAGGATCATCGTGGCTCGTTGAGTCTTTCCGACCAGCCACGATGACCTTCATTCCCAAGGTCTTGCAGAGGTTGGATATCCGCTGGCCAATTGGTCCGTATCCAAAAATGCCCACAGTTTCATTCTTGCTGCTACGGGGAGGTTGCCCCTTGCTATCCTTGACAATAGATGACAGACTCCCGTTCGTTTTCCAGTGATTAGCCTGGGAGGGGCCATAGGCATAGAGTGCGTTATGGAGCGACACAAAGCTCCGTCGAGTGGCAAAGTACTATTTCTCTTCATGTCAGATTTCCAAAATAAAGGATAAGCTAATAAAGAGGACTTACCAAGCCGAGGGCATGTTCTGAGACTGCATCCGCCGCTGCAGTCGGCGCTGAGTATATAGCAACCCCTCTCCTTTCACACTCCTCGACGTCAATATGATTTGTGCCTGCCGTTTCAGTTATGACACATTTTCTACCCTGAGATCAGCATAGGCGCATGATGTTGATCCCTATTTCGAACCACATACAGGTATGGCGCTTCACCAAGTGTTTGAGCATTTATCGGCACTGTCGTCGTTACCACAATGCTGGCATATTTGATTCTCTCCGCCACAAGAGCCGTGTCTTCTTTTGGCGTAAACTCATAGGAGATGAACTCATGTGAGAACGGTGACGTGTCGACCGAGGTAGCCGGAACATGGATGGTTTCAAGCTTTACGACGACATGATGAGAATCATCCGGTAACTTTTTTGGAACAATTATATCCCCCATTTTGATAACAGTGTTGATTTCACAACCAGAACACAATCGTTAAAGAGTAGTTTCAGGGCGTTACCTCGGAAATCAGCGGTTATATCAGCGGAAGCGCTGAATTTTAAGGTTCCAAACAAGCGGACGGCTTGACTTGTCATGTTTTGACCATTAGGGCGCGCAACAGGGCGCGAGCGGGGTTATAGCCAATAAGATTCTAGTAGATTCTCCTATCTTTCTGGTAACTAAACCCAGTCAAGGGCTTGAGAGTAATCTGGTGGATCTTTCAGGGGCTCGACGTGAATAATCAACAAATACCGCGCGAAAAGAGTCAAGATCCACCTTGCCGATCTAGATATCCCATTGTTTAACATACAAGGATAAAATGAGATCTTTGAGTTTAATCTATCATTCTAAACTTATTTTGTTACAATATGGATAACGAGAATTACCCTTTGTTGAGGGTCTCAGTAAATGCTATCGCAATAGGTCGCCGGAATATAAGCTTCCCTAAAACACATCATTACTTTAAGCTATAAGCCCTATTGGCATATTAAAATACTCGAAATTTCTAAGAAAGCAGGACGGGTTTTGTTTTCCCAGTGGTATTTCCAGATTCCAGGAATAAACACCCCCTGTGTTTAGTTGTGGTATCCCTTCCGACAGCTTATGCTAGATCTGATGTCTTCACCTGCGATTCCTCTCTCTTTGACTTGTTTCTCTGCCACGCCTCCATCATGGCTGTTTTAATAGCATCTTCGCCAGCGGCAAAGTTTGCTCTCGACAGATCCAACAGCATGTCGATCTGCTCAGGAGTCCACACCAAGTTGTAGGACCCCGAGAATTTCGCCGTTGATGGATTAAAGTCTTTGACGGCTTCTTCGTTTGGAATAATTGGCATGTAAATCATAGTTGATTCCTTGGTGAAGACGGGAGACGGGGGGTTGGTGACGGTTTTGCCATAGGAGTTGACGACCGTGGCAGGCCGCTCAGTCGGCGTACCGTCATAAATCTGTGCATACTTTCCTTCGTAGGGATTATCTGTTCCCTTTTCTCTTGTATCAATCTTGGCTTCTTTGCTGGCTTCCTCTGGAATACTTTCTCGCCGCTCGGTAGGAGTGGAGGATTCAGCTGCTGGGTCTCTTTTCTCCTCCTCGGTCGTGGAGTTGTCATGAGCCTGCTTAAGCACGTCGGTATCTCGTTTTGTAAATTTCATACCCTTTCGGCTTCCGATTTGATCTACTCTTTCCTGGAATGTGTCATTCAACACATCGCTTGATGCGTCCATGTTCATGATGATGTCAACTCCTCGTGCAGGGAGCAAGAGAACATATGTCGGGCAATTATTGTCCATTCCACTATCGATCAACTCGATCGTCTGCGAGCTCTCCAAATCGGATAGTTTCTTCTTTTCCTGGTCATCTTCGGTGTACTCGTACATATAATTATGCTCCTCGCAAGCGTGCAGTGGGTGATGGTTCTCGAATTGCTCTGTGCCGCGTTCACCCCACCACCAACTTATCGTACGAGCAATCTCCCGGATAGAGGTCCCAAATATCCCATAGGAAAGATTACGATTAATGGTAGACAAGTATGATGCCAGGTGGGCTGCTGGGGCGCTCGTTGCAAGCCCTAGAATCAAAGACAGCGACTGCTCAGGGAGTTGGGCGGTTGATTTTCCATGGCTGAAAGGGCGTCCGAATGCCCATGTTGGGACCCAGGCCTCGATCTCATCGCACCCTATTTCATAAGGCGTCATTTCAAACCATTGATACCACGAGTTGGGAGTCTCGTTGTCACTGCTACCCTCAGCAAGCTCCGCATCATCAGAGGAAGAACCATGTTTTGCACGATCAGACGATCGTTCGTGTCGGATGGCAGTCATGATTGGCAGCGGCTCATGTCCATTATCAGTATGACTACCGACATCAGAATATTTAAGCCACTTTGCCTGCGATGTAGCGGCGTCTCGTTCTCTGATGTGGCCTATCTCCAGCTTGGCCTCGCCTTGGAAGAATATGTACCCGCTCGTGAAGGTCGAGTACCAGTCCATCGAGTGCGTTTCAATGCCGCTCTTGTGTTTCTGAATCAGCGGACCAAGAGTGATCTTTGCACCGCTCTGTGTGCTGAGGATGGCGCGGATGGCATCGCTGGACAGAGGATGATAAGGGTAAAATCTCGCTTTGCAGTGGTCGATGGCTGCTTGTATGTTACAGTTGGCAATGGTGTAGTATATCCCGAGGGCCCAGCACGAGCCAGAGACACCGGATGTATATGCGAGGCAGTCCCAGAGGCCGTGCTGCTTCATCGCGTCCATATACCCAAGACACCCGATCAGAGCGCGGAAGCCTCCTCCACTGCCTCCAAACGCAATGACTGGCACGTCATCCGGGTGAACATCGTCTGGGTCGAGGTCCAAATATTTTGCGAATGCGAGTCTCATGAGCTCCCTCCTGTTCCGTAAGAATCGCTGCTCTTCTGGGCAAAGTTCCAGCCCTCGCCTCACCTCTGCCACAGAGGCAATTTCAGGGTGAAGCGTCGCGTTCGTGCTCTCCCTCTTGAGACGCGCCTTGAGCGCCGCCGTACCGAACAAGATCTTCATGTCCATAATCGCTTCGGGAAATGCCGGTTTGATTACCTTTTCCCAGAAAGCTCTCCATTTTCTCCAGAAGAAGGCCCGCTTCCTCTTCTTCTTGCCGTGCTGATCGACCACGGCTGGATGGCCACCAGCCTCCAGATCCTGAGGCTTGGTTTCCTCCAACTCATCATCCCGAAAGTGTTCGTGAAAGTGCTCACGAATTGGCGTCGGTCCGATAATGTATGGCTTCTTCTTCAGCTTCTTGGCGAGCTCCTCCTCATACTGCCGCTGCTCAAAGGTCTCCGACCGACCCGTCAGGCTGCTCGAACTGTCATTCCACATGATCTATGCAAGCTATTTGAGAGCTATTTTTTGCTCTATAACAAGTAAAAGAGGGAGAGAAAAACACTCACCGTGGTTGAAACTCTGACATGGTGGATCGCGAAGACTGTGCCGACTTCAGGTTTAGGCCGCGTAGCTGTCAAGCCAAGGACTGGAATGAATGTTAATTTGTACGCGACTCCATCAAATGACACCTGAGAGAGATTTGAGGGCAGTTGCTAGTCGTCTCATGTTGGCTGGTGGCAGTTTTACCGACTTTAATTCGTTCATCGATCAATTTATAGCCGTGGTCCCATGTGGCTCAACAAGGCCCTCGGATTGGTCGGCGACACCAAGGCGGATGTGATGAGCCGTCGTCAGCTCAAAGTTGTATTGCGTCCTTTATCGAAGGAATTAATCAGTCACAAGCGAGACTCCTTATTGCTGCTAGCATGTTGATTTTCCAATGCACAAAGTTTCACAGACGCACATATTGGTTTTAGATCATCAGAGGATCTAATTCCTGATATAGCTGGTATGTTCTACATGAGACAGTAGCTAAGGAATAAGGACTAGGATAAATTAAGAAGCAGCTTTGCCGCGACTCTCATAGGGCAGAAGTAAGAACACAATACCCGCCACGGCAAACAGCGCCGCCGAAATCCAGATGGGCACACTGGTGTTCAATCCAACATACGCCCCAATCAGCGTGGCACCAAGTCCTGCGGAGCGGTTAAACAGCATGGAAAGGCCATTACCAGTTCCACGGATGGGCGCAGGGAACAGCTCAGGGGTGTAGCAGTACAGCAGTCCCAGAGTCAGGTTCTGGAAGAAGGCGACGCCACATGAGAATCCCAGCACGGCCGCCTGCGTCTCGGCCCGGGTGAACATGAAGAGGAAGAGACTGGTGCACAGACACACTGCGCACCCCGTACCCTTGCGACCAAATCGGTTGAGGTTGGACGTGTAGCCACCGAGGAAGGATGCAGGCAGTCCGCAAAGAGCCTGGATCGTGAGGTTGCGGTAGGTAATACTCAATGAGGACGAACCAGTGGCTACACCGCGGTTTTGCAAGTATATGGGTAGGAAGACGTTGTAGAGAGGGAACGCCATTCCAACGGCCATCCAGAGAAACATGATAAGGGCGGTAGAAAGTGCCATGCGAGGGGTGGAGAAAAGGGCCTTGAACTTGTCAGGGGTAAACTTGTCCAACGATCGCCGGAGCGTCGTCTTGTTAACATCGTCGTCAGTCTCAGCTGTTGCCTCTGGGTTTAATGCAGCAATACGAGCATCGATGGCTTGGAAATGAGCAAGCTCCAGCCAGGATGTCTTGCCGTCGCGAGCAGCAATCTTGTGGATCACCTCAACCACTTTCTCATCGCGCCCTCGCCCAAGCAGGTACTTGGGAGTCTCATAAATCCTGAATGAAAACCGTGCGATGAACAGAATGATGGTCCCGACGCCAAGGGTCCAGAAGACATAGCGCCACCCGAGGTTGTCTTGAAAGGTGCAGTCCTTGGCGGACGCACAACTGAAGTTGGCAACGAAAGGCCTGCAAAACCCCATGTCGTTAACTCTTGGCTCCAATGGACGGAATCAGAATCAACTTACCAAGCAACCATGTTGGCAACAACCTGACCAAGGGCCCAGAAACCAGACTGCACCACCAGAATGTTCTGATGCGTGGCTGGGATAAACTCCAGGAAAATGGCACTGTCAACAGGCTGGTTCCCACCACTCCCGAACCCAACAATGGCGCAGAGCGTGGCAATGCCCCCAAAGCTGGGCATTCCCGCTCCAACCAGGCCTGCTATAGCAGTAATAAGGAGAGTCACGTTGAAGGCGAGTCTGCGGCCAATGAAGTCGGCGGTCATGGGCCAAAACGAGGCACCTACCAATAGGCCGGCATACTTGGCGACAGACAAGAAGGCAATCCGCTCGACGTTGAATTCAAGCTTGACGGGAGGCTGGATATTGGTGACCGCTTGCATCCATAGCTGGTGATAGCTGTTAATCTTCAAGCTAGTATATTCGCTGTCATTAAGGACTTCCATACCTGGTCTAGAAACCATCCGAAGCCAGTCATCATGAACATTTTCCACTGAAAGGGACCCATGCCGATATCGATGAGAGCCTCGTTCAGAATTGAGATCTTGGCTTCATACACCGCATCGGCACCAGGCTGCACTTGCGTGGTATCAATTCCATGGTAGTCCGCATGGCCTGAAAGATCTTTTCCCAGGTCCAAGTCCTCTTGGAGAACGGCATCGTCAGTGACTGGTGCCACCTCACCTGTGTCCACATCGGGACTGTTGACCCCTGGGGGTTTGTCCTGTTTGCCTTGGGCCATTTCTTAATTACAGAGCACAAGGAGTTGGGCAGAAGGCTCAATTAAAGTCAGTGAGAATGTGGTGCAACTCTACGATACGATACGAAGAATCTTACCCTTTTTATACTGCAATGGCCATGAAGCGAAATACAGAAGGCTACCAAACGACTGCCGACACCAGGGAAGGTCGAGGCGAGGCGGGGTAATATAGATAATATGAAATTCGCGTCATTATTTTCAGGGTTGTGCTCTAGTGCTAGATAAAGAAACCTGGGGGAACTGATAGCCCCCTGCATCTCGCTGAGTCTCCTCTGGTTAAGTGGCTCGTTCGTCCAAAGAGCTCCTCCATAGACCAAAGGTCGCCGCCGGTTATCAGGGAGTCTGGTGGGTAGGGGAGACACCATTGGCCAAGTTTACGTAAATGGCGCATCCTGGACCGGCGGTGTCATGAAGAAAGCTGGGGTACTGATATCCGAGGCCATTTCATTGGATCCTCTCCTCAGCTTGGTCTGCAAGTAAGAGTCCACCCACACGTGCTTATCAACCCGATTAGTATCATACCGGGATTAACAAACCACCCGGACGAATGAATCCTCAACGGCCTGGGATCGTCATTGTGGCTAGAAGCTCTCCAAGTCATGGTGAGGCGGCTGGGCTAACCAGACTGACAACAGCACATAGCGAGACGAGCTAAATCATCGCTGGCGGGAAAGTGACCGATACCAGGAGTCCTCTGCCCTGGATCTTTCTGCCAATGTCGGAGAAGCTGTCCGATGCGGAGTTTGGCAGCCGTGCTTAAACCCCAACAGGTGGCGCGATTGGAAGGACCAGGCATCCCCATTTGAGAGCCCTATGTCTTTAGAAGCGACATCTTGCAAGTCTGGCTGATGAACGTTGGATCAAAAAGAGCGTCTTATACCAAATGTTGCAAACACTTGGGAGTTCTAATGGAGCCGATGTACCCCATTCTATCGCCACACGCTTAGTTTCCAAGGCTCCGGGAAGTTATTGTTCCAAGAGGCGTTTTGTTGAATATTATACATTCTCTTTCCAAATTACACGTCATGCTTCAGGATTCGCGGAACCTCGAGTAATTATACAACAGGTACTACAAGGCTCGCTCAAGTGAGGCATATCCTAAGCCTAATAAGGGGCAAACCGCAAAAGCGACCCAACATCGTGTGTTCAAATTTATTATCCAGGTATTTCAGTAGTTCAAAGAGAAATATTCAAGATTCTCCAGACCCAAATCAATGCTCGCAAAAGTTCCACCCGATCCAGGTCAGACTTTCCTCCGTCTTATCTTGCTTCACCGATCTCTCGTCCATCAGTTCCAAACGAATGTTCTTCGCCTCCTCGGTCCCAATTGGAAACTCGACTATGTCCTCAAGCACCATCTGCGTCAACTCAGCCGGGAGCCGGTGTGTCAACGTGTCCCTGATCGGCCCGTCACATCCCCACCAATCACGCTGCTGGGGTGGGACGTTCGCCGTAGAGATGACCGGGATGGCTGGGTCGACTAGGAAGAGAGCAAGAATCTTTCGATGGCCAGGGCGCGTAGGATCCGCAAGGCGAAATGGCGAGACCTTGTGCTGTAGCAGGTTTGGGAAGAATACAGCGCGCGTGTCGTCTTCGCCAGTCGACGGGCTGTTGGTTGTGAGAACACCGCCAATGTACTGAAGCGTGTCCCGATTCACGTTGGGAATAGCAAAGGTCTGCTCGATCGGGTAGTGCTGACTTTGCCCATATCCAAGGTTGATCGATAGGTCTTCTCTGTTAGCCGCGGTACGGAAGTCCAGATGACAATCGGTGATATTTTCCGAATCATAATAGAACAATGCTGTTGCACATATTCGTTCATTGAGCATGCCCTCTGAGTGCCAGGAGCCTCCCTCATACTCTGTTGTATCGTTGTTAACGTAGATACTGTGATAATCCGAAAGGTTCAAAGAAAGACGGCGATTCCCGGTGGACGACACATCAGAGTTGGTCGGAGAACCTTCAGACGGGGCTAGTTGGAACGAAGATGCATCTGAGCGTTGGTCCAGGGCTTCAGGTGGCTCCGTCGTGTAGAAATTAGCAAGCTCCTCGGAGACCTCGAATTTGTATTCGGGGTCCTCAGGGGTCAGATGAACATTGGCAAGCTTGACAATCACCTGGACGCGGGATTTGCCGTTGAAAAATCCCTCGGTTTTGACGTCTGAAGCCGACAATTTCAGATGGTGCTCGGCACCTGGAACTGGCTCTGGTAGTTGGGCCGGGTGTGTTTCAGAAAACCAAGCCCAGTCACGCTTAAAGCGCTCAGACTCACGATATCCGGGCTGCCATGGATCATTCTCATTTCCCTCCTCCCCGTCCTCCAGCGGACGATTATAAGGCTGGCATTCCCAGTTGCATATGTCCTTTGCTTGGCACACCGGGTTGACATTAGTCTCAGTCAGTCGCTGTGTCTCAAACTCTTTTGGCCATCTGTATATCACATCCCAGGCAGGCAGTGCCTTTTCGATGAATTTTTCTATCACTGGATACAAGTTTGCGTGGTCGACCGGATGCAAATTGTTGATGTAGCTGTCGATTTTGGCTGACTGGCCATCAAGAACAACCTCGCAAGGGAGCCACTGGAACTTGGTCGAAACAGAGGGCACGGCAGCTTCCATATCATGACGATCCTCCGGCCCAGGAACCTCAATCAACAGGGGCTTAGGAATGACTTCGCCGGTGCCGCAGTGACTAATTGCGTCCGATACGCCAATGCGTTTGTCACGAAGAACGCGGCTTCTGCCGTAAATCAAGGGCCACAGGGAAGGGTGGACCAGGTCCAGAACTTTGTGGGTGGTTCCAGGATGCCAGTCCTTCTCAGAATCAGGGACCTCTTCCAGCGCACGAACAGCAGATCGGAGAGTGTCGCGCAACTCTTTCGGCACGAGACTATCGGATTTGATCACGCAGGAAGAGTAGTCGAAGATTGGGATCAGACCCGTCTTTTGATATAGCTCTGCCTTGAGTTGCAACTCCTTGATGCACTGTATATCGGGTGTCAAGAACGTTTCCTGGGGAGCTTTTGGTGCATACACTTACTGCCTTGGCCATTTTAGGTGTGAAATCACCGTACGGGCGGTATGCGGCCCAATCCATTTCCAAAACCTCTTTTCTCCATTTCTTGGTGACTTCAGGATCGTGAATCTTCAGCCACCACTCAGGTTTGTTGGTCAACTCCTCCATGACTTTCATCATGCAAACTTCGCGCACGAGCAGAGTGGCAGCTTTCCAATCCCACGATTCTACACCCAACAGGATGGGAAATCGCTCATTTTCGGGAGGCATATGGGTGAGCGGAAGCCCAAATCCAGGGACTTCCAGTGATTGACACATCTGTCGTCGTAATAGTGAGCTGGGCAGGCCTCCATTGAATGTTAGTAGAATGATACAGTACCTTGATTCTGGCTTCATATGCCTGGGCAACCTCTTCTAGAGCCTCATTAACAAGCTGCTCATGACCGCCGGTGAATCCCCTGTATCCGTTTATGAGAAACCAATCAGCGGCTCTATTCAGATTCGGTTTGACAGGATGCTCTTTGATCCATTCTTTGAATGCTCTTTTGGCGTCGTCGGAGAGCTCGGAGGCATCCATTCGAGTTGGGTTATCAACATCCATGGTGTTTAGCTAGATCGCAGCAGACCAGAAGAAGCGATTCTTCAAGATCGAATGATGGGATCACGAATTCCTACTCGTCTTGAATTGGGTATTTTGTCGACGCAGAGGAGCGCTATTTTCCACAAACGGTTGGGAAATGAGACCGTGAATGCATTCACGGTCCACGGCACACCGCTTCCGCTGACTCGCAAACTCAGGGAATAATTAAATTCGGAAATTAGCCAGTCGCAGTCGAGAATTCGAGATCCACTAGAAGGCTCGGCAAATTCGATCCGGAGGATCTGGAGTAGAATCAAACCCGATAAGCCTACTGAGCCACCACGGAGGTGATGCCTAATGGAAAGACAAACTTACAGATGTAAAAAAAGGGGGGGGGGGAACAGAAAGATAAAATTACATCTGTTTTCTCATGGACCACTTCGTTTCAACATCTCGGAAGGCTCTGTTCAAGCTGAACTCATGGACAAGTTGAAACCGCTCTACATGTTGATATCATGGTGAAGAAGATTGAATGGACCATTCCTTCAGCCTCACAACCTAAATTTTCTTTGAATTTGAATAAACATTTGAAAAGTATCGTATGCTCTATAACAAAACCATTGCGCGATATATAAGTCTATAGATAATTGAGCCATGTCATTACACGTGGTGTGAAACAAGAGGTATAGGGTAGCTGCAAATGAAAAGCCAAGAAAAAGCAATATTGCCAATATTGCAGCGTTAATTTGCCAAGCTTCAGAGGGCCAGCTAATCATTGAGTGAACAAAATAATTGAAAGGAGAGCCAGGGTCGCTGCTCCTCTGAAAGAAGCTGGGCACCCTAGAAAGCCAATTTACTCCACCGATTGCAGGACCTTGACAAGCTTTGCCGTGTGTTCGAAAGCCTCGGCTGGTGCCTGGACTTCACCATGCAGAATCTGGCCGGCCGTGACTTTTGATCCGTAAAATTCGGCATTGCGTTCCGGCCTTTCCTTGATGGAGGTTCCATCAATGGTCAAGCCACCATAGAGGCCATGCGTTCTCGTATATGTCCAGACGGGCTTGAGTTCTTTGAACTGGGCAGTTGCGCCCACGGGACCGGCAGCAACAGCGAGATTCGTTCCCAGCTCCACCTCGGCTTTCGTGTACGCCTCTACAGAGGCCTTGGTGTTGAGGACGCAGAGACAGTCGTACACGTCCAGTCCGTAGGCGAGACCGATGCCGCCGGATTTGACGGAGAAGGCAGATGGGGGCGACCAAGAGCCGTCTGGCAGACGCGCAATGACAATGCCGGAGCCACCACTGCCGGCAAAAGCCATCGCGGCCCGGAAGCCGGAGAAGATTGCCAGGCCCTGAGCGTTAGCAATGGCTTCTTTAGGGACATTGCCCTCGTCTAATCTCTTGTTAGCAATGAGGAAATCCTGGACAGTGGCGGGGTAGGGGACCGCTGGTTGTAGTCACATACCGATAAAGGTTTTCAGAGTCTTTGCGGCTGATTCGCAGTCCTTTGCGAGACCTGAAGCTTTGGATGAACCCATGATGCGGAGGTGATGAATTGAATCGAGTCTCAAAGAAAGGACCTGAGTGATGAAGAGGAAGTTTTCAACAATAAGATTGAGAAGAAGTGCGAGAGATGTAGTGTGATAGACGGATGGTAGAACGCAGCTTGTTTATGGCTTTCTTATACTTTTTTGAACCGTTTCCAGAGGCAGCGCCTTAAATGGTTCTCGACCAACTGAATCTCATGTGTACATTCAATTCAATCTAATTTCATCACGCATCCCAGAATTTAGGGCTTAGGAGAGGCTGAATGCTGCATGCGCCACTTGCGTATTGTCGTTGCCAACGTGCTGTCCTGGTAGGTAGCACGGCGATTGATACGACAGAGGAGGACTCGACTGTAGTTTTTGGGGCCTCGCTATGGCCGAATGCATGACATGAGCGTATTGAGCACGTCCAAGAGGAGCCTTTTCAGCCTAGTGAGCACTAAAAGCGGCGGTATGGCTTACATTGGCGGCCAAGTGGTGGCTGTGCAGCGGGTTGTGGTCGCATCCACCAGATGATGAATACGCTCAGGAACTAGGCGAATACGCTCCCGACAGAAGGCGAAGAATCTTTGATGAATGCCATTAGCAAAGCACCGACAGATGGGATTATTTCAGGTAGCTCGTAAGACTTGTCATAACTTCGAATTCAATTTATGCCAGACTACAGTGAACTAATACCGTCCTTCATCTTGCAAAATCCGACAACGCAACTAGCTCCCTTTGAGTGAAGGGGCTCGACTCCTTTTTCATGCATTCATTCTGGATCATTTAAGCGTCTTGAACCCGGAGTCATCGGTATAAAAGGAGTCCCCCAGGTGTGGCGATGATGGATAATAGAGCAAGACGTGAGAAGAAAATGTATCATTTGTTTCCCCAAGTTGGCCGGCGCCAGAATTCATAATAGGTAGGATATTGACAAATCTAAAGCGAACTGATTTCACAAAGAGTTCCCACGATGCAATTCCAAAAATGGCAAGCTAAACAACATTCGATGCTTACGATCTGCCCTACAATAAGTTTTCACACTCGCCAGAGGCGCTTGACTTGTCAGATCGAGTTTTAGCTAGTCCCATCCCCATTCCAATTCCGCCTACTCCTTCTTCCACTCAAGAGGTCGGCCAGTCTGCGCCCAGAGCCTCTCCGCCTCGCTCCTCCATGGCGGTGGCGCGATGCCATTGAATCTCCAGAAATCACGTGGAGTGTCGGCGACGGTAATCTCCCAGTCATATCCCTTCTCGGCAATGTAAGGGCGCAGCGTCTCGTTAATACGATCACTGAAACGCTCAGCGAAGCCTTCCGGGCCTTCTTCTCTGTGAACAGCCATATGTTCAACGACGAGGCGCACGAAGGGTTTGTTGACTCTTGCCTCGCCGGCAACGAACACGTTGGTCGGAGGAAGGGGGATGAAATGAACAACAACGTAAAAGGCAGGGAGGCCGCTAGCGCCAGATGTATACAGTTTGGTGATGTCGGCTGCAAGCTTGCTTCGGACCTCTTGGGACTCGAAGAGTCCTTCGGTGTGGAAAATGTTCCAGAGAGGCATTGTGTATGATGGTGAGGATGATGAGGATGAAAGAAGTGTGTTTGTGAGTGTCTTTGGTTCTCAACTCCTAATTCAGAGGAAAGAGGTCTTTATATACTGCAATCATCTTGCGAATCAACCCGAACTACGCCCTTCAATGACATCCGAATTCCACGAGCCATAAAAAACCACTGGGCCATCTCAACACGATCAGTAATCATGAATTTGTCTGGCCTCGGAGTTAAAGCACATGCTTAAACTCAACAAATAGAATGACGATGTCATTGCATTCAATGACCCACTCTTGTCTAAGGTTGGTGTTGCTCATATGTTGTTGACCGGCGATTTTATGTCACGAGTCCGCTACCAGTGTGGTTCGTCTTGCCAAGTCACCAACCTCCTAGAGAGCCCCCAAAAAGTCCCAGTCGACTATGATTGCTGAGGCATTATATAATTGTTCACTCGGTGTCCATGGGGCAACGTTTGGTGGACGTTGCAGGAGATCTGACGTTGAGGGCCCATGCCCAGCTTCCCAAACAGTAGGTGAGACAGTAGGTGATCTCTGAGTGCCAACAAATGTGACAAATATGACCCGATGCGTAGAAAAATTGTAGTTCCTATCTGATGGCCAATTGCGCATCCATCGCGGTATACATGTTAACCTCACAGGCTTACGCACAGCTGGCTGCGTTGACCGAGGCGTGTAGCAGTGTATTTCGAGCAGGAAAGGAAGCTTGCTGGTCAACGATAGAGCAGCTGTCGGCCTATCGGTGAGCCTTTAGTCTCCTGATAGAAAACCTAGGCATTTTGGCGTGTTCTTTACAGTGCTTAAGCAGCTGACTGCTCTTGGTGAATGAGATTCAGTGAGGCCGCGGTTATGGTGAGAATATACTGGTCGACCTTTCACCATTTGGTGTGTTGATGAGCGCCATTTTCCCTCGTTGCCTTTTTTCACCCAACGATCATCTACATATGCAAAAGAAAGAAAGAAAAACAAAGTCCCTGGCCTCGACAAAGAATTGGGTTCAGTCTCAAATATTAGAGTCAAGCAACCCTTTAGGCTGTAATGGATGAACATTCTCCACAGCATTCCACGTGAGTGCTACGCATTAAGTCAATTTAAACGCGGAAGAATGCCTTTCCTCATTCTTAAAATAGGCAAGTTATATCTAAATGGATGGTCCAGCATGTTATGGCATTACTTTCCTAAAAATACAACACTAGTTAAGCACGGAATGGCGCTACGGCGGCTCTTGTATGCAGGCGGCGGTAGTTCCACAATTGGAGGTCCCTCTCTCCAGTGCCTGGAATAAAGAATGAACCCAAACAAGGCTGCTATCTAACTTGCGCATACAGCTCGGGGTTCGGAATTCGTAATCGCGGGGTCATCAAGGGACAGAGATGTCAGTAGGTCGTGATCGTATGGATTCATCACTATACCATCCCAAGCGGTAACTTGCCACTTCTGTAATTGGAGACTTTGCCTGTCTCAGCATCAGTCTATAAGAAACAAGCCAAATGTGTTGCATTACTTTCGTATATAATGAAGAAAGCTTCCGATCGTAACACTCTTGCCACATCCTATCCCATCATTACCATACACAGTTCATTACCATAAACCACCTTCAAACCCCACCAATCAAAAGTATGATATTCCCCAACCAGCATGTAGCGGTCTGTTGCTAAAGATTTCTAACATGCTCATTAGTGTCTGGACTCGTCCCTCTCACCGTTATCAAGGGCGCTGGCTCTGAGTTCATCCCTCTGCCTGCCGGCCAGAACGCCACCGTCGCAGACTTCCACTCCATCCGCACCAATACCAAGGATACCCCCAGCTACTTCACCTCAGGTTTCTACAAGATCGAGGCAGGCCCTTCTCGACCGGCTCACTACGACTTTGAAGAGACCAAGTACATCCTTCAGGGTCAGATTGACATCCTTGTATGTAACAATGTCTTCTCAATACCCTTCCGCTAGAGTAATTCTAATTATAGATCCAACTAGGATGAGGCTACTGGCATCACCCACCATCTCGTCCCCGGAGATTTCGCCTTCTTCCATGTCGGAAGCAAAGTCCAGGTATGTTATCAGCGTCCAGCAGCTCTCTTCGTTTTAACTGAAGCATGACTGACCGCCCATCAGTTCTCCACCAAGTCTTCCGGCTTTGCTTTTTACGCCGTCACCCGCCCCATCAAGGCAGCCCACCCCAACCTTCAAGGCCGCGAGGAGGTCGCTAAATGATCGTTCCTGGTCTTAATTACAAAATAAGACAATTTGGGGGACTAGAGAGGGCTTCCTAGCGTAATGATCTGCGACATGTAAGGTAGTTTAGATACGTTGAATCTATGAACAACCGTCAAGGGTTCCTTCCATAAGCTTTCATCTCCGCTGCTTCAAGGATTTGAAGCTGAACGTGACTGCCTGCGGACTTTCTTTACGTCACAATAAGCCGTGGGATGATCCGTGGGAAGTGGATTCTGGTACAGTGCGGGTTACATACGGTAGCATGTGGGTATGCCAAGTAAAGGGTAAAGGCTGGATCTTTGTATCTAGTGAGCTGTTTCCTCCTATTCATTGAGCATTATCATAAGCTCTTTTAGTGTCATTTTATTTATAGAAGACGCAGAATCAGTAGGTCGTCAGGATAGCTGTGAAACGTGAGTTTGCTATTAACGAGTATCACCAGGCGATCTAACCCCTACTACCAACTCAGACGAAGTTAGTCGGTGAATAGGAACTTTTGGATTGAAGAGGGTCATTAATCCGCAAATTTTCTTGTGCTTTCACTCTTCAAAAGGGATTCCGCTTCCGGACAAAATCTTGCAAGTTGATGGATGATAATCTTCCCCCTGGGTCTCTGGATCCCAGTTGACGAGTGTATCTATTCACACTAGTCCATAGATCAAAACCTTGTTCACGGCTAATTCAAAGTAACGAGTATTTACACAAAGGAATCAGGAGCTTGGATTGCCAAGCCTGTCGCAAAGGAAAGTCCACGTCGAACCCCGCAACAAAACTCCACACGGCTGCATCAAGCTTTCCGCAGCACGAGCACCGCACATCCATTCGTCTCAATGTAAGAACCGTTATATAACGCAGCCTCACATCTGTTCAAATCATTGTTCCATAGGCATAAATCAAAATGGCTATTCTATCTGTCTTTGTTTGTGGCGTGACCGGAGTCCAGGGAGGTGCACTTGCACGCGAGCTTCTCGCGAAGGGCGTCTCTGTTCACTCTATTTCTCGTGACCTTGACTCGGAGAAATCTAAAGCCGTCCAATCTCTTGGTGTAAAGCTTTGGCATGGAGATTTTGACAATGAAGAAGCCCTCAAGACTGCAATCGCAGGCACACAGGCCCTCTACCTAAACCTAATGCCCGATTTCTCAGACCCATCCGGCGAACTGCGCCAGGCGAAGCTTATTCTTCGGATCGCCAAAGAATCCGGGGTCTCTCATCTGGTTCAGGGCAGTGGGATCGGCTTCGACCTTCTCCAGCAAAGCGTCGCAGACCAGCATGATTCCCCAATTGCGGCAATGGCTCAAAGCAAGCTTGATATCGAAGCCGAAGTACGCAACGCTGGCTTCCCTACGTTTACTATCTTGCGCCCTGGGACATTCATGACGAATTTCCTTGCGCCCTTTGTCGCTCATTATCCAGGCCTTGCCGAGAACGGTCGTTGGATCGCTCCCGTATCTCCAGAGACAGCCCTTCCGATCGTGGACCCCAAAACAATCGGGGTCTTTGCCTCCGCGGCAATTCTCGATCCAACCAGATTCAATGGCAAGGAGATTGCATACACTGATGAGCTCCTCCCCCTTGGCGAACTACTGCAGAAGCTGGGCAAGGCAGCCGGCAAGAATCTGGAGCTGGTTTCTCTCTCAGATGACGAGATTGAAGCCCAAAAGAAACAAAACCCTTTCATCTACGTGCAGCTCACTATGAGAGAGATTCATAAGCAAGTTGATATTGAAGATGTGAAGACTTGGAATCTTCCCTTGAGCTCCTTCGATGCTTTCCTAGAGGGGGATAAGGAAAAGGTTCGGGCTACTTTTGTCAATGTCCCATAATATAGTCTAAGCTTGGAACTGAAGTGTATTTCAGGTAACGCAAAACCAAGTAGATATCTATATTAGATTCAAAAAGACCTACAATGTTCTTCTTTATCCTAAAATCCCCCGGCCCTATTGCCGAAGCATGAGAAGTGAAGAGAGCGCTCAAAACAAGGCAGACAAGGACGTCAAGAAAGAATTTCACTTAAATTTATTGTAGGGGTAGAGCGCATATGCGAGTTGCTCACATCCGTCAGAATATTCTCATCAGCAGCCTGCGACTCAGCCTAGGGAGATTTGTCCGCCCCCTAAATCGCTGTGCGGGTCGCAAAGTTTCTCTGACATTCTTAAGGACACCAACGAAGAATCCATGATTCCTATCTGACTCTGAATCTGCCTTTGTGTTGGTAATGGTCTTCATCTGGCTGAACTTGGTGCGTAGGGAAATAAGTCTATCAAGAGTCTGCGAGAAGGCCTCGGGCATAGAGACGGTAGGATCGGTACGTTGAGCGATGAATTTGGCCAGTGGCAGGATGTCATCCAGGGCCAATATGTGTTCCTCTCTCTGAGTGCGAGGAGACGATGGCGATAGCTTTCGACCACGACCGTTCTTCTTTCGTTTCTCCTCTTTCAATTGGTCGAGCCTCGAGTGTAAGACACCCCAAGATTTGGAGGCAAGCAGGTCCTCCGGATAACCACAGATCTTGGCCGTGGAGGCGAGCCATAGAGCGACTGCCTTGGTGTCATGCTTGTACTGGTGGTAGATGTGCTCGAGCTGATTTGGGCGCATCTTGACACAAATTCCAGGGCAACCCAACCCGCCTTGGCCAGTTAGTTGATGATTAAAATGATGTCAAGATGAACCTCTTTGAGAAGACTGGCTCCGAGACCGTCAATGGTATGGACCTCGGGTCACGCCTGATCACTGTTCCGTATTATTGACCCGCATGCTCACACGGACGGGGCTCGTGGGATGGTCCGCGCCGCTGTATGGATGGATCCCGGATGGTGAGAGCGGGGGCGCGATATCAGAAGCCCCCACCAGCTAGCATCGTCACTCCTCGTTGCACATGACATGTTCGATGTTGTGAGGTATTTTTTAGAAACACAGATTTGGGGTTCAGAATCTAGGTGATCGAGCTTCTAATGATTCCATATACTGTATTTTCTAACTTGATTCGAGATTTGATTCCCAAGTTTTCATTCCAAGTGTTCATTAATATGCTTGCACGCTGTGCTTTGGATTATTGGTCCCAACAATAATTAACTCTCGACGTCGAGGCGACAAATCTTACGAGACAATGGCAGTTAATGCTCTCTGCTAGTTGCTAGTGTCTCGTCTACCCTTTGTGCATGAAATGTGGCATGCGATACTAGAATTTTAGGTACATAATCTTATAGATTAGAAACTAAACGCATTCTAACAACTTCTATCTACCTAGGATGTATTACCATTCATAAGTATTAGGATTCTAAATGGCTGTTTATCCAATGCTTCTTCCTCCATCTCCAAGTCAACTATCCTATTGACTAAATAACTCAAGCCCCGAGTGCAATCTAAAGCTATGTAAAAAGTTGATAAACCCTATCTATCAGACGATGATAAGAGCTTCCTTCACTCTATAAGCCTTGAAAGGCGTTCTTATAATCTTTGATCACTGTTCTTTAGTTGCTTTCTGCGTCGTACCACACCCTGTGATGGAGTTAGAATTTGTTATCCATTGAAGAAACGCGTCGGAAACTACCTCTTGGAAGCAAGTCGCCAGCAAAGCCCCATCTTTAGCATATATCTTGCCATTAACTAACCCCCTACCTTCTCCTGACCAAGGAGTCTCAACCTCAAAAAGCATCCATTCATCGGCTCGAATGGATAATGGCTCGTGGATAATTATAGTATGGCTCAGGGTGGCCATCATTCCAATATCACTGCCATCCAATGGCGATGAAGTGGTGTTCAATAAAATAGCATCCGGGAATTTCCACAAGCCATGTGCGAGTGGAATTCCGGGGAGAAATATCCAATCAGAAAGAAAGCCGAGAATCATTTGGTGAACTTCGTTTTGAGAACCGGCGTCGATAATTTTAGCCGGAGCGCGTATCCAGGAGCGGATACGTTTATGTTCAGGACTCCCCTCTTTCCCCTCGATGCTAACAGGGCTGGTCTGAGGGGCTCCCAAGGATATACACGCCGCATCCACATTGATGCCAGGAGGTGGAAGTATTCCTGAAGGGGCAGTAGAAGTATGGCGCACGGGTTCTCCCCCCCTGAGCCCTGACGGCTGAACGACAGGGTGCTCGTGCAGATGCTTTTGCCGTTTTGGTTTGCCACTACCGTCCGCGTGACAAAAGATTTCCCGTCATGGACACGCTGCACAGAATACTCCAGGGGTATTTGGTTATCGCCGGCCAACAGGAAGTAGCAGGTCATGGAGTGGACTGAAAATCCGCCCGGGACAGTCTTCTGTGCAGCTCCAAGACATTGCGCTATAACCACTCTGCGAAAGGTATTCGTTTTCAGCCCTCCCGATGATACGTACGTGAAGAAATCTTGCTAACTGAAAGAACCCTTACCCGCCATAGATCCCTCTACCTCCCGGTGGATGCCAAAGTTCTCGCTTGTTTGTGAATATATCCTAATAAGTTTTCCCTCTTCCATTAGCAAACCGCCTGCTCCTTCTCGGGGTGTGTCGGATTCGTATTTTGACCTCACCTTGCCTTCACCAGAGGCTAGCTCCAGTTCCAACATCTCCTCCAACTTTGATCCCATTATGGCGTCTTGAAAGCTAGGACCTTAGGCTCTCCTCCAAAATCTCAGATTTCACAAATTATCGGAGGTATTTCGCAGAATCCCGCAACCACCGTTGCTTTTAAGTGATGAAATGTCGGCAATCTCCTAATAAACACTTTATTTCAAACTAAAAGTGCCGAAGACAACCCCGCCGAAGACAGTATCCTCGCAATATGCCGACCAATCAACTTTATCCGGAATATCTACCGAAGGGCGATGACCTCGGTCCAAATGATGTGGGGTTTTTGACGCAAATGAAGGTCAACAGACCTACAAAATGCACAATCCTAGGAACCGGAACTTCGGCACACCTGATCATTATGCTGCAGGGGTTTCGTGGTCAGCAACATGGGTAAATGTCAAAGCTTTCGGCCCTGATCATCACGCTCCACGTGAAATCCGCTTACAACATCTACTGGGCATGGGATTGGGCATCCAAGTTAGACGCGGCACCACCAACACACGGATACCGATCCCAGTATTGGAACCTTGATTAACTCGCACAAGCTCAGGAGAGGCACGCAAGCGTGTGGTAGCTTTTCAGATGAAACCATGACGGGTTTCTTACCGAACCCTTCCACGGGCGGCTCTTTAAGTATGTACTATTTATATTCATTCTCCTGTCAGCACTACGTGGTGTGATGTTCCGGGTTTCAGATAAAAGGAGCAGCTGGAGCGAATCCTTTTTCTTACAGTGAAGGAAAACAACACTAACGTGAAATGAACTTTTCCTTCCAGTAATATGTATCTGATGGCTACAACTTGAACATGCCCTTACAAATCAAGCGTACTGCGGAGAAAATCACGAGAAATTGGACATTGTCCGAGACAAGAAGGAGAACCATTATGTGTCGTCAACAATAGAGCATGAGGAAGGTGGGAAGAGTATGTTGGCGCTGCATGCCAGGCTGGCGACAGAATCTGGGGAGAGTCATCCCCACAGGATGCACACATGGGTCGCCCTTCCTTCTTCTAGGCAATAGAATTAGCCCACATCACCTTTCAATTCATGGAAAGTAGCAGGGGTGTTGGGATAAGTGGTATTGGATGATCGTCTGACTGCTCGTTTTAGGAAGTAGATATTCATAGGTAGCATTAACAAGCTTACATCTCCTCACCACTCGGGCATACTTTTTAAGCTGTGACGAATGTCATTGTCTATAAAACCAACATTAGGCCATAGGATTCTCACAGGGGATGAGACTCCTATCCCAAGGCCAAGTCCGCTTACTAGCTTGCCCATCTTCTACCTGAAGTGGTTGAAAATGCTTTCGCCTCTCAGCGTCCAAACATTCACCCTGGGCTTGCTTGCCACGGGGTGTCTTGTTGCTGCCGGTCCTTGTGACATCTATTCTTCCGGTGGTACGCCATGTGTAGCTGCACATAGCACCACTCGTGCCCTCTATAGTGCCTACTCACGCCCGCTCTACCAAGTGAAGCGTGGTTCTGATGGCGCTACCTCGGATATATCGCCGCTTTCTGCTGGTGGTGTTGCCAACGCTGCTGCCCAAGACTCTTTCTGCAGCGGGACAACTTGCCTCATCACTGTCATCTATGACCAGTCTGGTCACAACAGTCACCTTACCCAAGCTCCACCGGGCGGTGCTGCCAGTGGTGGTGATGTTGGTGGCTACGATTTCCCAGTCACTGCTATTGGCGCGCCAGTCACTTTGAATGGTCAGAAGGTATACGGTGTGTTTATCTCGCCTGGCACTGGCTATCGAAACAACGAAGCCAATGGGACAGCCGTAGGTGATGAGTCCGAGGGCATGTATGCCGTCTTCGATGGCACCCACTACAATGGGGGATGCTGCTTTGACTATGGCAATGCTGAGACCAACAACCTGGATACTGGTGATGGCCATATGGAAGCTATCTACTTTGGTCTAGGTACTGGCTACGGTGTGGGTGGTGGCAGTGGCCCATGGGTCCTCGCTGATCTTGAGAACGGCCTATACACAGACTCAAGAGTCAGTGTTAACCCTAGTAACCCGAGCATCACCTCTCGCTTTGTCACGGCAGTTGTCAAGGGAAACAACAACAACCAATGGGCGGTCCGCGGTGGTGACGCTGTGTCAGGCTCACTATCAACCTACTATAGCGGAATCCGCCCAACTAACGGAGATTATAACCCGATGCAGAAGGAGGGCGCCATTATTCTAGGTATTGGCGGTGATAACAGCAACTGGGCTCAGGGCACCTTCTACGAAGGAGTTATGACAACAGGTTATCCATCCGACGACACCGAAAACCGGGTGCAGGCTGACATCGTGGCCGCCAAATATGCCATTGGAACCATGAACAGTGGTCCTGCACTGACTGTTGGGTCTACAATTACCCTTCGAGCTACCACATCCTGCTGTACGACACGTTATCTTGCACACACCGGCGATGCGGTTAACACTCAAGTCGTTTCATCATCCAGCAGCACGGCGCTTAAACAGCAGGCCAGCTGGGCGGTACGCACAGGTCTTGGGAACAGCGCCTGTTACTCGTTTGAATCTGTAGATACACCCGGCAGTTTCATTCGCCATTCTAACTTCCAACTCTATGTTCACAGCAACGATGGCTCAAAGCTGTTCGGTGAGGACGCTACGTTTTGCACACAGGCTGGTTTGAATGGTCAGGGCAGCTCAATTCGGTCATGGAACTATCCCGCTCATTACATCCGCCATTTCAATGCTTTGGGGTACGCTGCAAGCAACGGTGGACCCAAAGAATTTGAGTCCGCTACTCTGTTCAACGACGATGTAAGCTGGGTGGCCGGCTCTGGCTTTTAGGACCTAGAATAGGCATGGAGAAGACTGACAGGCATCGCGAATGAATGATTATATCTTGTCTGCGAACCATGCCGTTTATGATTTATTTATAGCACAATCATGCGCTTCTGCGGCGTTGCCTAGTCAGAATCAATCCTTATGACAGGCGCTATATAAGGGCAACCGTGGAAGACTAGGCAAGGAATTTTCCTTTTGGCTAGTTTGGCCTAATCTGTGACAATCCTAAAACTAGCCTCAACTTTTTGAAACTATGAAAGGGTTAAGTGAAAAGAAAATGCGCTGACCACCAAGAGCGTAAATATTCCACCATTGTTTCAGGGAGTATTCGATGTCCAGCGCTTTTATTAGTTCGCTTTATGAGGACCTGTAGCATAGGGCCTCATTCTTGACTAGCCACACGAGCCTTTGGGTTCCGCTAGATATTTCCAAGCTTTCACCATACCACACGATTCTGACATGCACCAGACTATTGGCTCATCTTTAAAGACAATAGCCAGCCAAGAGAGCTGCCGAGAAGAAGCTCGCCTTAACGATCTAGCCGGATCAGCCTACATTGAGGGCACCTTCATAGCGGAGGCGCTACCGTCTGATTTGGAGACAGTCTCAGCCAAAGCTTATCGAGATGAGTTGCGGGTGGCATTTGCAGAGCGATTTGATCATCTAGAATTCTTAAAGTCAAGTAAAGGAAGCCTTTTCTATAAACTTCTATCTTCTCTCAGGTTAGAACATTAATCAGTAAAAATTCCTAGCAAATCTCCGAGAAAATGAAGAACACCTCCCTCAGGGTAAACACCCAAGTCTACCGAGGGAAATGATCCATTTTCCTATTTCAACGAAAGGTTATCCTCACGCACATTTCCATAATTTATACCCTTCTTCAAGTAAATAGAATGCTGAATACTTTAAATATTATATTCCGGCATATATCATTCAATGATGATTCAACGGCTGGAAGCAATATGTTGTAAACCTGGATAGGGTAAGAGAGCGGAATAGAAGTAGAGAAACTAACTTATCGTGTGAATTGTAATGGAAAGTATTTTGAGATCGCAGGTAGAATAACTACACATAATTATCCAAGGCAAACTAAATGCAGTACTATATAATTAGTTTGGTCCTACTGTGATGGAATATGTTAGAAGGAAGGACGCGGGCCCGCGTAGGGTGGAGGCCGTGGTGTTGACATACAAAAATTCACATATAAAGAAAACAGAATCCCATGCCAGAGGCACCTAAATAATTAACTTAGATAGTTTAGGAACCATGAATGAAATTTTTATCGTTCAGGATATTCACTATCCAGTTATGCACCTCCAAGATGCAGGTACTAGTTAATCATCGGCCATCTGCTGACTTGGAAGAGCAGATGCCATCAAAAAAGACTTCAGAAAAGTAAGTAGCACCACCATCGAAGGCAGGGAAAATCCTGCCGGAGAATGCCGTCTCGGCAATAAGAAAAGAAAGAACACAGGGAAATAATCAAACCGTTATCATATGATGAGGGGTTTACGCATTCGGCCAGTGCCTAAACGAGGAGTGTCACGCCTATTAACTGGGGCAAAACCCAGATAGCCATGAGCGTAATCTTAACTCACAGCATCGTGCCTCTTGAACATGTGGTGAGAATCGGATGGTGGCCATGTACCAGATATGAAAATAATCCCCAATACTCCAAGTCAGGAGTCCGTATTCAGCCTGGAGTGGGCATTATGAAAACGCATATGGTTTGGTTCAAACCGTCACTGTCCTCGCAGACTAATTCAGTCCACACATTCTATTCTCAAATTTTATTTTCAAGTTCAGTGACAGACAAACCAGAAGTAATAGCACGCCGCCTAGGAATCTACATATTTAAGCGCTCCTATTAGGTATATAATTAGTCATGATAGAGACTTTATTTCTGTTAACTTATCCTACCCCAGAATTCTGAACTAGGACCCCGGTTTGGACCCAGCTCCCGTTGGGAGGGGACATCATCTCGCTTGGCACGAGTGATTTTGGAACTTTCACCGCGATTGGCTCACCAGGTGGATTCCCCGATCATGACATTAGGTCAGATTCCTGTAATGCTGGGTAGCCCACCATTGTTTCGTGGCTATTCTCTCGGCAATAACTCTTTATAGGTCACTAGGATGATATTTGGTTACATTCACTGTTAGTAGTTCATCAAAACCAATATACTCTCGGATATTGTCTGACTGGCTTCAACAGGAAGCTCGATATGGTCTAGGAATTCCCAGGGATCATGATCACGACCTACTTGGTTCGAAGATTCCTTTTTGTTTAGTATAAAATGAAGAGGTTATCGCTAAGGAACTCTATCTCACTCTCTGCTTTAATGGCGTGTAGCTATTGAAACATCTTCTCTTTCATGGTTCAGCGGGTCGATATGACACCCAATTCCTATCAGGGCCAGTATAGCTTCCGCCGGATCCGGCAAAATGGCTGGTCGTCTTTGGTGGCTGCTTTGCTAGTTTCAGCTATTTCGTGGGCTCCAGTCTCGCACGCCGCTCGTTCACTGCGCCATTCACACCCACACAGCCGTGCGACTATTGCTAATGGGGTCGAGCTACGAGTGCTTCCCATTGGGGAGTAGGTGCCAGCCTTTCTTTATGTCTACCAGATCGACATGTTCTCTCTTATCTTTACGACGTTATGGAGTTGCTGACGAGAACCAATAGCTCCATTACCTACGGTGTAGGAAACAATGGCTGTAGCGATTCGACATGCAATGGCTACCGCAAAGCCCTTTACACCAAGCTCACAGAGCATGGGAATACGGTCGACTTTGTCGGTAGTAATTGGAGCGGGGATTTCGCTGATACTGATCACGAAGGACACCGTGGCGAAGTCATCAGCACCATCCAATCTATGGCCAGTACAGGTATATCGGCAGCTCCCAACATCATTCTTCTGCACGCAGGAACAAACGACATAAACAGAGCCTTGGACGTGGGATCTGCTCCATCCCGCCTTAAGACGTTGATCAGCGCGTTCTACGAGGTCAACCCCGATGCTTTAGTTCTAGTGTGCAAAATTGTTCCTTCGAGAAATGCCTCAGCGACAAATAACCTCCAGGCATTCAATGATGCCATCCCCGATGTTGTGGATAGCTTTTCGGGAAAGAACATTGCCATGGTGGACATGTTTTCGGACTTTAGCACCTCTACCGACTTGCATGATGCACTGCACCCAAATGCAAATGGCTACGGGAAGATGACCGATCGGTTTTACGATGCTATTCTCGCCGCAGACTCAAATGACATGATCTCAGAACCTGGCGAAGCGCAGGATCCTTCAGAATCTTGTCGAACAGAACCGTCCTGGTACAAGATAGGCCAGGTCGCCACCGGCCCCTCGATGTGAGTCCTCTTGTGATGGTTCTCTAGACCTCAGACAAATACTAACCTATTAAAGAACTTACTCAGACGGGGATTATGTCCCTGGGTTCGTTGAGAGGGGAGTCATTGCCGAGGGAGCCTGCACTCGTGCCATGCTTCATCTCATGGACTTCAATGGCGATGGCCTCCCGGACTACGCCTGCGTTGACCCTGACACAGGTGCAGTGAATGTTCATATTAATAACCCAGACGAGAACGGAAAGAGCCAGAACAACTGGAGCGACCTTGGTGAAGTTGCAACTGGGAAGAAAGGCCGAGATGGTACTGGTGTCATGTTTGCAGAGTGAGTTTTCTTTCTTTCCGTTTTTAAACTCGCGGCAAGTCTGACAGTATTATCCATCACCAAGTCTGAATGGTGATGGTAGAGATGATTATGTTTATGTTGATCCCGACAACGGAGATGTGTACGGATGGATCAATCAATGGAAGCAGAATGACGAGTGGTTGTGGCAGTCGCTCGGAAAGATTGCTGGCGGTGTCGGTGCTACAAACAAGACCCTACAGATGGTGGATATCGACGGTGAGAACCTCTTGGCTACTCCACTACTTTCACGTGCCGTTTTAGTACTAATCAAAGTAATTTAGGTGATGGAAGAGACGACTTCTGCCTTGTTAATCTAGCCAGTGGCGAAGTCCAAGGCTGGTTAAACACGGGAACAGACGTTGTTCCAGATTACCACAAGCTCGGAGTTATTGCGACTGGAGCAACTGCAACAAGCGGAGACAAGGTTTGGCTCGGTGACTTCACGGGCGAGGGAAGAGCCGACTACATGATAGTTGGCTCGGGCGGCAAGACAACCGCCTTCATCAACCGCCTACAGGAATCATCCATGATCCCAAAGTGGTCAGCCGTTGTGGACCTTGCCAAGGGGCCCAGTGGTGCTAAGCAAGCTGAAGTCCGATTTGCAGACATGACTGGAGACGGGAAGGTAGACTATCTCCTTATTGATGAGAAAACCGGCGAGATTCGGCTATGGGAGAACCTCGGTTCCAAGGGCAAGTACCAGGAAGGAGAGGGCACCTTTCTCTGTGACTGTGAGTATTCAAACCTTGAATTCTGGATGAATCATTGAAATGTCTCCTTCTCTTGGTTCTCGAATGTCTTGCTGATATGGTTTACACAGTGGATGGCGATGGCACAAGTGACTACTTCTGGCTAGATCATGAGGGCAAGGGCTATGGATTCTTGAACACAGGCAAAGGAAAGAATGAGTGGAAATCCTTGGGCAACACTGCTAAAACAGGAGGCTTCAAGCGGGAGCAAATCCGGATGGGCGTCTTAACACACAGCAAACGTGCCGACTTCATTGTTGTTGATGACGAGAAAGGAAGAGCAGAATGGTGGCAGAACTTGGGTCCAGATTGGGATTACAACTGGTCATACCAAGGCGAGTGTGCTACGGGACCGAAAAATACCGTTGAAACGAAATTCGGATGGACATTCAACGCGAAGAACATCCGCTTTGCCGAGTAAGTGACTTCTCCCCCACGTCACTGAAATTCTCAACTAACCAGCCATTATCTCTAAAGTCTGAACGGGGATGGCTATGATGATTTCCTCTACGTGAATGAAAGGGGAGCGGTTGCCATGTGGCCCAACCTCAAAGAAAACCCAATAGCCTGGGGAGAGGCCAGAATAGTTGCTGACGGCGTGGATGTCGCTCCACAGGACATACGTTTTGCTGATACAAACGGCGATGGCAAACTCGACTATATCACCGTGGGTCGCACCACCGGCCGAGCAAGAACATGGCACAACCTTGGAATGAATGATGACGACGGCTCCATTCGGTGGAACACGCCGCTTGACTTCGCGGCTGGCCCAGGCCCTGTTGGGCGATCCATCCAAATCACAGAGGCAAGCCTGACCCTTGCTCCTTGCCTTGATTATATCCAGCTGTTCTAAACTGACATGTCTCTCTTCATTAGATGACGGGTGACACTCGGGCCGACTATGTGTCCATCAATCCGGACAGTGGTGCCCTCACGCTGTGGCACAATCGCTGCTGGCCAAAGAGCGGCACTGTCGTGCCTTCTCCGGGAGAGGAAGACGACGACAACGACGACGAAGTAGGATGGAAAGACCTGAATTGCCAGAGTCCCGGAGCGACAGATGCCAACATGGAGGGCGTTGAGAGGTGGAATCTACTCAAGGCAGACCAGGCATGGGAAGATAGTGTTGCGTACTGGAAAGAGCAGAGGAACAACGAAAGCCACAACCTTGAATTCGCTGCCTCCGTGTCCAATTTCCTAAACGGGGTTGAAAGCATGGACTGCGAGGAACTCGCTGATGACAATGGCTGTAAGAAAAATACGGAGTGCAACGAGCAGGCAGCGGGCCCTGCCGAGTTCTTGATCCTCAACTCTTTCAGGGAATTGAGTTCAGTAAGTGGCATGAGAACATATTCCTCTAATTGAACTAAGCAGAGGTAATCTGGCTGCTAACCGGTCTCGGCAGATGCTCTGGAACATGTATGAGTCGCTCGGGGTAGCCCAGTCGAACATCAACAGCAACATGGGAACATTTGCCAAAACCTATGCGCCCGTCAAGAAAGAGACATTCAGCATTTTGGTCATCCTGGACCTGGCGACCCTTGGATATGCGGCCATGGCAGCCCCGATTTGGAATAAATGGATAAAGAACATCGACTGGGCAACAAAAAATGCCAATGATTTCGACACTGTGAAGGATTTTGTCAACGACATGACATATCAGGGCGTCACCCTAGCTAAAGACATACTGTCGAGTAGCGGTGACGAGCTGACAGCTGGTGATGAGCTCTCAACCCGCGCTGCTGCGATGATCAATGCGTTGCGGAGCTCGCTCACCAACTACGCGGCGACCATTTTTAGTGGCGACGACACTCCTACTAAGTTACTTACGAAGATCTTCGCAAGTGGGAAGCTGATTTCGCCCCAATTGAAAACAGAAAGCAGCGAATCGATGTCAGGCGGATTTGAGAGGTCACTCTACGCATTGCTAATCCCTATGGCGTGGAAGCTCTCGGAAAGAGAACTCAACCCTTTGTGAGAAAGCACCCCTCATTTAAACATTACTTCGGCATAAATGGTAGAGGCTAATAACATAACTCAGTATCATCGACAGCAAGATGAGTTGCAGCGTAGATCTCTCAGAAACCGACCTTTCTTACGGTATTGATGAGGATGCCTTCAAAACCGAGGTGGTTTGTGACACCAGCACCGATCGCAAATATATCTTGCTCTCTAGCGAAGATCCTGGAGGCTCTTGCAGTAAAACTTTCGGGTGCCCTGACTTTAAGGCTTTGCCGGGATCGAATGTCTTAGGTGCGAGCATCTATGGTAATGTTTCAAGGGAAGATATTGTACTAGGGTAAGTCAGAGTCAGGTCTCCGAATCTCCTGGCGCTCATCAGTTGGCAATCATCCATTGCTCGCCCGAGCCTCAAGATTTTATCGTCCTGAATGCAGGAGAATCATGGCGAACAAAGGTTAGAATCCGCTGACTTGCTTCTTCTATTTAGTTCCCTTGCTACATTTAATAAGAGGTCCGGTTACAACGTGGACGGGCAACAGTCTTATAACAACAAAACGTCTCTAGAAGAATGGGGAGACACCATCGAAAACCTGGCGGATGTTGACATTAGAGCTCCCTATATCTTCACGCTACCGATATGCACCCTGACACAGGCACGCAAGAATCTAAATGCTCTCTATTCCGACGATCCTTCAGACAGGCCGTACTACTTTCCCTGTTCCGCAACACTGAGCGAGGAGTAGTTTATATTTCAGGGTGTGCTTCATAGGGCAAGAGAAGAAAGAGTCCGGCAGAATAGTTCGGGTTATCTGGGTATAGGCTTTTTTGTGCAAATACTCAATTTATTTCCTCTCTAATTATTCTAATCTCCTTGAAATGTATTTCGACTGTCTCATTTCTGGCCACTTCCATCCCCATCAGTGCTTTGTTTCTTCTCCCAAAGCCCCTGCCATTTGTCCAAGTAAGAGGCCATTTGTTCCCTGGCAAGATTCTCACTATTTTGCTGTGGGTTCTTTTGATTCCCCATTCTTTCAAAGACAGTTGAAGTTGTCAAGCTGGAGGTGTATTGTTTCAAGTTGTGCGATTGCTTGCCGGACTGACTCTTCTCTTCACTTGTTTTTTCTCTTTCAATTAATTTATCCCGCTCTGCAGGTGCATGTTGAGAATAAGACAGACTAGGCTTACGGCATTGTAATAATTGTAGATTTGAAAGGCTGCTCAGAATAACACGTCGGTGTAAAGGCACGGGAAAGAGTCAAAGACTGTTCAAGAATAGTTGTAGTTGGAAAGCATAATAATATATGCCTCTGCCGGCGTCGTCTAGGCTTTAAATAGCCAACAAGTAGCCTGTGCATTGCATAGGAACACTTGAGGTTGTCCTCTGGTGTGAGGTGAATTGTCCTCTCCCAATTCTCTAGTGTCGAGTATGGAAACAAAATGTCCTCCTGCTGTTTGCCGTTTAAATAATTGTCCTCCATATCCTATAGTCTCTGCTAGGACAAGAGGATGTCCTTTCTTATGGTGTTAATCATATATGATACTATGAATAGCTTGTCCTCTCGCGAAGATCGGCAAGTATGACCAATCAATGAGGTCGCTGAACACCCAACCAATAGGCGTGTTTTCAGCTGATGAATGATTTAACGAATGAAATGATAAGAGACTCGCCATTGGGACTGGGCCATGCTGATGGACCTTTTGGCCAATTATGTAAAGGGCCTAACTGGCCAATACATAGGCCATCTTTTCTACATGCATCCGCTATCCAATGAGGATGTACAAAATACGACAATTGCGTAAGCACTATCCATTCAGAATGAAACCTGAGCATCTGACAATACTTGCTGCCTTGTTTTTGGGGCAACAAGTCCTTCCACTGCAAGTCTGCCGAAAACGACCCATGTTGGATAAGGTCAGCCATGTCCTCTCTTCTCTTCTCGTCTCCTAGCCATGTCTCGCGGTTTCTGATGTGACCCATCTTAGGAATTTTGTCAAGCAATAATAATCATCTCCATGCTGAATCGCGCCGCTTTATTCACACAGAAGTTAATGCGCTTCTCCGGCCGGGCTGACCATTAAGATGAGGCCAACCACCATTTCCATATCCAGTGCGGTGGACTGCCCCAGCCCACGTAGCTGTGAACATATCTGTGACCAGAATAGTTTTCTAGTCTGGGCAGCTATCCACCGCAATGATTGCGAGCGGCTTACAGCGGAGGAGAGGCGTGAATGTCCCATGCTACGATGCAGGAAGAGGTTCCCAGACCACGAGAGGATGTTGAAGCACCTATATTCATGCGATCAGTTACCTATTGGAGAGTATTGGTGCTACAAGTGTGAAAGAGTGGAGCGATTTACGCACTCATCATCTCCCGATGGAAACACACGTCGCAAGTTCGGTGACGCCTGCGTGAAGCTCACTAAGAAGATTTTTTCGAAAGGAAAAGACAGGAAGAATGACGACATGCTGGATGACATGTGAGTCTTGCCTCTCTATTCATCTCAGCTGAATAACTCTTTGCTAGCCAACTAATGCTAATTAAACTCTCCGCGGATAGTTTGGCAGACGTGATTCCACCACCAAGTTGTTCATCCTTCGCTACGCAACAACCCCAACTTGCTGAGCTCCCTGCCAATGAAATATATGAGCTTGACTCAGTCGAACTTGTCAGGGAATCCCAGGGTCTCTTTGCTGGCATTCAGTACCTGGATACTATGAGCGAGATCGTTGATTACCACCCATTATCACTTTCACCAACCGAAAGCGAAACATTTAGTAAACAGCCTAAAGACAAAGCGAGACCTAAGTTATCTATGGGTGCCCCTGCGCCACTAGCACCTGATTTCACAGATCCGCACACTTTCCAATTTCTTGACCAGGCCATTAAGAAAAGTCCTTCGAATTATGAATGCCCACACTGTTCCTATACCCCTCGCGCCAGCACAGGGACGAGTTTCAAGACATATCTTCGAAAACATATAAAGACGCATCATCGCCAGGATCATCCATCTGAAGATGGATCACATTCTTTGTTTTTTGATGTCTCGAGGTGCCATCCAGAACGCAATGCCAATATGAGTTCGCCACAAGGCAGCTATCAGACATCAGAAGCTCACTATCCGAATGGAGACAACGTTGGACAGCAGTATGATCCTCTGGCATGTGTACTAAGCATTCGCGGCGTTTGTATGGCGCACGAAATTAACGATCCTGATCCCAGCATGGATGATCCCGCACGGCCTCATAGAAACAATCATGGCTCGGCAAACTTCCTACGCCGTCGTAATGCTCTAAAGGGGAAAGGCCCCGGGCACGCTGACACGGTTTGGCCTGAGGTTTCCAAGCCTGATGATGTCCCCTGTGTTGGAGACATTGCTGAAGCGCCTGAAAAAGTCGATTTGATTCCAGAGGCACGACGAGATTCCATGGATATAGATGATCCTCCTGATCGAACCTTTCTATCAAGCGACACTAACAATCACCTCTCACACGTCTCGGAAGCTTCTGATGATCATGCTCCAGCGAATGTCCAAGAGCTTAGAAATGGTCCCGATATCTCACAATGGATTACTCTGTGGCGACTTCGACATGATCTACGTGAACTGTACAAAGGCTTGATGCGAGTTACCCATGTCAGCGATTTCCCACGAGCTAGAAAAGTCCGACGATTGTACAACAATGCAACGCACATGCTTGAGACGGGACTATCTACCTTTCTCGAAGTTTTGGATGGTACTGCTCCTACCACATTACAGAAAGTGCTTGCGTTTGTTGCAGTTTCTCAGGTCATGTGGAATGCCGTCCGGAATGAGAACGCCGGCAGAGGGGTTGTCAACCATCATGATTCACTTGACGGGTTCTCCACATGGCGATTAGCAATCGTCGATTCTCAAGATCAGCTTGTCCTAGACCGTATTGCATATGAGCTGTGGGATGTTCCGATTCCATCAACCTTCTGTGAAGATGATACACAAACGGGATCGCTGGTAGACTCGGGACTCACTGATTTGTGGGCGCATCCATTGAGCTATTCCGGAATTCCGGAATCCCTCATTAACAACAGTTCTATAGCGCCAACTCCGCTTCAAACATTCCAGGACGACGTCAGCTTGCTGCTTTCGACTACTGCAGTTCACACGAACCTTCTCTTTTCTGACTTTCTCCATGTCCCAGGACTAGAAGGCAACCTTCGACCCAAGACGACAACATCCACCATAGATGGGGTCAGATCCTCCCCTCGAAGATCAAATGGAGGCAATATATTTGTAGACAGTGGTATATTCACTCGCCCACCTAGTGATTCGTGGGGGGATTTTGGTTATGTGCCAGGGATAGATGGCACTATCAATCCAGAATGCCTACGGCTTGGAGACTCACCCATATGGGATTCATCCACACAGCCTTTGAATATAAATTCCCAATCTCATTTGATGGGCTTGCCTCCCCAAGCCCTCGGCAGCACCACCGATATCGATGGTGCAACAGGGGTTCTCCAATGCTTGATTGGCACTATACTATTTCAAGTGGTTGTGATTTTCCTAAAGAGTAAGTCATGCGTGGCCAACAAAACCAATTTTGGATTGATGCTTACCTTATGCCAGTCATGAGCCACACCGGCTCGATTTTACAAATCATGTCGGGCTGTACATCGATAAAGCCCAGCAACACATCAGAGGGACTCGGTGGGAAGAACGCTTCAGAATCCAGCGGATCTTTCTTAGCAGAAATGAGAGAGCACGCTATAGAGCCACTCCGGTTGAAATTTTCAAAGTACCACACTCATTTCATCGGGCTTTTAGAATCTGGATACTCTTTGATCAAACTTGGATGCATCAAATCTCTTCAAGAGTTTGAAAAATACCTAGTTCATGCTAGTTTAGTAAGTTTCAGGTGTCCTCTTGCATTCTAAATACTTGTATTCGCTAACCACACCATTCTTCAAAGCACTCTTCCAAATCGAAGAAAGACTTCATGTTCCTTGTTCAGTCAGTCCTCTCTCAATGTTTGAAGTGCTCTTCAAAGATGAGTTGGAGCGATCTGTACCCCGACGGCCTTTGTGCTGACGAATACTCGACCCGCTACCTCGATCGCCGAATGGGGGAGGAACAAGCGACAGCCGATGCGATATTTCCGGACCAGGGGACTACTGATGCTTCATCCTCTGAAGCAGTCAGTAAGTCAGCTACCTCTAGAGCCTCGAAGTCTCCTCCCGACTCTACCTCGTCCTCGCCGTCATCGAAAACAGACACTGCTGATTCGGTCTCAAGCTGCCAAGGGAAAATTGAAAGATGCTCTCACCAAGGATGCGACAAGGTCTATACAGGTGTTGATGCCCGTGTCAACCTACGCCGCCATGTACGATGCAAACACGAGCCAAGGAAATGGAGGTGCCCGGGCAGCGGGTGCGAGCTGGCCACACCAAGGCGAGATAATCTTCGCAAGCATTTCAAGACAAAACATTTGGGTGAAACTATGCCACCTTGGTTGGGAAATAGGAAAAGATGCTAAGAGATAGAACCACGGGGAGTGCAGGAGAGGTTGCGGTTTAAATAATGCCACTACTTCTTACATTTATGAATGTTTCCCACGGGATCAGGGTTTTCACTTTCTAGACTCGTTCTAGCCCTGACCCGATCTTCAATTTCTTATTAAGCAGTTACTGGTTGAATAATAATCCGGCAGTCAGTGGTTAATATGCACAAATATGACCAGCTTGAGAGGGAAAATGCATGCGTACAGTCATAGCTCAATTACTTCAACAGCGCGAAGCTCTCGTGCGAATCAAAATTCAATTTGCATGTGTTGCCTTAAACCTCAAGTCGAGCGCGTCAAACCGAATTTGCCGAGGGAATGGTCGATGCTGGTGTTGACGTCGACCAGCCATTGTACATGCCTGATAGAGCTAATCGCCACACTCTTGTACTTCGTCGCATCTAACCCCCAATGTCAGTGCCGTCGAGGCACTCGCCCAGGGCGATGGAAGAGCTGATTTAGTGGTCACCGATGCGGCGGAACTGGGCTGGATGCGGTGTACTGATGGTAGGGGAACCTGCAAAACACTTCTCGCAGCAGTCTTGTCCCATGTTTATGGAGCTCCTGACCCCCTGAGCGAAGAAGCACATCGTATAGTCGAGCTTATCGTTGTTGAGCCGCTCGGGAATGGAGTAGTACTAAAAAGGGTGTCGGAATCGAGGGAAGAGCCACTATTCATGTCCGCATTGGAATACGTTGGCAGCCGCGCTTGGAATACGGCTTCCTTCTCAAACTACTATTGCGGCACTCGAAAGTAAACAATTCAACCAACACTTTTCGCCATAATAGCTGACGATTTTAGGGAAGATGGGGTGCAGGTCGAGAATGCTAGTTAAGTGTAGAGACGGAAGCTATGGCGAAACAGGTCCAGATGGAAGACATTCAACGAAGGACTTGTTAAGCCTACCAAGTAAAATGAGTCCCTGGGGCCGATGGGCAGCGTCTCCGAGATTAGGTCAGAATGTAAATAAAAATACAATTCGTTTCTATCAAGAACTTTGGGGCCCCGAAATTAAATATCGGTCCGGCGGGAGAGACTTGTCTACTACCATTCCGACGTGACTTCAAGACTTATGCATACTTATATAGGCGAGCTAATCTGACTTGCTTTCATTCAAGTTGATTTGATCATAGATTGGCGAACTAGCCCCATCCTGTACTTTCCTACATCTCCCCTCGATGTATGTCATATAGAGGTTGGTTAATGCATCCCAAACAATTGTGCTGCGGGTGGATGAAGCCGGCCGTACATACACTTTCTTCTCAACAGAAACAGCAATTCTCAAGAGTTGTGGCAAATATTCGGCATTGCCAATGACTTAATGAGAAGTACGGGTGTACGGCTTCACATCTCAGGGTAAGACGTCATACTGAAACTCCCCAGCCTATAATGTGATGAGTGAATTCATTGAACCAAGCAGCCAGCTTTCCAAGAAACGCTCAGCTTTATATAAATGAGGTCAGGATGCTGTCATTGGTTTGTTCCATCCTTGGTCTAGGACGATCATCAGACCTCTTGTTGGAAGTGATCGACAGTCGCCGCCACAATTATGTCAACCTTCTCTCAGACCCTGCCGATCGCGCCACAAAATCCATGACGTACGGCAGATGACCGACCTCCTTGATTTGTGGCTGAACGGCATGTAGCAAACCGTTGAAGACGAGCTCAAGACTAGGGATTCTGAACTGTGCAAATCCCATGCATGCTGATTGCTCTCATTACGTCAAACTTCCCATCTCGGAAAGCATGGTCCCCCCGTATGCGAATCTAGACTGCACTGGGACGTAATCATTACAGTCATAGCGTACATCAATTTCCATGCTTATACATCTCAAATCGTGATAGCTCGGGATCCCATTCACCATCGCTAGCTATATAAGCTGAAGAAGCAGAGGCCAAAAAAAAGTAATTCCGATTCTCTTCATCACCAATTCTAGAACAGCTTTGTTGCACTCTATTATTACACACAATCTCACTCACAAGAACCAACTACTGCAAGCTATCACACCATGGGCCTTCTGCATAAGAACCATCACCATGCTGCTCCCCCAGTGGCCAGCAGCAATGTTCACGGAACAGCAGCCCCAGTCAATCCTGCCGGCCGTGCTCCCATCGGCAGCCACCATGCGCCAGGCATGAACGTCCACAATCCAGGCCCAGCTCCGACCACTGCTGGCCCCCACCGTCATGACTTGCTCAACAAGCTCGATCCCACGGTGGACAGCCATTCCGGAGGCGTCCAGCTCGTAGGGCCTGGTGTCCCGCCCAACGCCATGTCGCAGCAGCCCATGACCGCCGGAGCTGGAAACTATCCCACTACAGCCCCCCACCACAGCTCCCGGATCGCAGACACCGTGGACCCCCGAGTAGACACGAGGGCGGACAGGCACGTCATGCAAGGCGCTGCCCCCATGACGACAGGTCCAGCGGGTGCGTACGGCCATCACTCAACCAGGATGGGGGACACTGTCGACCCTAGGATGGAGCCTGGCCTGGACCACAGAGCACACGGGGGGATGCGTGGACCGGCCTCGGTGCCCCGGAACGTTGCTGCGCTGCCCGGTCCTGCGACCAAGACTGCCGGGCCGCATCACAGTAACCTGATGAACAGGCTGGATCCGGCCGTTGACCACAAGGCGGCCTACGGTGCGCCGCAATACCGCACCGCCTGATTGTGGAGAGGATCTAGCGAGAGTAAATATCGGATGAGGATATCTATGGCTTATTTCATTGTTGCTTCCAGTCGTTTGTTGATACCACTTGACGTATAGTAAGAAATATTAAGAAGTTGTTAAGAATATTGAACATTGTAATCTTCATGTGATTATTTCTCCCAGGATTGCTTGCAAGTAGCCCCAATAAAATTTGTACTCATACGCCCGATTTGTCTATAACCAAAGCCTGGAGAGTTAATTAAATGAATAAATGCACACTCGAAGCAATTGCGATTGATATTATAACTAACGACAAGCCTTGCTGCTCCTTAACTTAGGTAATTAATCAGATAGAGCCGGATCCTAGGTTGGTTACGACCCATAAGGGTTATGAATTAAGTAAGCCCTTGGGTAGTGATTTGTCCCATCCGCACGCTGGAGAAATACATGCGTGAAAAAAACACAACGGAATCTTGCTTTCGTCAAGGATTAAATCACGGGAGCATTCACGGCAAAACAGATGTTGGTTGTATTCTTGCACTGCTGGTTAACGCTATAGGGTAGGTTGTTTCAAGGTGAGGGTGAGCGGCGACGCGTTGAAATTACGTGAAGTGCCTATTTCGCCTAACATCAAAACGGAAGAATGCGAGAAGCAGAAGCATCCCAGAAGACACCATATCCAAAAACCCTTAGATTGGCTGCTGCTCTTACAGGGGACGGACAAGATGTGTGTCGGAGCGCTCACAACATGATCTTCCCCAGTTTGGTCTTGTGATAGACATCATTTGTCTCTCACTTGCCTGGAATAACACGCTTGCGCGGTAGGCCTAAAAAATTGGCTACGCGTCTTTACGAAATTGACCGCAGACTGGAATGTGGGCGAAAGGTGAAGTTCCGGGTTGTCTAGGGCAGATTACTAACGCGACATCGTCAGATGCAATCGTCTTGGGCACTCTCGTTTGGGACAAGGTAAACACTTGTCCAATTTTCTTCTCTCCGTTTCGTTAGGCCAATGTGACAGGATTTATCAGCCAATTCCAGGTCGGGAGTGGATTATGCTGGACATGTGCGTATTTCTGACTACGGCGAAAAAAAAAGAGGAAGCACTAAGACGGTGATTTGAAATGCTAGACGGGATCTCTGCCGCATGACAGCTTGTTGCCTCCAGCATTGAAGCCGGTACCTGGAGGCGGACCTTGTAAATTCACCGTGCGGACTTTTCACAACGGCCTCCTTATTGCGCAATTTAATTTGTCAGAGTCGCTTCAGCTTGGCCTCTCAAGATACGGTTGGCGGAGCCCAGCGGCAATGAATCTGATTGGTTCAAAGCTCACAGCGGCGCTAATGTCTGCGATTGGCTAAGCTGGCGGCTAGTTTTCTGATTGGACAGCCATGACGGTTTTGACATCTCCCATGGTTGAATCATCGGCGACTTTTGCAAGCAAATGGGCAAAGGTGAAGGGTCTTGGGTCGGGCGAATCCATTCCCATGGCTAGTAGAAAGTGTACGGAGTGGGAAATCCTTGGGAGCCTAATTTGTATATAATGTGAGCCTCGAACATAGATCGAGAGAAAGATTCTCATTACCACACACACACCTCACCCATCTACCAAACACTTCCACCATGGCCAAAAACATTGTGATTATCGGGGGATCGCATGCTGGAGTTAGCACAGCCCAGAGGCTACTCAAATCAGCGTCAACCCCCACCGACATCAAAGTCACCCTGATCACTCCCAATTCACACATGTACTGGAATTTGGCTTCTCCCCGAGGGCTAATTCCGGGGAACTACGGAAAAGACGAATTATTTCTCGAGATAAAATCAGGATTCAAGCAGTATTCTTCTTCCCGCTTCGAGTGCGTCCTGGGCACGGCGGTGGGCCTCGATGAGGCTTCACAAACCGTTACAGTTCGCTGCGCTGAAAAGGAGAGGTCGGTAGCATATGACATGTTGGTTCTTGCTAGCGGCTCTAGGACCCTGGACAGCTCACCTTTCAAGAATATTGGCACAACAGAAGAAACGCGAAGTGCGTTGAAAGATCTTCAGGCTCGAGTGGAAGCGGCAAAGTCCATCACTGTCGCTGGCGCGGGTGTAACAGGGGTCGAGGTTGCTGGCGAACTTGGCTCAGCCTTTGGAAAAGAGAAGAAAATAATTCTGGTTGGTGCTGAATCCGTTTTCAGGCTTCAATAAGAAAACAGACTAACGCCGCCCTTCTTTTAGCTTGCACCCGGCCCGCGGGTCCTCGAAGACATGCTGGAAGTCAATTCGGATATCGCAACCAAGGAATTGCAAAGGCTCGGAGTAGAAGTCCAACTCAAATCTAGAGTCGCAGAATCAGCAGTCGCAAGTAACGGTCAATATGAGATCCTCCTATCTAGCGGCGCCACCGTTACGACCGATCTTTACATTCCCACCTTCGGACTGGCCCCAAACTCTTCATACGTCCCTGCGAAATTCCTTTCATCACAAGGATTCGTCAAGGTGGACGAGTTCTTACAGGTCACTGGAACGAAAAATATTTGGGCAATTGGAGACGTCTCAGACTTGGAGCAATCGCAATGGATCAAGGCAGAGAACCAATCTGCCCACCTCTCCAAAAACCTGGTTAAAATCCTTCAAAATCAGGCGCCCATGGCCTATAAGAAAGCAACCACGCGTAAGCAACACCCAAATTCTGAGCCAACTTACTCAACTCTAATTTATTCTCTTCCGTACAGCACTCATGGGACTCTCGGTTGGCAAAGACGTGGGCACCGGTCATTACGGAACCTGGCGTATTCCGACTTTTATGGCACGCTACATTCGAAAGACATTGTTTCTTGAAAAACTGACTGAAATAGTCACTGGTACTGCTTTTTGAGCAAGAATTGTAATAGTGTCTGGTGTTATAAATGAGGAGAGGGCTGGGTTTTGCCTAGATAATTTAGATTGATAGATTTCTCTCGTTTTTCCTTGATTTGCTTTTTAATTTGGTTACCTATTTTATTAGTGTTCACTTTATTGAGCAAGGCGCTCTGCCTTACTTGCCTTCATCTTAATAAGCTGTCATAGCTCGTCAGAGAGTGTCAGAAAGTGTCAGAACGTGTCAGAAAATAGCGCAGCTTTAGCACCCTTCCGGCTTCCCAACACATGATCGCTCCTAGAGTGAGCTCAACTCAACCACTCAACAGTGCCCGAATTGAAATGCCCACAATGGACGCTGCCTGGAAACCGCACATGAAGTCCTCGGAAGACGACTGGACCTCAATCGCGGACCCTGCAGAGCGGAAGCGCGTCCAAAATCGACTTGCGCAGCGAGCTAGACGTAGGTCCATCCCTGCAATCTGTAATATAGGGGTAGCATGGCTGACCTCGATACGTGTATTCAACCTGGCAGGATCAAAAATCCCCAAGAAACGCAAGAACTGCTCGAATAAGAAAGGTTGCCAGGAGAGTGCGACTCATCAAGATGATCAAACGACCCACCAAGATGTCGAGAATTCATCTGCCACTGATCTGATCAGTTCCACCTTATCGGTTTCCAGGCTTCTGGGCCACGATCGAATATCACTTGATCCCACAAGGGATGGGCATTATATCGTTATGCAGGACATGAAAACCTCAGCCGCCTTTTTCCGCATCGCAGATATCCTTCAATTGGTATGTCTGCAAGAATCTGGTTTTAATGTCGGTGCTGCTACTTGGCTATTGCCACAAACTCTTGCGCCGACTGCACGGCAGCAAATAGTCCCCCACATGCCCTACATTGATATGTTGCCATGGCCTTCTCTACGTGATCGGATGCTAGAGTCATTGCCGACGATCAACGAGCTAGAATTTGTGCAGGACATGTCGTCTAGCGACCTGAGAGTCTGGGGCCGATCGCCTTGGGACCCCCTTGGGTGGGAAGTCGGGCCTGTCTTCGCCAAGAAATGGTGGTTTCTCATGGATGAGAAGGTAATGCAGTCAACAAATTTTTGGAGGGCCCAGAGGGGAGAAGAGGCTTTGGAGTTAACCGCATCGCCCACTCCAACCGAAGGGTGACACATAACCAGCCTGACAGCGGGTTTCTGACATTCTTACTGTTTACAAGCGCAAGTGGATCAGTCAATGACAGGAATGACTCCTTGACATCTTTTATTAATTTCGTGCTTGCTCTTGCTTTTATTTCTCTTGGATTTGTTTCTTTTTTTAAGTTATCTGCCATCAATCTAGCAACAACTCCTTTTAAATGTCAGTATGCGAGACGCACTCACGCAACTCTTCCCTCCACCCCCATCCTACACTGAAGAGCACGTCCCTTCTTTACAAGGCAAAGTGTTTCTGGTAACGGGAGGAAATGCAGGCGTTGGTCTTGAGCTTGTCAAAATCCTCTACTCCAAGGGCGGCAGAATATATATCGCTAGCCGATCAGCCTCTAAAATCGCTACCGCCATCGACCTGATCAAGAGCACCAACTCGACCACAACCCCCGGCGAACTTCAGAGTCTCGTGGTTGATTTCAGCGACCTATCCACCATCTCCTCCTGCGCCTCGACTTTCCTTGCCCAGGAATCACGCCTCGATGTCCTTTGGAACAACGCAGGGGTTAGCCAAGCGCCCATCGGCAGCACGAGCGCCCAAGGCCATGAACTTCACATGGCCACCAACTGCCTCGGGCCATTTCTTTTGACGAAACTCTTGCTACCAGTGCTCTCAAACACAGCGCGCGGCTCTCCTCGGGGGAGCGTACGTGTAGTCTGGGCGTCATCCGGAATCATTGACATGACTGGCCCTCCAGGCGGAGTCTCCCTCGCTGAGCTCGCACCTGGGAAGCACCCTAAGAACAAAGACTATAACTACAGTGCCTCGAAAGCTGGAAACTGGATGCTCGCGGCCGAGCTGGACAGGCGAGTTCGCAATGAAGGCATCATTAGCTTGGCTCAGAGCCCAGGAACGCTGAAAACAAAAGGTTGGGACGCAGCACCATGGTTAATGAGGACGGTGATGGGATTTTTCATGTATGAAGCGAAAATGGGGGCTTATACGGAGCTGTGGGCTGGTCTCAGTCCAGAAGTGAAGTGCAAGGATGGGGGTAGATTTGTCATACCCTTTGGTAGGTGGCATCCAAACCCGAAGAAAGCCATCCTAGCAAGCCTCAAGACAAAGGAAGATGGTGGTACTGGCGTTGCAGCAGCTTTTTGGGATTGGAACGAAGAGCAGAGCAAGAGTTTCATGTGATGTCTCCACGAGGGCGATTTTGGTTACGTATAAAGCCAGGTATTGAGTTCTGTGTACGGCCCAATCATCTAATTCATGGGCAGTCGTATCGGCATTCACTAAAGATTTAAATAATATGAGTTTATACCTTTGATACAATTAAATCCAACTCTCATTCACCTTGAGTGAAATTTCCTGCACCGCCTGAAAAGACCGAGCGAGCTCCAACAAAGATCACCGTGATACGAGAGGTCGTGGAACCTCGGAAAAGACTGTGGCACCTCTGGATAAGGCTGCGGCACCTCGAGGCATTGGTAATGCCACCACAAATTGGAACCGATATGACGTCTTGCACTTTTTCTCCAGCAAGGCAGTAGCAGTGATCATAGCAGAACTCGACTCTGCAGCATCTTCCAGTACAAAACCACTTCAATCAAATGAAACCTTGGGTATTCGGGATTCTTAATTTGTCGACGAGTACAATAAGCAATGGAAATGTATGCACCGCCGGAGAAGCCGGTGCTGGTGTCCCAGGCATTCGATGCCCATGTCCCGATCATAAAGGACTCGGCAGCAAGAGCTTCATCTGAAGCAAATACGCGTCGTTTCTCAGCACCAGCAACTAGAGGTCTCGCCTCTGAAGATTCTGCATCGACAGCCCGCGTTTCAGCAACGGAGGCAACTTCTAGCAGGGCTGTACTTATTGAAAAACGTACCGATAACCAAATCAATGCTGCTCATAGGAAGGCTTATGTCTTTGCCACAACCTCAGCCGCCGCCCCTGGAGTTGTCACCGGTGCTGCCGTGACTACTCTTTGGATTGTGGGGTATATTTATGATTTCGAGAGAGAGTTTGACACTGACTACACCTCTTCTTCTAATTCTTCGTCAACTTCCTCCCGGAGCCTATCCTTCACCGGTTCATACCATAGTTCTTCCTCTGGCACGTCATCTGCATCAGATAGTGGTAGTAGCTCATCATCTGGGTTAGACACCGATAGCAGCTTGTCTTCTGAGTCAGATACTGATGACAGCTCATCTTCTGGATCAGACGATGACAGTAGTTCTGATTCCGACAGTGATTTCAGCTCAGAATTAGATAGTAGCATCTGATGACGATTCTACAGGTAGACTTTTAAGCAACTGGGAAATATCTGAAAACGTATTCGACACTGATATGCATGTCTTAGACTTAGAGGAGCTTGTCGGCTTTAGTGGCCCCGGGGTTTCGAAAATAACGACGGCTGGAATGACGATGGTCAGGTTGGTGGGAATAACGGCGGACATAGTGATTACCAGGTACAATGATGGATCACAGGATAAACACGAGGACCAGGACGATAAGGAGGGGGATGACAATGACGACATGCTGCTGAGGAATTAGAAGAGGAAGATTATGGGGAAGATTATGAAGGACATTTTAGGAAAGAAGACTACAATGGAAAAATTACGATGATTATGACGAATATAAAGAGGTTTTGTTAATCAATGCTTCCTGCTTGTTTGTATTCATTTTTGTTGGATAAGGGGCACGGTAGATCCTCCAACGCTGGATACGGAAGGGTCTGGAGAGAAAAGAAACCGAATATCTCTGGGGGACATGAACGAATTTCAATAACCGTGTTGTTACTCATGGTTAGTCGACAGGCCTTGACCTCAAAATGAGAGGCTTGTTGAGTATTTTGAAACTATGTGGATCGATGGATGAGGCAAGAGTGGGAATGATGTAGCGTAATCTAGATAGCGCATATGCGTTTTGGCGGACAACTACGGTTGATATATTCGGAGAATCAGGAAATATCTCCGCCTTGACTCCTGAGATCACCCATGTCATTGCGTGGGGGCTCTTCATGGGCGGAGCTGATCAGGGCCATGGAATGGTTGAGAGTCGAGCACCTCATACACGCGAATATTGCACCAGAGCCAAGTCCCATAAATATTTCCGCCTTTCGACACGCGAAGAAGCTCAACAGGCCATACAAGCCCACAATATCTGTATCTTATGGATACCATTGCGATACGTTTCACAAACAATGTCACTCCAAATGGATGGCGGGAAGAAACCCTGACTTTGGTGCCCAATCAAATATACTGATCGAGTAAGTTGAGCGGAGAGCGGACATCGACGGCCGGTCTAACCTCTGATATTGCTCAATTAGACCCCGAAATTATCTGCGGCGACTTGTTTTGAAGAGCGAGCCTAGAGAAGAGCACAAGAGATGACGAAGCGAAGTCATATAAAGCTAGCACGACAAGATGTGTTGTACGCTGTTAGAACAGTTCTACGATTTGATGAAACAAACCCGGGACATTTTCAAACACTCAGAGTTAAGTAAACCGTCAGGTTACATCCGCGAAAAGCATGGGAAACGATATCGGAGTCCAGGAAATAGTCGCAGAGCTTCCCAGCTCTGCAACTCTGCCCGTGAAACGGATATGGCATCGTCGGGTTTTCTTCCAGGCGACAATCGTGGGATTTTGTGCATTCCTTGCACCGGGCCTCTACAATGCAATGCAATCAACAGGAGCGGGCGGAGCCCAGACTCCGTATCTTGTCATGTGAGAATAATCAAGCTGTCCACCGACACGCAAGTTACTGACGATGTGAAACAGGGGTGCGAATGCAGTTCTCGGTGTTATGATGGTAATCACTTGTTCGCTTGGAAGTGTGGTTGCGAACAGGATTGGCTTGAAGAATGCGTTGATCTTTGGCACCACGGGCTAGTAAGTACATACTATGAGCTAGGAATCTTGAAAGCCAGGACTAACTACTTATTCAAAGCTGTATCTACGCTGCAGCTTTGTATACCAATAATCGATACGGGACAGAGTGGTTTGTCTACTTCGGAGCTGCCGCTTGCGGTATCACTGCTGGTATTTTCTGGGCCGCAGAAGGTGCCATAATGATTAGCTGTGTGTACTCCCTCGGCAACGGTAGCGACAATGGTGCTGACATTTTTCAGATCCTGTTGACTCCCAAAGAGGTCGATACTTGGCCTACTGGCTTGCATACCGTAATGTAAGTACCTGGATGAGATGTCTTTCTGCGTGACATACCTTGACATTTGACAATAGGGCGGTTCAATTGTTGGTGGCATCATCAACCTCGCTTTCAGTCAGCTACCGAACCCCAATCTAAGGGATTGATAGACGGAGACTAACGAATCTACTGTTATAGATTACACTGGAAAAGCGACTGGAAAGCTAGACTGGAGAACGTATCTCGTCTTTGTTGCTCTTCGTAAGCTTTGCGATCAAGCATGTCTGTAATTCCTGGCTTACTTTGACACAGAATGTATTACCCCCTTTGTGGCACTTCTCTTGTCACCAGCAGACAAGGTTCAGCGAAGTGACGGAAAAGCTGTCGAAACGGCCGAGAGAATCCATACCCTGGAAGAGCTGAAAGAAGTTGGCAAAATCCTTATCCGCAAGGATTTCCTCCTAGTGTAAGCCGATATGGGTCGACTTTGTTTCCGCTCCGTCTTTTCTTACGCTGATCTTACGTTTACAGTGTTCCCTTTTTCTTCTACGCGACCTTCCTCTTGTCTTATGCTGGATCCTTTCTGTCTCTTTACTTCAGTGTCAGATCGCGAGCATTGGCTTCCCTTGTGTCCGCTCTAGCTCAGATAGCGGCCAATATCCTGTTCGGGAGCTTCCTTGATTGGAAACGCTTCTCGTTGCGGCAACGAGCTATAATTGCCTATGTCTTCATGATGGCGCTTTTTGGCGGCACTTGGGTGTGGGGAACAGTTGTGCAGCATGAGTACGGCCTCCATAAACCAGCTTTGGATTGGGACGACGCTGGTTTTGGCCGCGGATGGGCCTTGTACATTATCCTGCAGGTGAATTTGTGAGTACATATCTGCCTACGAATCCGGAGTTTAGCCCAACTGACCATTTTCAAGTGCCCTTGCCTACAATTACGGGTACTGGCTGGCGGGTTACATGGCAAGGGATCCGGCCGAGATCGTTCGCCTAACCTCGACCGTTCGCGCAGTAGAGGCAGCTGGCGGAGCTGTTGCATCGGGCATCAGCTCTACCAAAGCACCGGTAAGAAGAAACCTGTTAGGCTAATGTTGGTTCCCTTGCTAATATGATGACATCAGTTACTTGCAGCGTTGGGTGTAAACTTTGGCCTCTGGGCGGTTGCAGTAATCCCAACATACTTCGTTGTTCGTACCGTCGGGACTGGAAAAGGGTTTGAGAACGAAGAAAGGGCCGAGTCAGATGAGACTGATAGCGCGAAGTGATTCACGTCCTCGAAAGGAAATGTCAACGGTAGTAACGTGGACGGCTTGAACTGGAATGGTAGAGGTAACTAGACTGATCGTATGCTTAGAGGAGTAGTGTGGCGGGTATAATTTAGGCGTCTGTTGGACGTCGCAGTTTGAACTCTTCTTCATTTCCTGTATCCTTTTGCTAGCCAACCATGGTCGCATCCACGAATGAAGTATAACTCGCGATTGCCTAGACTGAACAAATCAGCACAACAACTCCCTACCCTGATGTTTAGTGCGGTGTTCAAATCAAATTCCCGGCTTTCATATGACGCCATTGCCCATGCCAATCACTAAATGGGTGTCTGAGTGGGTTACGATAACAAGCTCGATATATCTTGAGACGACCCTGCTCCTTGAAGCTTACCCATTTAGTCAGCTTCAGTTGCTAGCTCAATGTTTGGCAAAGCAGCAATATTCACTACACTATGTCTCCTGACTGGTATCAACATTTTACCGAGCATGGATATGCCGTAATACCTTCAGTAATTTCCAAAGAGAAAGCCGAGAAGTACCAGCATTCCGCATTTGAATGGTTAAAGTCATTCGACAATCCCGAGCTGGACCTCAGTAATCCGTCGACATGGACCCCCTCAAATCTACCTTTCATTTCTGAGATCAACACCTTCAACCACTACGGAGTGGTGCACGAAGACTTTATGTGGGACATACGGCTTGAGCCCGGGATCATTGATGTCTTCGCGAGGATCTGGAACACAGACGAACTGCTTGTCTCCTTCGATGCTCTAAACATTACATTGCCACGCCGTTCAGGGCATGTCCCGCGCAAGAAATGGCCGCATGTCGACCAATCCCCCTTTCGCGAAGGCCTACAGTGTGTACAAGGCATTGTGAATCTTTCGAAGGCTGGGCCGGATGATGGCGGCCTCACGATATACCCAGGCACACACAAAGTAACCGAAGAGTTTTTTCAGAGTCAAACCGATAGGGCATCTTGGGAGCGGAAAGACTTCTATCGCTACTCGGAGGAGCAACTTGCTTGGTTTGAAGAGAAGGGCTTCAAGGAGTACAAAGTAGTAGCGGAGCCGGGAGATCTTATCATATGGGACTCGAGGCTTGTGCATTTCGGGGCCGAGCCGACCGAAAAGAGCTCTATTATTCGAACAATAACCTATGTATCATACGCACCTTCTTCATTTGCATCTGCAGAGGCCTTGGAAGCGAAGAGAAGCGCTTTTCGTCAGTGGTCAGCCACCACACACTGGCCGCACGACAATATCAGAATTCGATCCAACGAGCCTCTGTATCCGGATGGAAGTGTCGATTCTCGAAGGAAAGAGCCGAAGAACAAGCCGGAGCTGAGTGTCAAGCTCCTTAGGCTTGCAGGAGTTGAGCCTTATCCAAGTTCCAAATAATCCTGAGCTGGGACTAGAACTTACCAGTATTTTGAGTTTGAATAGCATTACCATCCCAAATACAAAGACAATGTTTGCTGCCAGAATCCGAAACTATTCCTTTATAGTGATTACTGTGCTATTGTTGCCTTTCCATATGACGGTATTGTGAGAAGCCCCTGCGTTTTGTGCCACCTTTAGGTGGTTATATGGGCAAGGAACTAGGTCATATTGACTTGAGCTAGCCTCGGATATTTGTAATCACATCGATTGGTTTGGGTTCGCCTCGAAAGTGGTTCCATTTCCTACATTTCGGACTGAACGGAGAAATAAATCACTTAAATGTCACCCAAGCTGTAAACATTATCAGTGGCATTTGGTGGATGTTCTTGGCCAATCATGCGATAAAAGGCTCCATGATTCTAAATATAGAAATCTCTCAGCTAGAGCTGGAACTAGCAGGGCTGCTGCATGTTGCATGACTCTTTCTTGGCTCCTGCTTTCTGTAGGTACGACTTTATTCAAGAGTGAAGAGATATCGAAGACAGAGGGATTCCCCTCAAGGACTCCCATACTGGAAGCCAGTAATGTATCTGGAATCACGAAGCTACCATGAGACTTGAAAGACAAGGTTCCTTGTCGGTGAGAGGCTTCATACGTTGCGCTTCCTTGGTATTATCTGAACGACACCGCCTACTATATGGTACTAGCTTCCTAAATAGTGCCCCTTAGGATTCGGAAGCACGCCTGGG